CTTTTGTGATGGACTTATGGAGACTCATCTATCGTAACAGGGGAAGACCAGGAGAAGAGGAAAGGGATGTGGCTACTGTAATTAAGTCATGGCCTGGGCAGCAGGATACTCGCTCGGAGGAGACTGAGAAATGGTTTTCCTCGTGTGTGTTACATGCGGTGTGGTGGTGTACATGGCTGGAAAGGAATCAGAGGGTGTTCGAAGAGAAGGCTTTGCCGGTGTCAGTGGTGGCCAAGAAAGCTGCCAAAATCGCGATGGAGTGGGTAGTGGCACATGGCAAGGTACAGGCAGCTTCGGGGTCGAGATGGCTTAGAGAAAATGGGATCATCTGAATGCATACGACCATGAGGAGGCTAAGGGTTTGGACGCAGCTGCAGTAGTGGTGGGCTGGTGAGGGGGCGGCCAGGTTGAACTTTTCAGACAACCATCTCCTGGATCGGGATGGAATCCAGAACTTGGTTGTGAATTTGTGTAGGGGCTGAACTTGCAAAGTGATATTCAATGGACAACAGTCATGGAGAGGACATAGTTGCTGCCATGGTTCAGTTGTTGCTTTATAGCTTCCTGTTGCAGTAGTGGTGTGGTGGAGAGGGGGTGGCCTGGCACTGCTGATTTTTGTGTACTGTCATTGTCTCTGGTGGAAGACCATTATGTTAGTTGGTAAGCCACTGAGATTTGTGGTTGGTAAATTTGGTTTGGGCATAGGGATTGCCTTTTTATTTTGCTCTTTATTTTTCCTTTCTCTGTCAGTTCAGTAGGGGGAGGTTCATCCCTTGTGAACCTTTATTGTTATCCCTTTCTGGTTTGATTGTAAGACTCTTTTTGGTTCAATGCTATTCACCATTATCAAAAAAAAAAAAAAATGAGTTGACTCAATCCAATCTAAACCCAAAACTATTAAGATCATGAGTGCAAATGAGTCCGATTTAATACAGATATAAATCATAACAATTGGATCAAATTAGCCAATGAGTCCAACTGTTTCCATTCTACACATTCTTTTTTCCCCGGTAAGTATTCCTGCACATTATTAATGTCTCAAATGTCACATGTATTTCTCTGCTCGATTACGACCCTGGCTTAGCAAAAATAAAATGTCACATGTAATGGGAAATCCAATTTTCAGTCCTGGATAATGACCTCTTAATTTAATAACAGCGCCATCAGTTAAGTCCTAAGTGAGGAATGTACAGTAAGAACAATTTGTATGAGCGGTGGAATCTAAAGAGTTTATTTGAGGGGCAAAATATGAAGCTTTGGTACACATATTTACCTACTCAATGTGAGTGGATCTTAAATTGTAACTAATTCAGATGTGATATTTAGTTCATATTCTAAATGAATAAACTTAATAGTATATGGACGTGTTTTTAAAATTTATATAAATATGCATACTTATTCGTTAAAATACACTGTATAACAACTAAAAATGTCACTAACTCGACCTATTATAATTTTTAGGTATACAAACTAATAACCAAAAACTAACAAGTAACAACCTTTGCATTTAAGCTTGACCTAAATGTTACATGGGGCCATCCGTGTTACCGTGTACTATAGACATGGTACATAGATTTAGTAAGAGAACATTGGAAAGGCATTTGAAATGAGTAAAAAGAGATGCAAAGTCCTTTCATTACAAGAAAATCCCACCTCTCCCCTTGCAAAGCCTCTCCCAAGGTTAGCAACTTAGCATATCTTGTTCTCATGGCTTGAGCTCAAAGGAAAAGATGAAGGGGTTTGAACCTTGACAAAATCGTTTGACTGGACCGAGATTTAACAATTTTTCACGAACTTGGATATACATACGAGTTCGTTAAGATATCACGCATCACACTTTTATTTTCTAGAAGATATAAGTTTGACCAATGATATTAAAAAATTTTATGCTAAATTACCAACATTATGAAAGAAAGAGAGGTGGGAGCAAAAAATGCAAAGCCAAAATGTCCTTTGCATCAAAGAAAAGAGATATGTTCACGGCCAATGATTCTATTTTATCATCAATCCAATTACTGTTCACGTTTTTTTTCTTCTTCTTTTTCTTGGTACAAAAAAGCAGCTGATTTAGTAGCGCGGGCTGCAATAAGGGCTCGGTGTCATTATGTTAATAAAAAATGGCTCAGCGGTATTTTAACGAATTGGTCCACTACAGAAACGAGACTTCAAAAGTTCAGGGATTTGAGAATGGAACAAAAGACGGGCAGACTCAACCGCCTTCCGAAAGGCGATGCGGCTCGATTGAAGAGACAATTCTCTCACTTGCAAACTTCGTTATTTCAAATCAAATGATAAAAGATCTTTGAATGAGAAAAATCTCTTTTTTTCTTTCCATTACTCTTTTTGTTAAACCTTCTATTTACAAATCCTGATATGACTCTAGATCATTAGCAAAATAAGAATTTGTGAGAAAAAAAAGAGTCCATCAAATAGAAATAAAGAAGACATTCTCTATTCATTGCAGGTTGGTTATTCGTCAGCACAGGTTTAGCTTACGATGTATTTGGAAGCCCTCGTCCAAATGAATATTTTACAGAAAGCCGACAAGGAATTCCTTTAATAACTGGCCGTTTTGATTCTTTGGAACAACTCGATGAATTTAGTAAATCTTTTTAGGAGGCTCCAATGACCATAGATCGAATCTATCCAATTTTTACAGTGCGCTGGTTGGCTGTTCACGGATTAGCTGTAACAAGACATGATTTTTTTTTTTAACATAAGCATTTAGTCCAAACTTTTTAACCATTATATTGTGTGGGCGGTGATTAGAATGTCCTTCCTTAACCTCACCACCTCCCTAGATTTACTTATTTACTGCACCCCAATCCACCCCACGACGACTAAATTACAGTTTTACCGTACCCTCGAAATCCATTCAATTGAATGGTAGATTTAAATTCCCTTGACTGTGTGTGGATTTTGACCAACGTAACTACCCAACTCCTTTACAATTCGGTCGCCATTCAGCCTGGACATCATTTAATTAGAATGGCATCTCCAATGGAAAGCAAAAAAAGATTAAGAAAGAAAGACAGGATGGGGGGAAAAGTGATCATCGATGATTAATTAGTACGTACATGTTGTAATTATATGATCAAGAAAGAGTGGAGACTATTAACTCGGCTAGGGTTTCATGCATTTATCAACTTCTAAATGTAACTATTAACTAAACAACTTTTACCAGGACAAAATTAAAGCCCTAGCTAGGTTGTGATGATTCATTTCTCCGAAATCCTAGCACTAATCACAATGGCTATTAAACTAAGACCATTTTAGAGATCTCTAGTGATGATATCTTGATAGTTCCTGTTTGACAGTTGATTCTATATCCAATAGAAAATATGAGATTTCTTTATAATAAATAATGAAGTTAGAAATTTTTACGGATTTGGAGAATGAGAGTTTTTGGTTCAAAATGTAGACATTTTGGAGAATATCATCATAGACAAATATCGTGTTCCTTAAACCGGCTGCAACTATGTTAATTGGGTGCTCATGTTGGTGAAAGATTACCTTAGCTTTGGCAAAGTGTATGTAGGCATAAAGAATTACGTTAGGACAGGTTAAATAATGATCTTATAATCATTGATTAGGTAAAATCCTTATAAGCATCAAGGTTATCGTACAGTGACTTAGGAATATGGTGGTGTGAAGATGAAATCTTGTGATTTCATACTATCAATATTAGTAGATCATTTAGATACACTGAGTGAGTATGCCAATTGGGTAAAAATGCTACATATTACATCATTTGAACAAAGACCCATGTTTGGCTTGAGGTAAAATGTGGCAATTGCTTGTATGACATTTTGAAATGCCATATTTATAACATTTAGGGGGGGGGGGGGGGGGATGTAAAGAAGCCGGTCTTCGAAATACTAATTTATTTTTAAGTGATCAATCGAGACGACCCGTAAATTGCAAGTAAGAAGTTGTCAATAATACGTGAATTAAGTTAAGTTGCTAGACTATAAACTTTAAGGATGAAAACATTACAAGGGAATTTTTAAACTGACTAGGGACACAAGGGAAATGTAGCTTGTATACACCATATCTCACATCTCAAGTCACATTTTGCCTACCAAGACAATTGATGGTTATCCATGTATAAGTAATATGCATTCAAGTCAAATGTATGCCCTCCATGTATCCATCTACTCCCTTAGAGAGCTTTATTTATGTATATTTGGAGCAATAATGCTAGAAAGCAATAAGAGAATTGCATTACAACTTTAGTTAAGGAAATATTTTTAGGGCTATATCTATGCATTAGTGGGCATAAATATCCTACAAGTGACAAACTAGACATTAAAATGAGGGGAGAAAAAAAGGTTGGGTGGGAAAGTTTTGGAAAAGTTGGGTGCATGGAGGGATACCCTAGACTAGATGTGTTTCATGTAGCAATCCCTCCATGAATTTCCAAACCCCAAAGTGGTAAGCAAGGTTGAAAATGTTTGATAGGAGGGACAAGTTAATAAAAGTACCAAGAGGAGGAGAAAAAGAAATTCTTCCCTTTTTCCCTCTCTTTCAACAAGTTTAAAAAAAAAGTGAAAAAAGGATAAATAAAGTTTTTTTTAAAGAGAGTGGTAAAAAAGAGGAATCAAAGTCCCCAAACTTATTTACCTTTTTTACTCTTCTTTGTTTCCCTCCTCCCCTTTTCTTACTTACCCTAGGAAAGGACCCTACCCTCCATATGTCCATAAAAGCAAAGCAAAAACAACACACTCTCCTCTCTTCCCCACCCCTTACTTTTAAAACTAAAAATAAAAACCCATATGTAAAATCTTGTTAAAAACAAAATGAAAAGAAAAAAAATTTCCTTCTCCTCCTCATTCATATTTGCTTGGGTCATCTATAATAATTATTATTATTATTCTCTCTCTCCATCCATCTCTTTTGCTAGCTAAAATAGAGATATAGAGAGAGCAATATCCCTCTCTCTCTCTATCTCTGTCAAGTAGTGTCATTGTCTCACATATACTTCACAGAAAAGAAACAACCACTCATCACTACTTCATTATACCCTTCTCTCTCTCTCTCTCTCTATTCATCCTCCATCCACCTTCTCACAAGAAGAAGAAGAAGAAGTCGTTTTATTGATGGAGTTGTTCCCAGCACAGCCGGATTTGTCCCTCCAAATCAGCCCTCCAAACGCCAAACCCTCCTCCTCCTCCTCCACGTGGCCCCGCCGGCCGGTATCCGACGAAGACGCCGCCGATTTGGGCGGGTTGTGGAAGCGAGCCCTCGACTCCAGAAACCCCACCTCCACCTCCTCCTCCTTCGACCTCTCTCTCTCCGATTCCAACCACCACCATGGAGGAAACAGCAACGGAAATTTCCACCACCACCACCACCCGGCGGCGTATCAAAACCCAATCAGCTTCCACCACCACCACCAGCAACAACAGCAACAACTGCTGAGCCGGGAGCTGGGTTTCTTGAGGCCGATTCGCGGGATCCCACTCTACCACCAAAACCCTCCCACCACCACCACCGCCGCCAATCCCGGCGGCGGAGGAGGAGCGGGTACCGCGGGGATGATGACGATGATGAGGTCGAGATTCATGTCGTCGTCGTCCCCGCGGTTCCCGACGAAGAGGAGCATGAGGGCGCCACGGATGCGGTGGACCACCACCCTCCACGCCCGATTCGTCCACGCCGTCCAACTCCTCGGCGGCCACGAGAGTGAGTCATATTACTTTCACTTAGCTAGCCACTGGAAAAAAAATTTGTTAATTAATTTAATACCCATAATAATATAATAATGTGAAAGGGGCGACGCCGAAATCGGTGCTGGAGCTGATGGATGTCAAGGACCTCACTTTGGCTCATGTTAAATCCCATCTCCAGGTATTTATTTAACTCATTTAATCAAATTAAACTGCTTCTAATAATTATCATTATTATTATTATCACATTGGGGTTTGTGTTTTTGTTAATTTATACTCATCCAACCATTAATGGAGGTAGGCTACAAGTACTCAAGGCTTTATCAGACTAATAATGATAATATTATTGTATGACATTAGATTAGAAAGAAGAAGATTGTGGTTACTGGTTAGCAGTGTACCCCGTAATGAAAAGGGGTTTAAATGCAAAAGATCACAAATTCCAAGGCTCCTTTTGTTTTAATTACTATTTCCCTTCTTCTTCCTTCCTTTCTGCAGCAGAGTGAAGTGAATGAGTGAGTTATTGTTATTATGGAGCTCTTCTCTAAACAAGCAAACAAACAATTTCTTCCTTCCTTCCTTGGCTCTTCTTTTGCCATTAGATCTGACCATGCTGCTGCTGCTGCTGCTGCTACTACCTTCTTCTTCCCCTCTTTCTTTCTTACACAATTTCTGCTTGGGAGATTGAACCCCCCAAAGTCTTCCTTCCTTCCTTCCTTCCTAACTCTCTCCTCCCTCTGACCCATTAGTTTAACGAAAAGAAGAAGGACAGACAAGGAAGGAAGGAAGAAAAGGGCCTCTACAGTCTACTACACTCTGTGAGTGAGAGAAAGAGAGAAAGGGAATGGGAATGGGAATGGGAATAGGAGAAGTCATCGATTTCTGAAAATCAAATAAGACAATGCAAAATTATTATTATTATGAAACAACAAGTCAAAATTCTCTTTCTTTTTCTTCCCTGTGTTAATAATAATAAAATATATATTGCAACAAGTCATAGCCAGGCCAAGACAACACAATCTTCTAACACTACACATCACATTGTCATATTCTTTGTTTACAGATTTTATTTTCATTTTGATTTATGCCTGGGTTGGGAAGAAGTCCAGAACCCAGAAGGGTTTCCTTTTTTTTTCTTTCTTCTCTTACACAGATGGGCATTGAAAACCCAAACAAAAGTACAAAAAACACCATCATTTCCCAATCATATCCCTCTCTCTCTCTCTCTTTAACCACACACTCCTACCTTTTTAACCATGGTTTGGTTTTTCAACCCACCTCCTCAATGTTTTTTTTTTTAACCCTTCATCTGTTTTTCTCTGTGGGTCAGAACCCATGATGTAGTTTCTTTACTTGTTATCTTCTTCATCATCTTCTTCATCTTCTTTTCTTGAATCACATATTCATTTCTAGCTAGGATTCCCGTGACACATTTTTTTTTTTTTAAATATCAACAATGTGGGTCGAATTTCTCTTCACTTTTTGTTAACGGGTAAAATTAATTGGTTGATTGCAGATGTACCGGACAGTAAAGACGACTGACAGAGCCGCTGCCACTTCAGGTTAATTAATTACCACCATGCCTCCATTAATTCCTGCTAATACCATTATTGAGGGTTAAGATTGTTTATTAAGAAAATGACTTAATATTTTGGTTTTTTTTGGTATGGGGGCGCAGGGCAATCAGATGTGCTAGACAACGGGTCGTCGGGGGACAATAGCTCAGAAGATTTGATGCTGGACATTCATCACAACTCCTCGTCGTCATCGCGGCGGCCGGAAGTAATGTCGATGCAGCAGCAGCAGCTACCGGGAAGATCTGGCGGCGGCGGCGCTAGTAGTAGTGTTGGGCACCTGCAGCACGAGAAGGACTATCAGCATGCTCTTTGGAGCAATTCTTCTAGGTTAGTTGCCCCTTATTATTTTTTTTTCTCTCCCTTTTCTATGTTTAGTGTACTAGTTGCCCAATAACTCCGAATTGTTCTTTCTTATAACGGGTGGGGAAAAAAACGATTCGAAATCGTATTGTTATGAGGGTTTAAAATCCAATATATATTACAACTAATTTAACACAGCAGTTTAACGTAAGGTCACCAACCTGTAACTTGCATCGACCTACGACCATACATAATAATATTTTACATCCATTTGTTAATACAGGGGTCACGGTAATTTCAACACGAAACTTACCGAACAACAGTGAAAACTATGATATTATGCTAGTTGTTGCGTATTCATTATTTTGTCTCTTCACTTTAGTTTTCTCTATGTTGGATCGTGAACATTAGTTTTGGTTTTCTTTTGGGGGAAAAAAAGAGGGTGTTTTCATCATCCTAGGCTGATTTGAATGTGGAGATTGATGAGGAATGAGAAATCCAACAAAGAATGTTGAGAGGACAAAAGGAAGATATGTGGGGGGTATTGTTTTTGGCATCATATCTTTGTGAAAAGGAAAATTCTCATGTTCATATACTTCTTCTCAATATTCCTCTAGTTCTTTTTTGAAAATTAACACTTTTGTCCATTAACTTTTGTCCCTAAGTTCCAAAAAAAAAAAATAATGGAAACAAAGCAAAAGTGAAAGCCCACCCTAAAAAATACAAAAGACTTAGCCATACATATGTGTTGCATGTGCATGTTAGAGATGAATAAAGTAAAAAAAAAAAAACATAAAGCATACTTCTTCTTCCTCTCCTATCTATCTCTCTTTTCGGAGTTGCATGGAAATGCATCTTATACTAAAAGAAAGGAAGGAAGAATCAAATCATAGGAAGGACTAAAGCTTTGCTTTTGTATGTATTCATGAAGGGCAAATTCCATCAATGGCCTCTAAGATTTAGAAGTATTTAAGAAATTAGTCAATTGATTCAAATTATAAACGACTAGTAGATCATTATTATTTGTAACTTATATATCGTCGTGTCGATTATACTTAATCATACTCCAACCCACATTACACGAAACAAACTATCATAGCCTCTTCCTCTCCGATTCAATATCTAAATAGATCATATATCTCAAATTTCTCATTATCGGGTTTAGGCGAGTTAACATTACATAATGCATTCTGACGGAAATGGATGAATTGATTATGGAGGATCAAAGATAGCTTAAGTGATTAGCTTGTTGAACCAAAGTTTAGGTACCCTTTATGTGATTGTCTCTATATATCCCAAAGCCACATTACTAGACAATATTGGGATTTTACCCTTCTATGTGTGTGAGCATTCCCAACAAGATTGAGAGGATCATCAAAGCTAGTTGTGATGGGTAGCTAGATTGGTGCCAAAGCTATATGCCCTTGGAATAAAAACTTCCTTTTGTGACCATTTCAGAAAAGAGAGAAAGCAAATTGGAGGGTGATATGAGAAAGAGTGAAAGCAATGATGGATGTTTCCCTTTCTCCTTTCTCCTTCATTCTTTCATAGTTCCTTTCCTTCTTCATGCATGCATGGCTTCCCACTGATGAGAATATATTATAACATTCTCTCTTCAACCCTGTTGGGTTTGTGTTGCAGGGAAGCTTGGTTGCATGGGAAAACAAAGGACTCTCCTGGAAGTTTGCCAGCTCTTGAGGTACCAAAATGGAATATTGATGTGTAGATACATATATCCTTCTATATCTAAAGATCCATTCTACTTTTTTTTTGTTGGAATAAGTTTGGAAAAGCAAAGGCATACACACAACTGCTTTCTTTCATCTCCTCTTACCTTTCTCTTCTCTTCAGTCATTGGTTTAGTACAACAACTACAAGAGAAGAGGGGGAAAGGCAAAAGGGGAAAAGCCTTTCAAAAGCTCTGGGGTTTTAGGTGGTGAAATATTTGAGAGGGGAGACTACTTTTGATTGTAATTTTGAAATGGATGCAAAGGGGGAGAAAGCTTTCTTGCAAAATGCACCTAATAGAGAGAACAAAAGTAAATAGGGTTTGCCCCAGCTAGGGTTGTAACCTAATAGGGTTTGAACCCCATTTGTGTGGAGGATTAAAATTTACATTAGTAAGCATAAGGAAACAAGAAGTCAAATTGAGGAAAGTGGGGTTGGAGTAAGATGGAAAACTACTTCTTGTGTAGCACATTCTTAATCACCTCAAAAGAGGTTGCCACTCGACTTAAGGTCGAGTGCACTGATTGAACTCGTAGGTTTTTTTATCGCTTCATTCAGTCAAATGCTGATATGCACTTATTGAATTTAGGGTGTTTTTCTGGTTTTCAATATACATTAAATTAAATTTGTATAAATGTTAATGTGCTCCTTTGATTTTTTGGGATGCAGAAGGAAATGGATGCAAACTGCATAAGATATGGGAGAAGGTCAGAGGCAAGTTGTTCATCAAGCCAGCTTTTAGGGTCAAGAAGCCCCAAGAGGCCAAACTTGGAGTTCACTTTGGGCAGGCCTAATTTGAATTGAATGAAAGGCACTATTTAGTAATAAAAAAAAGAGTAGTTTATTTTATAATTCAAACATTTGATTAATTTTTATGATATCCTTACATATAATATCTATAAAAAAATATCTAATATGAAGTTCCCCACCCCCTCCCCATTGCGAAAAAAAGGGAAAAGGAATCAGGTTCTCTAGCTAGCAATATAGCAGGGAAGATTGAAATCATATTTGTTTCTGCTTCCACAAGAAACCCAGAAAGAAGAAAGAGCATAAATGGGAAAGAAGAAAGAAGGGAAGGTGGTAAAGAAAGAGCAAGCAGACAAGCAATGCAGAAAGAAACAGAATGGAGAGAAGAGAGAGAGAGAGAGAGAGAGAGAGAGAGAGAGGGAAAAAAGGAAGTAATACCCTCTGAATTTTGTTCATAGATATTCATTTTGGTATGAGTCGTCGTGAAAAAAGTTATTATTATTGGCGATCTCATTATAAATTATCTTGTTTTTTCGATCGATCGTTTGAGAATTCCCCAAAAATCTTGTCACGGGGCGGCATGACCAACCATTAGACATCAGTTGGGAAGGATTGATTTGTTGCACCAAAAAAGTTACTACTTCATTTTGGCGTTTGGCAATACATTAGATTAGATTACATGATGAGTTGATGTAGTCCCTTCACATCGTAGCTAGGGTCACTTCTAGGAGCAACCTAGCTTAGCTTTGCCACATTTGCTACCTCCATTTTCTGACCCTCTTCCCCAACATTTGTCCACATTGTTGGAAATGTGTGTGCCCCTTCAATGGCCATCCCATCTCTCCATCAGAGGATGCGAACAATGGCAATTGATACGATGGTGATAAAGGGAATAGAATATGACGTCCCAATCGTCATGTACCTAATTAATATTGTCGATTTTTCGTAAGCCTTCCGTAATGACTTGACACTTTACGTGTTATGATACAATTCAAGTACCACATCGGTAATACAAGGGAAGGAAGCCTTGTATAGTAGTGTCCACCAAAATCATCGTGAGCCATTGATTAAAAAATAATTAAAAAACGAACGAGCGAGAACACCGGCACTTCCGGTCATTTCTTTCCCGTGAGCTTTTTTTATTTCTTTTATTTTTTTACATTAGTTGTTGCCGTTGATTTTAACCACGACGGTCGGCAGGTATTTTAAATTCTTTTTGAATTTTTATTTTGATGATTTTGGATGATATTTTTATAAAAAAAATGTTACGGAAGACTTTTATAATGACTTAATACTTTACGTAATGGGGTGTTAATATTCATTACGTAAAATGATCTTCTATTATGTAAGGCTTTCGTAATGGCATTTTCCAACTGTTACGTAAAATACACATCCGTTACGTAATGATAGTTATTTCTTACGTAACGGTTAAATAGAAAATATTATGTAAGGATTCCGTAATGACTTAGCTCTTTACGTAACGCGAGGTTAATACTCATCACACGTAAAAGACCTTCCATTACGTAAGACTTTGGTAATGACATTTTACAACTATTACATACAATACTAATCCATTACGTAAAGGTTACAAAATGATAGTTATTTCTTACGTAACAGATAAATCGAAAGCGTTACGTAAGCCTTCCTTAATGACTTAGCTTTTTACGTAACGCGAGGTTAATAGTCATTACGTAAAGGGACCTTTCATTACGTAAGGTTTCCGTAATGACATTTTACAACTATTATGTAAAATACACATTCCTTATGTAAAGGTTACAAAATGATAGTTATTTCTTATGTAACAGTTAAATTGGAAGAGTTACGTAAGCCTTCCGTAATGACTTGGCACTTTACGTGTTAGGATACAATTCAAGTACCACATCGGTAATACAAGGGAAGGAACCCTTGTATATTAGTGTCCACCAAACTCAATTAGTACGATATTGTCCGCTTTGGGCCAAGCCCGCACGGTTTTACTCTTGGGTGTCTTCCCCAAAAAATCTTGTACTAATGAGCTTGGTGGACACTAATATACAAGGGTTCATTCCCTTGTATTACCGATGTGGTACTTGGATTGTATCCTAACAATCCTCCCCTCAAGACAAGGACCACAAACTTTGTGTCCTCACCTCAGCGATTATCTTGATCCGCCAGACACCTTGTATCGATGGGCTTCTCGGTACAAGGATTTTCCGAGACGCGGAACTCTGTTTGATCCGCCAAATTAGATGTAGCCCATATGCGAAACTCTCTTTCATCCGCCAAACAGACGTGGATCTCTCGTAGACCCACCAAACCAGACGCGAATCATGTTGTTTCAACAGTGCTTACATCTTGATCTGCCACAAACTAAAACTGTTTCTCCCTATAAACTTATCAATCTTCATACTAATAGCAGCCATCCTTGCTATCAAACAAACTCTAACCAAACTTCTGACTCGTCCCGAATATCACAACAAAATCCCACCTAAGGCCCAAGTATAAACCTTAGATGGGTGGAATGTAGGGCAAGTATGTTTAAATATCAACCCGGGCCGGTCCATGTACCCCTACTTCCATTGTTTGAAACATTATCTAGCGGATTGGTTTTTGGTTGAAAACTATGAGGTTTAAATTAAAACAAATCAAAGGTAAATGGTTTGAAAACTCTAGATGAGAAGGATCACTCGGGTGTCGCTTCCCCCTAACTATATACTACCATATCTCGTGGACTCGAATAGGTCGTTATGGGCGACGCAATCGTGAACCGCTAGGAAGTGCAACTATGGTCGAAGATCACACTCTCAATTGTCAAACCAAGGGATACATTATAAGCTACTAGAGTAGCCCTCTTGGTTAAGGCAATTAGAGGTTGACTTACCTTCTCCCTCAAACCGATAGTTAGACGGCTTAATCACGATTAACCTAATCGTTTAATTCAAGATAGAGGTTTGTCATACATTAACATAGGTAAAACTGATAGATTATGAATTATTAGATAAGGAGATCAAATTCTCAACGTGTGTGGATTAGTTCACCAAAGAGAATAGATGTGGCAAATAGTAGGCCAAGCAATAGGATGATGGGCATATATATATGCATGTGAGGAAGACATAAGAGTGTAGGTGGGTCTAATTGATTATTTATGTCCCACAAAAAAGTTTGTGATCCAACTGTCAAATGTGCGGTCTTTATTAGCTGCCCTACGCAAGTGTTGGTTGGTCAAGAAACCAAAAGGAATTATGAATGTTGCAAAATGTACGTAGTACACTAATAAACCGTCGATATCGACCACCCACAAAACCCATTCCTTCTCTCCCAAGTACACATCCCATTCATCCATCAACGACTATATACCAAAATGACAATCATCCATCTCATCATGGGGCTCTTTCTTGTTCCCTCTTTTTGATTAGTCGCAATGAATATAATGCCTAGTCAATATTGGAAGTTTTTTTCTTTCTATCAAGTCATTCTTAGTAGAAAAGATGGTTATTAAAATGAATCCTTAACCTTTATATGGCGATTGGCGAAGACAGAAACAGGGCGGATACATGGAGGAGACACTCCTAAAATTTGAAAAACGATTATCCAAACTTCAATAGTAGTTTGTGTATAGGTAAAAAAAATAGTGATAGTGGAACACCCTTAAATTATGGAAAATGATTATTCAACCTCCTATAGTATTCTGCATATGGGTACAAATAATATTTAAGTGATAGGGTCTATGTGATTTGAACTTGGGAACACTGCTACTATTAGTAAATATAGTTTCAATTAGACTACAACTCATTTGTAGTTATGTTTTAGATCAAAATATGATAGTAAAAGACTATTCTTCCCAATTATTTTCAAAACTTAACGACTAAACCCAATAACGGGTTACCCTTGTCTAGTAGGATATGTCACGAGAGATTTGTTGAGGAGTGTATACACAGAATGTATTTTACCATTCTTTCATAATACGGAACATGTTTGAACTTTTATTCTAACTTTTACTAGTTGAATATTTTCATATTTAATAATTATTTTGATATCCTCGAGATGTTTCTTGGACCTCACGACTTGAGACAGGTGGCCGCCATTCCCATTGGTACTGAGTCACTGGAAGACTTCTCGGCCTGGAGATTTACCGACCAAGGTACGTTCACGGTCAAGTCGGCCTTCCTTCACTTCCACAACCGGTTTAGAGCGTCCCAAGGGCTTGGGGAAACTGTCTCGGAGGCTACCAAAGGGAAGTGGAAATGGATGTGGAGCTTGTCCATCCCCCCGAAGCTGAAATTCTTCGTGTGGAAGATCGCCAGAGGAGCTATTGCTTCAAAAGAAAACCTTTGTTTGAGGAATTGCTCCCCAGCCATGACGTGCCCAGTGTGTGCTTCCCCGACGGAATCTATCCACCATTGCCTCTTCGCTTGCCCTCACGCAGCGGAAGGCTGGCTTCGGGAATGGCCCTCTCTCCCCTCCCCACCCCTCTTACTCCTATCTTGGAGTGGATGAGTGCCTCGATCCTCTCGATCCATAAAATCATCTTTCTCATCTGGCAGACCTGGAAAGCAAGGAATGAGCTTGTGTTCAAGAACACCAAACCATGGCCACCATCTACGGTTGCGAAAGCATCATTGGCGCATCACCAATGGGTCTCCTGCCCCAAGAAACAGGCCACTACTCCTCCTCCAACTCAACTTAACCATCTACCGAATCTCTCTTCACCACCGCCAAGTTCTCATGATTTTGAGATACACTGTGACGGATCGTTTTTCAGCGATTCACAGGAGGAGGCTTATGGCGTCGTTGTTTCGAACAGCCACGGTCAAGTGTGTGACGGTAAAGCTGAGATTATGCATTGTTTTTCCTCACTTGAAGCTGAAGCCAAGGCTCTCTTGGAGGGTTCTCGCCTTGCTGCTAGTCTCCACTCTCCATGTCGGGTTTACTAGGATTGCCTTCTCCTCGTTCAAGCAGTTCATGGTCGTTTTTCGTCATGGCCTTGGCGGGCGGCAGCTTGGATTGGAACTATCAGACAGGTGCTGCTCTCCAACCCTTTGATTCGGATTACGCACATCGGTCGAAAGAACAACTCCAAAGCGAATTGGGTAGCTAGATCTTGTGCCAAGAATTTACTGCCCTCTGAATGGATTCAGATTCTTGATGTTGTACCCCTATTGTAACACTTGGTTTATGCGAAAGTAATGGAAATGCATTGTCCTATTGTAAAAAGAACAATGGATGCAACGTCATAGACCATTACTTTTCTCATGCCTTTAACCTTTCTATTTAGTTTCATCCCCACACACTGCGCGCGTCCCCACTGCTACTACCTTCTGTCAAACTGGAGGAAAAAAAACAGAGGGCAAAAGAAAAAGGAACAAACAACACTCTTCTGCACACTGAAATATTTATTGCATACTCTTCCTTCCTTCCTTCCTTCCTTCCTTCCTTCCACTGTTTAGGCTTTTACAGTTTTACTTTTACTCCTTTCTCTCTCTCACTGTGCAGAGTCTGCAGGCAGCTTTTACTTTATCTGCTGCTGCTTCTTCTTTTTTAACTTTTCCACTTTTCTCTCTCTGTGGTTGGAATGTCAAAGGCAATTATTAAGGCATCATTACACTATCATTCGTTCGTTCCCACGCAGCACAGCAGTTTGCCATGCAGCAGCACTTTCCACGTGTCCCTTTTCTGCACCATCGGTTCATATATATTACCCAATTAATTTTATTAATTACTAATCACACGTAGCTAGCCAGCATCATAATTAGTGTTATCGCCTATGGGGCACACTACTCTACTCTGTCTGCTTGGCAGTAGTAGTAGTAGTACTAGTAATTGTGGAATTAACAATTCCCACCGCAAATCAAACTCTCTTTTTTCAAAAAGGGCGTACCAGGTAATTAAAGAGTAAATATAGTGATCAATATTCTATAGGTACATCCTTCCAGATCAATCTCTTTCCCAACTCTCTTCGCCGTTACATAATCGCATAAGCTTGATTAGGGTTTGTACGTGTGTGTATATATATTATATACAGTACTCAAACGGTTCAATATGCCTTCCTGTTAACATTTCTATTGAAAAATTGTGAATTATATGGTTGAACCAATATTCGGATGACCCGATATCGACAAATGAGAGGCAAAATGTCATTTGTGTCCTCTTGGTTTATTTCTCTAGGTTTCGTTAAAATAAAAGTATCAGAGTTATTTGGCTATACAAAAGAACCACACAAAAAATTCTAAAATGAAATTTATTATGGATATTTTAGATATTTGTGTCGCCAAAATCAACATTCGACCGCTGATGATTGACGGTTTTTGGATAAAAATTTATTGATGAGTAACCCAACCCGGTCGTTTTTCTCCCTCTGTGTCGTCCCTGTTTACGCTGTGCTAGCAAGCAACAGACAGCAGCATCAATTCAGCAGCAGTACTACTACTACGTAGCAAGCTGCTAGCTATAAGCTTCTTTCCTTCTTAATTTCAGCCTTCTCACCAGTTGGTACTTTCTATGCGATGTCTGGGAAAGAAAGACACAGACGGCCGAGAGAGAGAAACAATTAATGGTGGGAACATGGAGAAAGCCAAGTAGGAATGGCAATGGAGGACCATGGCGGGTATCTCGATATTCATACCCGCTTCATGGTAGGTCGAGTAATTTATTACGGAATACGGATCGGGGCAAGTCGACTTAATGAGTATATAATTTATGTGAAAAATGTTAGAAATATTCGTTATTTTCATTAAAAGACCAAGTAACAAATCATAATATGATAAAAATGTAGTTAATTATTAGAGAAATTGAGGTTTTCACTTATTTACAACTTTTTTATAACTAAAATATGAGATAATAAAAGGAAAATCCTAAGTAATTTGACTAAGATTACATGTAATTTAGGCAAGAACGGGTCGAGAATGGGACGGGTTAGGGCAGGTCGGGTCGATGAGAGGTACCCATGCCCGCCCCAAAACAGGCCAAACAGGTCGGGTACAACGGGTCAGGTCGAAATTGTCATCCCTAAAGCCAAGCAACCCACATCAATTCCATTTATATGTACAGTATACTAATTACTTGCTCGAGCTCTTACACCATATTGGTCTCTTCTGCAAAGTTAAAATAGTAAGATACAATTTGGTATTGACTGGGACTTTGGTTCCACAAACAATAGATTACATGTGCATCAAAATAATGCATATATGAAATTGTATGAAAGTAGAACAAGTATAAGAGCAATGATATAGAGAAAAGACACAAGAAGAGATGGATACGAGTTCTTCTTATTCATGTGTTTTAGTATATTTGTGTGCTCTATTTATAGACAAAAATACATAACTCCTACAACTCTAACATTAATACACATAAATGGAAGTAATGTCTCATAAGGAGAAAGAAAACATAAGGAGAAGAGTTACATATAACTTGTAACATACCATGGAGCATCTAATTAATGTGGTCATCCATAATAATAATATTTTCATAACAATACTAAGAGTATGTCTCACATAGAAATATGTCAGACATATGAGTGAAAGATCATGTTCTTGCTAATTGTTTAGCCGAACCAGTTAGACCAAGATCAAGGTTATTTCATAAAGGTAGTTGATTATGTTTTCTAATACCCAATGATACTCTAGGGCTTAGACGGCTTGTATTGAAATTTGTTATGTAGGTCAGATTGAACAATGTTCCTATTGATTTAAATTTTGCTCTTGATGAAAACAGTTGTGGCAGCTAGGTACCCTAAAGTAGGTAATTACTGTCAGTAGGAAAGAAATTAAAACTTGTGGGATGAGGCATAAAATGGCCTCTCATCTGTCTATTTACCTGGTCAATATCAAATTTCCAATACAAAACTACAATTCACTAGAAAATTTCACCAACCATCTCAATCTAATTAAGTGCCAAATCTCATTTACTGATTTTTTTCATTCGAAAAAATTATTGAACCCTAAAATTACACTTATAACAGTCATTCATCTAAAAACAAGGTTGTCAACCCGCAGGTTGACCCGGACCCGGTCGAGATAGTAGGTCAAGGGTTAATGGGTCACCCATTTTAGTCCGGTTTAGCCCGGAAATATGGATAGAGTCATTATCTTATACTTATCCTGATAAATTATATGAAATCTCATCTAACATATGAGTTATAACATATAATATTACACCAAAATCACATGTCGTACTTAGATCCAATATACAGTGAAAATTCACACACAGTTATATAACATTAATATTCAAATGTTCACTTAGGATTTCAAAGATTGAGTTAGGCGAAAATAAAAATAGAAAAATAGGCGCATTTCGCAAACCGAATAAAAAATGACACAATTTGACCTCCAACCCGGTATCTTGTAGCGGTCAACCTGACAGGTGCATGTAGCCCGTTTTTCTCATCAGGTCAACCCGCGGGTTGACAACCTTGTCTAAAAATGATCCCTTGCTACTTTACTATTAAATACACCATTTATTAGCGCATCAACTATCTCTCTATCAATGGAAAGGTATCTAACTATCTCATTAAATTAACTTTTTTCAAACTTTGACAAGAAAAATTAGAACTGGGTAAAGAATTTCACAGCACGAGAGAGAGTGAAAGACAAATATATATTTGTTTTTTTTTTTTATTTCCGAGAAAGACATATATATTTGTTTGTGGTAAAAGAAGGAACGCATAGAGTAAGGCGGGATTCCCGCGGGATCCAAATAGGATGATCCCATCATTCTTTTTTCGGCTTAATTGCAAGTTTGGTCACTCGAATTACTACAAAATTTCACGTTTGCCACTCAAATTAATTAATTCCATTTATAGTCACTTAAAATAGGTTAACAGTCCAAGTTTGGTCACTGGCCGTTAGTCTCCGTTAATTTTTGCTGATGTGGCGGTCAACTCTTATAGTTGACCGTTAAATGCATGACGTGGCAATTAAAAAAATATAAAAAAATAATATTTAATATTTCTATAATTTCCACCTCATTTTCAAAATTATTAAAAAATAAAATTTTTATTTCCTCTGGCCGGCGCCGGCGACCAAGCTGCACCACTTCCGCCTCGGACGCCGTCATACACAGCGCCGCCGCACGAGATCTGCGACTGCGGCGGCGGAGGAGGAAGCTTCGGCCAGGCAGCGGTCTTCACTTGTTGTTGTTGTTGTTGCCTCTCCCAGACAGAAGGCCACTGTCCCTTCGGAGCCCCCTGTTCTAGCCTCAACTGCTGAATCTGCAAAAACAGAGAAATTACTGAGCACCGAAACTCTTTTAAAACAGTAAAATTTTCCCCCCAAATTGGCGACAGAGGAGCTTTACAACTTACCTGAGGGGTATTATGGCCGAGGGAGTAAACCGACCCAGATGGAATCCTTTGAGACATCTTCAGCCTCGCCACTTGCCCTGCAGCGGCGTAAATCAGATCCCACGCGTCGTTCTTAGCACCAATTGGAGCCGGAGTAGTTGTAGGAGACAAGGCGCCGTTGGGGCTGCCGTTGCTGGAAACCGACATGCTGCCCAACCCGTTGAGCGTGGACTCGGGCGACCCGACCACAACCCGGTTCTCCTGTGAAGGAAGAAGAAGAAGAAGAAAAAACAGAGTGAGTTTCTCGGTGAGGAGAAAAGTTAAGTGGAAAAAACAGAGTGAAGAGGGGGAGAAATATACCGGTGACTTGAAGGTGAGTTGCTGGGTGAGGCGGCGAGTCAACCCGGCGAAGAAGTCGTCCTCGTCGTAGAAGGTGTCAGAGTCAGGGGACGAGTCGAAGTCGTAGGGGAACTCGGAGGGGAAGGTGAACTCGGGCTTGTGTGGAAGCCAGGAATCCGGGTCTCCGACGGACAGGGTAGCCATTGATAAAAGTGGGGAAAAGAACAGAGTTTGGGGAGGGAAAGAGAGTCTGTGGTGGGAAAGGAGAGGTAGCAGAGGAAGGAGAAGGGAGGGTTTAATAATAAATGGGGGAAACAGTCAAGCTTCTGCTGGATTTGCAGGAGGCACCGGTGAAACAGAGGGCCCAATAGAAAAAGAGGAAAGGTAGTGAGAGAAAGAGAGAGAGAGAGAGGGCGCCGGCGACCAAGCTGCACCACTTCCGCCTCGGACGCCGTCATACACAGCGCCGCCGCACGAGATCTGCGACTGCGGCGGCGGAGGAGGAAGCTTCGGCCAGGCAGCGGTCTTCACTTGTTGTTGTTGTTGTTGTTGTTGCCTCTCCCAGACAGAACGTACTTAGCCATGGAAGTTGCGAACCTCTGAGTACTCGCCCGCAGCAGCGAGGACGACAGCGACGACAAGGCGTCCGAGGCGGAAGTGGTGCAGCTTGGTCGCCGGCGCCGGCCAGAGGAAATAAAAATTTTATTTTTTAATAATTTTGAAAATGAGGTGGAAATTATAAAAATATTAAATATTATTTTTTTATATTTTTTTAATTGCCACGTCATGCATTTAACGGTCAACTATAAGAGTTGACCGCCACATCAGCAAAAGTTAACGGAGACTAACGGCCAGTGACTAAACTTGGACTGTTAACCTATTTTAAGTGACTATAAATGAAATTAATTAATTTGAGTGGCAAACGTGAAATTTTTTAGCAATTCGAGTGACCAAACTTGCAATTAAGCCTTCTTTTTTCTCTCGACAAAATACCCGGCCAATATTATTTATTTATTTTTAAGAAAAAAATATAATAAATGCCAAATTGACAAGGCAGCCTAGCTAGGGCCTAGGAGAGGACCAACAAACAAACAAACAGCATGTATCACAAATGCATGGTCTCCCAATAGAAAAAATAAAATAAAATAAATTGAAGAAACAATATGCATAAAATACTTTTATTCTTTATTTCTTATAATATAATATCAAGAAAATATGGGAAAATACTTAGCACACGTGGCAAGGAAGAGGTTGACATGTCAATGAAATGGGGGAGCGGGTTTTGTGGGATACGGTCAAAGAGACGAAAGGTCAGTACTGTCAGAAGAAGACACAAATCAAATGACAATTTGAATAAGAAAATTCCATTATTATTTATTTTATTTAAATGAAAAGGAAGAAAGAGAGAGAGAGAGAGAGAGAGAGAGCGCGCGGGGGAAATGATTTTGCAATCGATTGCTTTATGATTGACGCCTCGCTGACAGTATAAGCAGCAGTAGGCCTTGGCCCTAGAAGAGTGTCAGCAATAGCATTCAATTCATAGCAGCTTTGTCCTTTCACTTCTCTCTCTATACTCTATAGGGCTACCTCTCTCTCTCTCTCTCTCTCTCTCTGGAATTCTTGTTTTCAATGGTGAGGCACGTAATAGAGTTTTCTAGCTCACATAATTAAAGCTTGTGCATGTGTTTGTAATTGTAGCTAGCTAGGTTAACCAAATCTCGCTGCATGATTTATCGTACCGTGTCACGTGTATCGTCTTGTTATTCGTTAGTTTTCTTCTTAATTTTGTTTTGTCTACCATTGCGAACAATAGATTAGTGTCCAGTTGTACATGCTAATTGAGAATGATGACGATGTACCGTGTACGCCTTGTGTGGCCAAAAAGCCCATTTGCGGATTTCTCTCCAATTTGTCACTTTATCAAATCTCATAATAAGAGAGAACCCCATTTGGAACAAGAGGAATGTTGTATTCATTCCACCATCTTTGCAAGGAATAGTTTTGGGACTAATTAATTGCCCTCCCCTAAAACAGAAGTAAGAGGATGGGTGAAAATTACTACAACTTAACCCCCCAAAACAAAGGATGTGTAAGGGGGGAGGTTCCTTTCCAAAGTTTCCCAAACTCCATTAAAGGAAGCTTGCTGGTAAAACTTCTTTTGCTCATATTTATAGGGAGTTCTTTTTACTTTTGCTACCACTCCATTCATGGCATTTCACCCATCTTTTGGATGGGATCTTTTTCCCCCCCATTTTGTGTGTGTGTGTGTTCAAGTGGTACATTTTCCTCAATGAATAATGAAGTCATGCATATGAACAATGTTGCATGTCTCAAGCTAGTTCATAGTGCTTTAATTTGTTGTTAAACTACAAAAAAGAGAAAGAAAAAACCCAAAAAGATGTGCTTTTGGTAATCAAAGTTGGCAACTTTAGTAAAACCCATTACTAGAAAGAAGGTAGAAATGTGGGAATGAATGACTGAATAAAGGGGAGAGAAATAAAGAAGAAGGTAGAAAACCTAGAAAATTATACATTCATAATGACTAGCTTTTTGAGAAGGATGTGACAGAAGAAAGAGGCAAACATATTTACTTCTCTCTCTCTCTGCTATCAGACAAAAAGGAGAGAATTGGGAGTGTGTGAAAAATAAGTTCGCATTCACTCTTATCTTCTTCTTCATCTCATCTCATCTCATCTCATCTCCTTTCCCTTTCCTTTCTTCTCCTTGTTGCAATGTTCTGTTCACTGACGACAGTTCAGTACAGGAAAGTAACTGCACCACCACCACCACCCAACATCAATTCATTTCATAGCAAGCAAGCAAATGCATCCCCTCCTTTGTTGTTACAGCATTTAGTGTCGTGGTCCATCGACTTCCGGAAAGTTCCTGATATGGGAATTGTTAAATAGATAGAACGAACGTAAAAACAAATATGTTTCATATCAATTCTTCACTAGTTGGTTAAGGCCAAAACGAAAGTCGCTAGGAAGAATAGACGATACATAAACAAACTCGGATTGAACCCTAGATGGGAAAATGTCCTTGGAAGAAAAGCAAAGCATACATGTTATTTGAACGTCTGCACTCCCCTCTTCTTGGGGCCAAGAAATGTCAAATAGGGGAAACCGATTTAGCTGGCCCAGTGCATACGAGGCTGATAAGCTGTCCAATGGGCTGCTTCCCGGAACTCTGTTGCTGGGCTGTTTAAACTTTCGTCCAAAGTTATTGGGCCAGATCCAATCCATACAAAATGAGAAGGTAGTTGCTACCTTGGTGTTTCTAATAATGCATGATTCAAGTGCCTGACATTTTACGAAATACTGGTTTCAGGTACACTCCAGTTGATTCTCAGGAGCTGCTGGAATCTGTTTCTAAGCAAACAGTTGATTCATGTAAGCATGTGTGTTTTGACTTCTACTCCGAACCTTCATGTAGAACAATCTGGGGGAAAAAAAATGTGCTAGTCAAGCTACACAATCAAATATGTGTATGCTCCTTGCAGTTGAAACTTACCAACCCGAGCTAGAAAGGTGGAAGTCAGGTGGTAGAGGGAAAGCATGGAGCTGCCAGGATTGATAACTGCGCTGCATCTTCATCCAGCGTTCAGTGTCTGGATTTCGGACACAATCAATGGATAAAGCTCAAGAAACATACTTTTCTTGACCCTTACAACACGAGCCAGATAAAATGACCAGCAAAGAAACCAGAGTAAAACCGGCCTGGGCTGATTAAGGGGTCAGATTTATCCCGATGGGAGTAAGCTGTCCCATCATTGTTCTTTTGCGTTCATTCGTCCAGCAATCATCACATTAGAAAGTAGCTTAATAGTTTTGTGACCATACATGAGGCCTCCAATAAGACCGAAGTACCATTGTAGACCATCGTTAGCTCGTAAAATTGATCGTCGGCTGGCCCTCGTGGATCAGCAAAATCTGATGTAAGGACCTTTCTGATTTCCTCAAGTCTATAGAGTCTAAACCGTTGATTTGCTACTGCAGCAAATAGATAAATCCGTCTCACCACAGAAGGATTTGCGAGCGATTGCAAGAACCTAGTGTCCCGATGCCCACCTGGGTGCCATCATTTCTCGAGTTTTCATCGACAATGAACAGTAACAACAGTAATGATCAGGCAAAGACTACCAGGACTAATAACAAACATCCCAAACTACCAACTTGTTTCAGAACAAAAATGAAGACAGTACCACGATAAGGTCGACACATTCCAAGACTACCAGAGACCATTCCGACCAAGTATTTGAAGTTCAAACTTATATCAAACAGGAGAAATACTACCAACCATACAGCGGAAGAGATAACATATAGAGAGAGAGCTTAAGCTTGTTGACGCCACCACCAAAAGCCACTTCTGGCTTCTGCTACTTTCACCTAGTTGCTTCGAACCTCTGGCTTGGATACCACCTGCAAGATTCACCAGCCAATGGTTTTACTACGAAAACGTTGCATGGTCGACATGAACAAAAGCACAACGATGACTGCCAATCCACATCTCATCCAGTACCACCAAATTGGCAAAACTGAACTCATAATCAATAGGCTTAACCATGGTTCATCCCGATAAAATCACAGTTCTTGGCCCCAATACCTCCCAGACCATTGCAACATGCCAACGAAGGGAACAAATCGAGCTTCATGTCACAACCCGGAAAAAAAAAAACATGAAATTGCGTACGTCAGGGATTCCTACTTCTGAAATTACTTGCATCTTCCGATGGATCATTTTTTTCTCAATCATGCAGGTCCTCTCAATTACAAAAATGACAAACCAGAAGAGCTACAAGATCATAAACAATTTTTTACCATCTCGACTCAAATTTAAAAATGCCAGTAAAATTTCTACTTATCCCCAGACAACAAAAGATAGAGACTAGAGAGTACAAACCATATGAAGTCATACCTGGTTTCGGTTCAGGTTCATTATTGTGGTCTTCAGCAAAGTGTCCCCAACAATTAGTCTCAACTGTCTAACAAAGTCTTCCCTGCTCGTCCTTTTTGCCTGACGACACAGCCAGAAATGAATATTTGACAGCAGATTTAGTGAAGGGCAAACCAGAGGAACAAAAGAAAGCAAAATGCAGAGAAGATAATGACCTACCCGGAATTCCTCATAATGATTAATAACCAGTTCCATGTCCCTCCTAGCAATTTTAGTAGAGACAGCAGCAAAAAGCTTAGGGAAAGGCATCCAAGGAGAACTATGATTCCTTCCATTGCTTGAACCCAGACTATTTGCTTGTCCAATAGATGCCCCAGAGTCAGAAAGCGGTCTACTTTCACTGACCTGTGACAACAGAGGACAAAGGATGTATCTCAGTAGTAGGTAACTCATTCATGTCCGACATACTAGCCAAACAATCAACAGAGATCACTCTCATATGAAAAACATTTGTTACCATCATTCCAGAGACAGTCACTAGTCACTACATCACCAAACCAATTATGAACCTGTGCTTACCTGATCAGATGCAGGGGCCAAATTAAGATCCACCACGGGGGACTGTACAGGTAAATTCAGATCCACATGATGAGAACTCATCAGGAAATTCCCCTCAACTGCATTTGTAGCAGTGGTGATACCAGAGGCAGCATACTTGCTCTCGCTCCCATTCGCAAGACCTATAGAAGATACACAAAAAATGCTAACTTTCAAGTACAAAAAGATTATCAAAGGGAAATGTTTTTGTTATCTGAGCATCTGTAGAAGACACCGCCCAGATAGGTTCTCGAAACAATGTGGTTGAGGAAGATTTTGATCTCGGCTGCAATAAACCACAACCAAGAGTTGTCCACGCATCATGCAACAGAATCTGCCTTCTATACCATGGACACCAAGTTCTTGGCATTCCAGACGAGTGCACAGAAGTCTTTGATGAGTCACTTGCAACCATCTCAGCTCATAGGCCAAGAACGACCCACAATGACCAATGATGGATCAGCAAAGAATTAATGAGACTTCAAGAGTACAAAAGCAGCTGGTCCCACACCACGCGAGAAAGAACATACAGAGACAAGTGTAAATAAGGGGGGGGGGAAAGGAAATAGCTAATCACCTTCACCACTGGAAGAGACCTTGAAACTAACAACATATTGCGGGAAAATGTGGGTGTTCACATTCATATTCCAAACTACATACTGTCTTGGATTTTGAAGATCGTCCACTCCATTATCAAAGACCTCACTACTGGGATGGAACTGCCGAGTCCCTGGCTGAAGAGGCTCCATATTTCCCATTATCACGCGACAAAATACGATATGTCGAGTGCCATTTTCGTCAACATCACAATCACTGGCACTGTTGGTAAATAAAAAAGTTCAATCCTAAGTAGCAAAACGACAACACTGACAATCACAAAATCTTGCCAATGAGAAGTGCGTAGAAAGATCCACATCAAACACAACAAAACTAACTACACACTTTTTTATCCAAGAAATAACTACGTACTTCAAGCAACCAATTCATAAGTCATAACGAAAACACAGTTCAAACAAAAGCCATAACAACTAAGATATCTAACTGGGTATGCTCCACAAACACCACTAAAAAGGGTACTTCAATGGCCTAACAAGGAACAGGAAGAGTTAAAAGTCCACAACCCACCACTGAACAAATTACCAAGCCATCAATAGTCCTGCTACTACTATTTCTAATATCATTACTTGATTCATCAGTGTTTTAAGCTCATCATTAGTTGCAGGCTCATAGTCCTCAAGAGAAACAGTAAGCACATATACAGATAGCTTGCACATCTCAAAATCTAATAAAATTTTCAAACCTGATGTGACAATGATCTGCAGCAGATAGATGAATGCCAACAGCATATCTGAACTTTGTGGCAGAAGGCCGACAATGTCCCAGTCCGTAAGTCATAAGCATAGGCAATGCTGCTTTGGAAGAAGCAAGCCAAGCATATCGAACATTTGCATCACCACGGCACTTCTGGGTCAGCTCCATCTGTTTCTCAAAAATTTCTAACCGATCTTGTAACAAATTGCTCGAACACGGTAAAACATTAAGCACCTCAGCACCTTGAGGACATTTCATGCCTCTGATAAAAAAATTCTGCACAGAGTCTGAATCAAATTTTACATCAAAAGATTGAGGCTTAGGGACAGATGGTGGTTTAATATGTTGGTTTCCTTGGAAAGCTTCAACAGACTTCCGGTTGCAGCTATCTTCAACTTCAACAATGTAATGATCGCTGCCAGGTTTGGGAACAACTTGGATATGCTTGAGAAGAGCATCCGACTCCCCGCTACACTCCTTCAACTTAGTCTGCTGGTCCACGCTGTTTATGTCAATTTCCAGTTGCAGCTTAATTTCATGAGGCCCATACTGATTTTTTCCATAATCCTCACTACTTAATTCGTCATCATCAGCATAAATTTCTGGAAAGAAGCAGGCACCTGCTTCATCGATCCAAGCAATTGGTATTTGAGAGCCTGTCTTCAAGTCAAGTTGAAACATATGCAAGAAATCTAGCATATAATGGCGCCCTTCCACCTCAACTTCAAGTACAGCCTTCTTTATTTGAAGATCCTTTCTTACCAAGGTGACAAGATCTTCTGCAAAGTCTGTCCATTCTCCATTCTGATAAAACATGAGACGTGCCGGCACTCCAGTCCTCGAAAAATTGGAATATCGCTGGAGAATGGATTTCTTGCAAGGAAAGCCACAGCTTGTAGGCTTGCCCAAGCGATCATTAACTCTCCTTCGTTTTCCCAGCATAGGAGTAGAACAATCCAAAGCAGGACAGTCAGCCAACACTGTTTGCGAAGCTCTGGCAAAATTAGCCGCACAGCGGGATGCACGCTTTCTCTTTAAGCCGAGCATAACCTTGCTTCTTCTATCCAACACCTTTCCGAACTTGGTTTCCATGTCTAGCTACTAGATCTATCACTAATAAAACTCTGAAGAACAAAGGTTTGGATTTACAGTAACGCAACAACTCTGTCCTCCAGCCACCAGTTTGAAAGTCAGGATGCAATCAGAGCCATTTGGGTAAGCCTGTGCAGTGTTTGACGAAATAAATGTAAGCAGAGGTACAGATATGTAACTTATTGTCAAAGGGCAGCGTCAGGTCACATTGATCCACAACATATGAACCATGCACGAAGGAGAAAGATAAACCAACCAAGGATGCAGTGTTTACTAAACATACTCTTTAAGAAACCTTTACTACCACTAACAAACAACATAAAGCAAACCACAATACTGCTACTTAAAAAAAAAAAAAAAAAAAGCTTTTGGCGCAGTGCACAGAGAAAAATACAACCGAGAGAAATAAACACTAACTAAAACGGCATCAAGCTTTCTGGTTATGATATAACCAGAAAGAGAACTTTTTGATACTAGCAGCTGCAATACCAGGAAGAGAATATACAAGCCAACTAAGTTCTACACGTTATTACTAGCTACAGAAAACAGTATGCTATGCATCAGAAACAGAAACAGAGAACAACAAGGATAACTCTAAACCAAGACAATAACTTGACAGCTAAAAGCCCGCGCTGCCAATTAGAAACTCAAAATCAGTACCCACCTGATTATTAGAAACATATTCGCATCAAAAGACAACAATGAATTGGAAATAAAATACTTCACAAGAACAGCACAAAGAAAAATGATATACATAGCAGAGAATTACCTAACACTGCAACTAACGATGATCATATACATGTTCCTCCTCTCCTATATAAACACTCAACACTATCTCTGGAAGCAAGCAAGCTCCCTTATTTATCTCACAAGCCTAGAGTTAGCTCTGCACACCTGCAAGCGCAACAACCATCATCAAACCATGATCAGAAAGAAAAGAGTCCCAATCACAAAGGCAGAATCAACCACAGTCCAACGGAAGAAATAGTTGCCAATTTCCATTATCCGGAAGGAAACACCAGATCTCAACTCTACGAACCAAAAAGTCCAATTTGGCGCTAAAAGAAAATATCAGTACATGGAGACTTCAGAATTGAAAGCCAAAGTCAAACCAAACGAAAAGAAAACTCTTGAAAACGAGAACCGCCAATCCAATTCGGACTCCACACACCTCAATCACAGGGGAACTTCCTCGAAACCGAACCCGATCTATGACTTACAGCCACTAGAACCAGCAACCACGGTGAATAACATCAGAGGAAGATAAAGAAAAAAAATTCAACGACCAGCAGCCCGCTTACCGTCGATCATACATCACAAGGGATGACGAAAGCGATTTGGGCGGACGACGAGTGCTATTCTGCTCCGCCGACGTTCCGATTAGGCGCTAAAAACCCTAATACTAGAAAGGCGGAGAGAGAGAAGGAGAGGTGGAGGAGGAGGACGGAACAGTATGAATCGGATAGAGAAAAGGGGGATGATACGGCACCGTTCTCTCCGGTTCTAAGAAAGGGGGCGGTGGAATAAAGATGGATAAAAAGGAAGTTTCCGACTCCGTTGACGGTAGCGGAAATTGAAGTCGGCGGACTCTTCCCTGTGAATGGATACACACTGCTCTGCTCTCTCTTCTCTCTCTTCCTCTCTCTCTCTCTTCCCCTCAGTATTTTAATTTGATATTTGCTTGGGCAGAAAGCAAGGGGAGGCCTAAAAATTGAGTGGAAATAAATACCCCAAAGACTTGTGGGTAGGGTTTGCTAGTGTTACAAGCGGGTGACAGACGATGGCTTTTCTTTACTTGGGCCTGGGTTTGTGTGATTTTTTTGGACCCAGTACGAGGAGAGGTTATTGGTGGATTTGAAGTCTCGTAGTTGGTTTTGGTTTTGGTTTTGGTTTTGTGGAGGATGATTTGGGTTCCGGTTGTGTATTTTTTTTTTATTATCGAGGACAAAATAAGACACAACTAACCCAACCAAAGGTAAAATAGCTTAACGGTATCCAAGCTGCGGAGGATGATTCCGGGTTCCGGGTACTACTAAATTTGGGACAACAAGCCGAGAAGGATGACTCCGTTCGCGTCGTCACCACCAGCAACCTTGTACCTTCGGGAACACCAACGAGCCTCGCTTGGATTCGAACCTGGAATCTGCAACTCCCAAACCTTCACCGTCGCGACAGCTTTACCGTTAGGCTATCTTACCTTTGGTTGGGTTAGTTGTGTCTTATATTGCTATTTCATGGTGAAGTTATTATTGAGCCTAATGAACTCCAAGGTCTCTTTACTAGCTAGCTCGTGTCAGCTCTAATCAGTTCTTTTATCTATCGATGTATCTCAACTTGTAGGCTAACTTTCTAAATTTAGAATTGGGTGGGGGAAAATGTTGTTAGTCGGTCTGTGTTAGCCTGCAACGTTGAATATAACAATGCTTACTTTGAGACTTGATTTAACCAACTCAACTGAATCACCATCTAACGAGCTTGCATAGTAAGTTCAGTGGTCATTTCTACCGTCTGCGACTTCAATAGCCCACACTCCACGCTTACCCCTGAAAATTCATCTCATATCACATCTATTAATTACAAGGGATCTAATTTACTTATAAGGTCAATTCAACATTAAACACTAAGCTAAGCTGGTTGGACTTTATCCAGGCAGACGACCCATTCCTAGCCTAGGTGGCCATACAGTTTTCAACAGGCTAGGAGTCAAGACGGACTTGTAACAAGTTAGTTGATATGAAATTTGGCTATGAATGAACTTAAGTTTAGAATTCTTATGGTGGGACAGCAAGCCGACAAGGTACCAGCTTAATGAGGTTCCAAAAGCTAAGTATGAAGATCAAGTCGTCAAGGTACCAACCTAATGAGATGGAGGTGACAAAGTCCCAAGTCGACAGGATGACTGACTCACACGAAATTACACCACGAATTAATCCCGAATAGAGTCCAAGTTTTTAAACTCTAGCCGGGTGCAGTATAGGGCAAGTATTTAAATTGTCAACCAGGGTCGGTCCATGTACCCCTACTTCAATCACTTAAGTTGTTATCTAGCAAAACGGTTTTTTGGGTTTAAAACTATGAGAAGTACAAATGAAAACAAGCAAGTAAAGTAAATTGAGGGGAATTCTATATGAGAGGACCTCACTTGGGTGTTGCTTCCCCCTAACTACTACCATGGTATGTGAATTGAAACAATTGCTATGGGCAAGGTAACTGCGAAACGCAGAGGGATGCAAATATGGTCGTAGACCACACTCTCAATTGCTAAACCGAGGAATACATTATAGGTCGTGTCACTCGGCCCTCTCGGTTTAGGCAATCGGTGGCTAACTTACTCCCTCACTCAACTCAAGGGTTGGACGGCTTAATCGCGCTTAACCAATTTGCTTAATTCAACATTGAGGTTTGCCCTAATTTAACCTAGTTAGGTGACTTAAAAAGCTAAAGGAAAACCAGCTCGATTGGGTCTCCTTTGAAAGGGGGATTTTCCTCTCTAATCTAAGGTCATGTTCACTTCCATTTTCGTTTCCTGTTTTCTGTTTTCATGTCATAAATTTTACAACCGAAACGAGAAAACTTGTTTATTTTTCATTTCGTTTTCTATTCGTTTCCAACTAGGGGTGGACATTCGGTCGGTTCGGTTCAAACCGAACTGAAATTATGCATATCGGGTCCCCGAATTCTATCAAACCTCAAACCGAATTCGAACCGAATTATAATTCGGTTATGTCGGTTCAAACCGAATTATAATTCGGTTCGGTTTGATTTTTCATACAAAACCGAAATAGTGAGGTTAGCTTGTATCTTCTCTTTTTTAAATTATTTTTGACCCATAATGTAAACAATAAATATGCATCATCAATGATAAAATCAAACAATTCAACACATAAGTCATAAACACTAACATGATTCAAATATTTAAGGAAAGTATGAAGATAAGGTCATCAAGTACCAACTTGACGAGCTCTAAAAACTGAGTCTGGAGACCAAATCGTCAAGACAATCTTGGTAGCAGGCAACGAGGTACCAACATGGCAAGGAAATGAGGTATCAAGTTACCAGATCTCTTAAAAAAACTAAATATGGAATGGAACAGGGTACAAAGCTGACATGGAAAAGAGATGTCAAGTTAATTACACAGGTTTGGTGACAGCTAGAAGAGTACCAACCTGATGAGATGGGGACATAAGGTGGTCATCTCATAGGGTACCAAGCTGCCAGGGTGGCAAGATACCAACTTGATAAGGTTCAAAAAACTAAGTTCGAAGATCAAGCCGACAGGGTACCAAGCCAGCAGGTGGCAAGGTACCAAGTGAAGCTCATAAAATTAAGTATGCAAATCAAGCCATAAGGATGGGCTTAGTGGCCACATGACAAGGCCGAGCTGACATGGCGACAAGATATCAACTTGACAAGGCTAAAAAAAAAGTATGTCTTCGATACATTTTGTGAATGACCAACTTGTTCAACGTCATCACCATCCATGTTACCTGTTTGCTGAACCTCCTCGGATGTCCCTCCCCAACATCTTCATCCACCTTCATAGTAGGTCGAACATACTCATTCGGCTCATTGTCATCTTAAAACACTTGCTCAACCTCTTCCCCCAATCTAGTCATCTCGAACATACACTTCAGTCTCATGCGATGAATACGAACCCTAATTTCATAGTATTCTACTATTCTTCATTCGATTTTTGAGCCTCGCAATCATCTAACCGGATGAACTCGATTACGAATGAGTTGCCACCTTCCTCATCGGTAGCATCCTCACTATGCCCGTAGTTGTCTCCCATCTCTCTAGTAGACTTGGTTGCTTCAAAAAACAACGACAACTCTCCTTGCTCGACATCTTCAAATAAGCCATTAATCCCATCAACATCATTGTGTATCTCGTGAAACCCATTGGATATGCTTTGTCCCAGAGTCAAGTATCACACCCTCTCAATTGACAAATAATGGAAATCTTCGATCAATGTACTCACAATCTCAGAGTATGACAGAACATTCACCTCCAAATCAAACATGTCTACAAGACTACAACCCCACTAACATAATTTGGCACCTCATCTGATGTATCTATCATTCCCCTGTGATGAAACACATGTTCAATACTCATCCAACACAACTTGGTTAAAATATGGTTATTTGATGGTCGACAAACACGTTTTATTGTCTCCACGTGATTGACGAACAATAAACCATACAAACACATACAAACATACAATTTTTTAGTTTCCTCCACATGTTTCACAATCCATAAACCAAAAAAGAACAAAAAGGGCACTTATTTATTAAGTTCGGCTATTTCCCAAATTCGAAATCCATAAAGTCTAGAAAACAACAACGAGATCGTTATATGGTTCATATTGAAAGTTGATCTTCGTAGTCGTGGTCCCTTGCTCAACTAGTCCAGCAAAAAAATGACAATGACCTAGAACTTTGTTTTTTTATATCTGATAGAAGGCATGAGAGGGAATGAGGTTGGCGATGGCGAGAGAAGAAGGCGACGCCAGTAAAAGTAGGATCAAGGGTTGTGGCACCGACTAAAGAATCATTGAGCCACGCTTGATTTGATTGGAGGGATTCTCGGCCTGGGGGAGGAGACTATGGTCTATGAAGAGAAAGAAAGAAGATAAAGGGAGGAAGGAAGGGCGAAATGATGTGGTGTGGTCCTCCTCTCTCTCTTTTTTTTTATTAATTTCATAAATGATGTGGACGATTCTTGTTAGTAGAGGTTGTTGAGTCACCAATGCGAAAAATAGTTGACCTCCATAAGTCATGATTATGCTACTAGAAATTTAGGAGTTTTTTTCCAATTCTAGCACCATTATAAAAAAAATTACAAAAATAGCACACATCCGAAAAAATTTACACTACTAGCACCTTTTTTTATGGAACGCACCTTAGAGGTGCGTTTTATAAAGAAACCGCATCCTTAGGGTGCGTTTCCTACATAAAACGCACCTCTAAGGTGCGGTTTATGCCACGTCAAAATGAGAAACGCACCTTGGAGGTGCATTCTACGTTTGGTGGGCAGCGGCCTTACAGACCGCAGGATTGTAGTGCGATCTAGCGGGCAGGAGCAATGCCACGTCAGCAATCCGCACCGTAGATCGCACAACGCAGCATGGAGGAGCGGTTTGGCGCCTTGAATCGCGGAACGCATCGTTCCAGAGCGGTCAGCGCCTCGGGAAGCGGAGACCGCATAAGAAGGGAGCGGTTTCTGCTCTGGCAAAATTACCAGACCGCCCCTGGAGGGTGCGGTCTGTTGGGTATAAATACCCCCCCCCTCCCCCTCTCATTTCTTCACACCACAACCCATTCTTTCTTCTCTCTCTAGATTTTATCTCTCTAAACCCTCCCCTCCCAAAAGTCTAGGAAATAGAAGTCTGTTGGTTGCGGCTAAGTCCGATCTGCAATCAGAAAATATTTCGTAGGTTTTTTCCTCAAAACCCGTCGACCCGAGCCGAAGCTCTGTCCGAATTGCGCCGAAAAAATGGCCGATTGGTGGCAAGGAGAGGGAGTTTATGTTGATGAATTTCAAGTGGTATGTACTCATTATTCTGGTTTAATTTTTGTTGTTGTTATAAGTTTTTTAATTAATCTATGTACTAACCTCGTTGTTATTTTCTCGTAGGTTGGGGAGGACGTCGATATATACAACCAACGGTATTATCTCGAGCAAGGACCGTTGGATCCAACCGACTTGTACGACCAACCCAACCATCGGTCAAGGGATGTTTGGAACGCTCACCCGGTACATACAATTCTTCACCATTTGTCCTTCTTTTATTTTGTTAATGTGCCTAGTGTAATATAAAATAAATTTATGTTGATTTTCTAATCGTGTTGGTGGTTTTCAATAATTTAATCGAATACATAGCGCCACTTACTTCGACTCTTTATAAAGAGATGCACGTCTAAGGAAATGGGGTTTTAAGCGATTATCATATCCTCCCATTACGATAATATGTATGTACCTCTTTAAATTATTATTCATTGACAATGTTATTATGTTAATTAATTTAGGAATTTTGTTTTATGATAATATGATAATATGAAATGTCTTTTTATGATAATAAAATTCTGCTTGATGTCGCATAATTTAATTTAATTAATTTAGTTATAAGAAAAAAAACCCCTTACTAATATATAATAATTAACGTGTAAATTTTTGCTAGGAGTAACAAACAATAATCCGCTACAGGGGTACCACCAATGTGCTCCCATTCCACCCAGCTATCTTGCCCTTTCTCAAAAGGGCACGGTTAGACTCGATTAGGCATTTTAACGGCATCCAAATTGATCGCCAACTCATCACCGCATTAGCCGAGAGATGGAGAAAGGAGACCCATTGTTTCAACTTTAGAGAAGGAGAGGCCACCATCACGCTAAAGGATGTCGCCATCCTAACCCATCTGCCCATCGACGGCAAACCGGTGTGCGTGAGTGATCATCCCCCCGAGGATCGTGACGGTATGCCTGGTTGGGTTCATTTCATCCACAGTCATTTGGGAGTGAAAGTACCGGTGAAGGGTTGCGTTGATGCGACCGATCGTATGCCACCAATGATTAAACACCAAGTCTCAATTACATGGTTGACGAAGTATTTTAGAGACCATTACGAGAGTCATCCCCTAACCGAGGAAAGTCTGGAGGATGAGAAGGAGAGATATGCTCGTGTCTATCTCATAGGCATGATCGGAGGAGTGTTCTTCTCCAAGAAATCAAGCAATCTCCTTAGTTGTGGATGGCTTAGGATCATTTTCAGTAGTTGGGAGGAGATGGGGGAGTATAGTTGGGCATCTGCTTGCCTAGCTATGATCTACCACAACTTGTGCAATGCGTCTCTAAAAGCTGTGAGGGAGGTCGGCGGCGGAATGTTCATCGTCCAATTTTGGGCTTGGGAGCATATGCCATGGATTGCACCGGTCCAACGTCCAGACAGGGATTGGCCAATCGATCATCCCCTAAGAGGTGAAGCTTATGGGGTAAGGTAAACTTCTCATACCCCATCATGTAGTCATAACATATTTTCCCTTGTGTTTTATCTTATTGTAGTTTCATTATTGTCTTATTAATAACGTGGCTCGGACACACCACATGCGACAACCTTGTCCAACACAAGTTGGACGAGTATCGGAGGAGGTTTGAGCGACTTTGGGAAGGAGAGGTAACTTCTATACTGCGATCCATTTATCATTTTTTTCATTGTATTTTTCTAATTAATTAATCTTACTTTACTCATTTCTTTCTTGTAGATCGTCTTCGTTCCATACCCGGAGAACATCGTCCAATGACATCTCCAGCAATTCCCCGGTCATATCGGGCAATGGTGCACGAGGGTTCCTCTAATTTGTTTTGGGACCGTGGAGTGGCACTTGCTGGATCGATGCCTCCGTCAGTTTGGTCGGGAGCAGTGCATTCCGTTGGAGGTCCCCGATAGTCAAAGGGCCTTCCATGGCCGAGATGGTCGACAAGGTACTCGCGATTGGCCCACGAAGTTGAAGGAATTCATCGCGATTTGGGAGAACCGACAATTACAGGATATTGTCACTCCAAATCAAGTGGGCCGAATGGGGTATCATGACCCATACTTGGATCGATATCGGCAAACATCGGTTCATTACATGACTCCGGAGGGTGCGGCCGATGGTGCATTAGTAAGTATAACCAGTCTAAACATACTATGATTTATTACTTGGTTCCTAAATCTCTTTCTAACTTTTTTTTTTGTGATTTAGGCTGATGGGGTCGAGCGGATCAAAGATATGACTACCGGAAGAACTGAGTTGGGCAATGAAGATGTGAGCTTCATCAGGAGGATGGCAAACAGTCTACTTGGCTGTATCAGAGCTCAGGGCCGGGATCATCGTAGATATCCGCCCGCGCCCGCACCCCCACCACCTCCGGTACAACTTGATGTCCCCGCACCCCCACCACCATAAGAGAGAAAGAAGAGCAAGAGGGTTCGGGAAAGGCCCAACGTGCCCGAGGTAACGCCATATGGGGGGTGGAAAGTGCCGCCCCATTGGTTGTGACACATGGTGCCGGACCAAGTTCAACCCAAGGTGCCGGACCGAGTTCCACCCAAGCTCCCCGCCCGACCTCAGCCCCATCTCCCCGCCAGTCTTCCGCCCAAGATCCCCACCCGACTTCATCCCAAGATCCCGGCCCGACTTCATCCCAAGAATTCCGCCTCACTTACCACAACGATCCCCACCCAAGCTCATACTACGATCCCCGCTCGACCTACCATCAATCCTCTCAGAGTTTCCACCAATCCCCATATGATCCCACCCCGATCTCTTACAACGATCCCCTCCAAACATACTATGATTCCCGCCCGATCTACCCCTCATCTCCTCGCCAAACATACTACGATTCCCGCCCTATCTACCCCCGATCTCTCCGCCAAACATCATCTGGGACTTGGCATGATGGCTCCTCCACGACAAGCCAACATGAGTTCAACCCATGGACTCGCCCTCATCAGCAGTGGCCTCCTCTTCCTCATCGTATGATCGCCGATGTCGCCCGGTCGACCCCGGAAGTGCAGGTTCCCCGCCGACATAGCACCGACGAACGCCACACTACCTCGGCCGTTCGAAACTTGCCACCCCCACCACATATTGTTACTCCCGTCGACAAACGTACAAGGAGCAAGAAAACTGTGGGTTCCGGTGAAGCTCGTGGACTTCCTTGAGATGTATTTTGGGTTGATTTTTATTTCTATGTACTTGGAACTATTTCCCCTTATCTTAGTTTATTTAATTGAGTGTTGGTCAATTTGTTATTATGACGATTCCTCTTCACTTGATATAATCCCAATTCGTTCAATCAACAATACACAATTAAGAGTTACAACTAGCTTGACGAATGATAATCGGAAATTATGTCGCATTAGCTGAGTCCGACACATCAGCACCCGGGTTTTGCGGACCAATCGGTCCTGGACACCTTCGTTTATCATGTCCTGGAACTTTGCATATTGAACATCGTCTTGGGCCTCGTGGCGGTCTTCCACTTCGATCCATTTCATTCTGAATTCTCTTTTTCCTCGGGCGACCCGGTTCACGCCTCTGCCCGAATGGCGGGACGATCAATTTCCCTTCGTACAGCGGCCAATAAGCTTCATCAGGCAATGCATGGAAACTTCGTCCATAGGTGTTTTTGAGTGAGTCGATATTGAAGAATGGACTAACGAAGTGACGGGGGTCTTTGCTCCTGTTTTTAATTAATGACCTCCAACACCAACGGCTGGCTCGGTGTAAACGAACATCTCGGCTTTGGCCAATTTGTTGGACCTCAAGAATTCGAGCATGGAATCTACTTCATCTTGAGTGGTTATGGTATATTCCTCATGCCACAATGACCCACTTTCTCTGTTTGGATATCGGTACACCATTCGATCTACTCTTCTCGTGCCATCCATGCAAGTAACGTTAGTGCATATTTGATGGAGGTCTTCAAGCTTCGGTCTGGTACCGACCGTTATTTTCTGAAAATCTCCACCGACGTAGGTGGCCCCCTTTCCGGTCTCTTCTGTGTAACCATTCCACCGTAAGCCAAGCGTGAACTAACGGAATGCCATCTGCACACAAAACAACCGTAGTTCAGCTAATATCATAAAAATCACAAATCACAAATAACAATAAAAAGTAACACAAAATAAACTTACGAGTTAATGTTAATGGCAAAAACACTAAAGAAATATAGGAATACAACAGAAAAATGAAAAGAGAGAAGGAGAGGTGTGAAGAGTAGAGGTTTTCCGGCAGTCTTATATAGGGAAAAAAAATGCGGAAAACCGCACCTCTAAGGTGCGGTTTTAGTCTGCCATGCAGCCCTACGTCCATAATTCTCTGCATGGGTTTGTCGGGTGTCGGAAAATTATTGACACACAGACCGCACTGGGGGGTGCGGTCTGTGTAGCTAAACCGCACCTTAGAGATGCGGTTTGGTTTTGGAGGAACAAACCGCATCTCTAGGATGCGTTTTGGCTAGGTCATGCCAAAACCGCACCTCGGCCGTGCGGTTTGTGTAGGGCAGAGTCGAAACCGCATGGCCAAGATGCGATTTCGGCCCAGGAAAATGGACCGCACCCTACAGGTGCGGTTTATATACAAAACGCACCTGGAGGATGCGGTTTATATGTAAAACGCACCTCTAGGGTGCGGTCCATAAAAAAGGGTGCTAGTTTTGTAAATATTTTTGGAAGGGTGCTAGTTTTGTAAAAAAAAAAATTAATGTGCTATTTCTGGAAAAAAACTCGAAATTTAGATCCAAAGTTATCACTTGCGCATGTTCACATTACCGGGTCATGCTCCGGTTCGGTTATGACAACATTGGTATTAACCTAATAATATGGGATTGATTTGCATGGTTTGCAAGATATCCGTTTCCGCTGCAGTGGGTGAACAAGGGACAAGGGAGACAGGATAGGATAGGACTGCCATGCCTGCCGCTAGTTTCGTGTCAATCTGAAACCAACTGGACACTTGACAGGTCCCGGATGGCCCTTAGACTATCTTAAACGCTATTATATTACTATCATGACTTTATGGGATCAAGCCTGGATCAGTCTGATAATTACACTTCGATTTCTAATTAAAGTATTACAGCTTATTTAAGACTAAAGCAAAGTTTATTTGACAAGAGATGGTGTAGAAGATGGTTAACTTTGGATTAGCTGGCATCCCAATGCGTAGCTAGCTATTACCAACTAGATTCATATGCTAATTCTAAACCAAAAATCAAAACATGGCTTAATGATCACAATCCAATCAGGAGTCTAATCCTTGCAGCAGCAAATTAACATTACATTGAACTCGTTTGTAGCGTACACGAACGAATGACCACAATTCACAACCACCCGCTATGTAAGACACCCGTAAAACAGCACTTGATCCTTAAATATACCCAGGAGATAATCCAACTCGGTTACTTTACCCTATACTTTGTTCCCTCCAGGAAGAATTGCAGAAATCAGGAGACAGGGTTAGTTCTTATTACTCTCGCACAAGGGAAGGCAAAAGCAGCGTGAATTCATCTCGACCCGACAGTCGATAATGACCATCAACTTGCAACCAGTTGCGGCAACAATGGCACACGAGCTATCGAGTGACGGCCAGCACGAGATTTCCCAACGAGGGACCAGCTTGACTTGAACGTTGTGAATGTCGAGTCCCTCACCATACGGATCAGACATAAGGGGGGGGAGCCCAGAGGGAGAATGATCAGGCTGGCAGAGGACAAAGAGAGTACAGCAACATTACAAGTACTTGAGCATGCCACGGCCTTCGACACTGAGCTTTGAAGCTTGTAAACTCTTCTTCTTTGGAGCCTTCAGCTGCTGCAACTTCTTATTCATCTGCAGTTCACCAGAAAGTATTGGATCTTATAGAGCTATCATTTTTACATGAGACATTGGTTTATGGAAAAATAGATCCTTGATCCTTCCACGAAAGTTAACATGAGACCTCTTCGTTTGACAGGCCATATTAGAATGTCCAGATTATTAGACGGCAGAGACACAGACAAAACCAGTTGAGATGGACGTTTGAACACCACAATGAGAAAACCAACCTTCATTCTCCGTTGATCTTGTACAGCTTGTTTAGCACGTGCTCTAATTTCTTCGGGATCTATCTTGGACTGTGGACGGACCAAGAAATCCAATGGTGTTGCTTCTGGCCTGGTAGTGAGCTGTTGTTGCCTGGATGATGACGATGATGACTGGCCAGACTTCCTTCCCCTAGATTTATAAAACGAACCGTAAATCATGGGCAAAAAAGGATGCAAAGAGTATCGTATGATTTCATTTCAGTGACGACAAATTACCGTGCCATGTCCAAATCAAGATCACCATCTCTAGATTCCATCCCAACAGAATTGCTCGCTGGTCTGCCAAAACAGGAAATCAGGAATGAAAATTGTAATCAGTCTGAACAAGCCATTTGTAAAACAAACCACAAAATCAACAGGCATGTGACAAGAATTACCTTCTTGGTGGTGGCCTTCTGTAAGCACGTTCGTCTTCAGCACCTCTCATGTCCTCAAACCTCGTGCTCTTATTGAATATTGGTCGACTCTGATTTAATCATTTCAAAAGACAGAGAGGTCAGGTGATTAATACCCAAGTAGTGAATTCTGATTCTCCAACAATAGGAAACAGCAGAGTTTAAGTTGCTATTCCTTATCATGGATAAGCAAAATAAAAGAACCAGCAGAAGGAACATTAGGGGTAGAGAATCAGCACCAAGTATTGCATACCCATTTATCAACCAGATCCTTGGCCAGTTTTCTGTTGGAAGTGGTTTCTTCATCAGATTTTGATAAAAACATTATAACCTGCCAATACTTAACCAAGTCAATTGAAATTGTCTTGTACCACCTAAAAAATAATAAAGAGGATATTCAACCTTTCCAAGCCCACTCTTCTTTAATTGCTCCCTTCTATCATACTGCTCCAGATCAATAGGAAGCTGCTTGAAAACACAATTTAGGATCCACGTACTGATCATCCAAATACATGGGCACTAGCACAATGTAATAGTGGAAAGCTCTCACATACATCAGTTAGAATTCTTAGAACTGCCGCACGGATGTTTATGTTGGGCAAGCTTCCATCAGGAAGGGGTTCAAGCCAATTTTTCAGCAGCGTCAGAACTCCATGATCTATGAATTCTTGCTGAAGCTGCTTCCTGCGTAAGTGTCACCGGCAATAAAAAAAGAAAAGATGATTAAACCAAAAGGTCTAATGAGAGGAAAAAGCACAGAAAGCAGCAACCAACTTACTTAGAGAGAACATCAGTAAGAAGAGGCAACTTCTTTAGTTTGTTAATAGCAGGTTTCCCCCTCAAATTTAGTTTAACATCTTCTTCAACAGTGACTTCAAGCTCCGCCATGACATTCTCCACTAACAATGCAATCTCGGCAGGGCTTCTCTCATTCTTCTTCCGTTTCTTGCCCATTTTAAAAAGCTGGTTTACTTCATCATCCTCTTCACCCTCCTCTGCCTGGCAAGATCAAGTAGAATATATCAAATGGAATCATTAGTACGGACAATGACAGCCCATGAAGAGCGTCAGTTAAAATAGTCCAAGTTATTCATATTGAGCACAATGCTGATTAAGAAAAGAAGATAACCTGAGGAACATCACCGAGAGACCGTTGTTCATTATCACTTCCATACCGATCGGCTGGATCTACACCAGTATCATCAATGAAGTTATCATCATCCATAGTCCTCAAGCCTTCTTTATCATCCTACACACATAAGAGCAATCCGCTCAGACTTTCAAGAACAAAGAAACTGCCATAATACCTAGGGCTGATCCAACTCCTAATGCAGACAGATTCTTCACCAGGGAAATTCTTATCCCCAACCTACTGCTACGGCAGACAGATTCACCACGTAAAAGTAGTATATGCATTAATTGACTTTCAGAGTAGAAGCTTAAAAATCAAAGATAACCTCCAAATATCAACTGTACAACATATTGCAAGTGATCATACATACTCGTGAGTGAAAACGAAAACAATAACCTTGACTACCATTCTTTCAATGAAGCAGTTAAGTTTCCACTAAACGCAGAAGCACGGGCATAAATTCGAAGTTTGGGAATCAACAAGTGTAAGCCATAAAGTTGAACACACCAATAACTTATGCATGTTTACTCCAAGTAGCTCGGGAATCAGCAAGGGCAGAACAAAAATCCACCGACAAGCCAACATAAGTTTACTCCAAATCACAAAGTCTCCAACTTTGAGCTTTAGCCCAAAGCACGGAAGATAAATCAAATTCACCCGATCTCTGAGCCAGAAGTGAGCTATACATGTTGATGGATAAAAAAAGGAGTAAGCAAGATACGAACCTCGGAATCGCCACCAGCAATGGTGTCCCACATTTCCTTGACCTCACCATCATCCTTTCCAGCAACTAACCTTCCAGAATAAGCTCCCCTCTTCGGCATCCCTCCTCCGGATTTAGAGCTACTCCCAAACCTCTTCTCCCCTTTGGAGAACAACTTCTTCCTCTCCTTGCCAGAGCCCCCTATCCCCTCCTTTCCCAATCTCCTCCTCTTCTTCCCTTCCGCCGATCCTTCCCTATCCCGAGAGTATTCCCTCGCATCGTACCCTTGGTCGTCCTCGTCCTCGTCCACTAGCTCCGGCGGAGCTGCATAACTGTCTCTACCGCCGTCGCTCTTCTTCACCAGCCTCTTCCTCGGCTTGGAGGATTTGTCCGCGTCATAGACGGGAGTTCTGGAAACGTCGTCGTCGATAAAGTCGTCAGGAACTCCAGGGGATTGATATCCGTCCGATTGTATATCGTCGTAATCCATCAAAGGCTCTCCGTCCTCATCACGATAACTGAGATGAACATCGACCGAGGAGTCAAAACAATGGATTAAAAATCAAAACCCTACCGAACTGAATTTTCTTCGTAGACGGAGATAACAGATGGAATAAACGACACAAAAAAAAAAAAAAAGAGCCATGAACAACAAAGCAGAAAGAGGGAGTTGCATAGAACTTACGGATCGTCCTCGTACGCCATGGGGTTGATCAGTGGGTATGATCGAGGGAAATCAAGCGAGCTAAAGGAAGAAGACGAACGAGGAAGAGGAAAAGAAGTAACGAACAACAGCAAAAATTGTTTCTGCCTTGCGGCAATTGGAAAAATTGGTTTTGTTGACTACAAATTGGGCGGGTCGGGCAAGCAGGCCCGTTAGGCTGCTAGTCACTTTTTTTTACTATAATGTGGTGCCAAAGCCCGGCCTATATAAAGGATGGCCCACTCACTTTTTTTTTTTTTACAAATTCTGGCATCTTTATTCCAATCCGAACCAGGGGAAACAAAGTTTGTTACAACAGTGGAGAAATAAGATCAGCAATCACAATTTAATCTCTCGGAAGAAGGTCAAGTCTAGTATTATGAACAACCCAATTGACAAGTTAGTTGAGAGGTCGGGGAACAAACTCCACCGTTATCCAGGGAGTCGAAAGGAGGATGGAGATAATACAAGCTAAGATAGCCCGACATTGCCATGGGCCCATGCCCACAAGGAGCCCACTAGTATTGTTTGCTGAAATGACAAAAGTTAATTCAATTTGTTATAAATTAGGGGTTGGAGTATTTTTGCTAAGTAATTTGTGGACGGAACTGTGACTTTTTTCTGCAAAGGTTAGAAGTTAAGTATGGGATTCTTCCCATCTTGCTAAGGTATCAAAGAGTTTCTCATGTCTTTGGCTGCCAAAGAAGTAGTCATCAAAGCAGTTGGGACAGCAACTCTCATCTTTGCGATGTCCTGCGTTAGACTCACGTCTGATTTGTGTAGAAGGATGAACAGACAACTCTCCACTTTTTGGTGGGCAGGCCAAGACAAAGAAAAAGGTATACATTGGTTATCATGGTCTGAATGTTGTTTCAGCAAATTTGAAGGAGGATTGGGATTTAGAGACTTTGATAGGTTCAATGTAGCAATGCTAGCTAAGCAAGCCTGGAGACTTATCTGTGAACCGGAGAGTATTCTTGCCAGGATGTATAAGGCAAGATATCATTCCACCGATCATTTCCTCCTAGCCCGTCAGGGGGCCCGCCCCTCTTGGGCTTGGCAAGGTATCTTGCAGGGTAGAGATCTCCTGAATAAAGGTCTTCGTTGGCAAGTAGGATCAGGATCTAGGATAAACACCTTACTCGACCCTTGGCTACCATCAGACCCTCCATCTAGCCCTGTGTTGTTAATTGGTGCCTCTCTAGATCACCCAATGGTCTCATTTCTTTTGGACTCTAATGTTATGGAGTGGAATTTAGACTTGCTTAAAACCTTATTTCCCCCTGTCACTATTGATAAAATCTTATCCATCCCTCTCCCATCTTCCCTTCAAGAAGATAAATTGATTTGGCACTATGACAAGTCTGGTCACTATACAGTTAAACCGGGGTACCATCTTCTTTCGCATGGTTTCACTTCACCCAGAGTCTCCCTGCCAGAATTTTTGAACACCAAGTTCTGGAAATTCTTGTGGAATATTCCAATTCCTCCAAAACTCAAATTCTTTCTCTGGAGATTGGTGCGTGGATTTTTACCAGTTAAAGGAACCCTCCTTTACAGAGTCTCCCTGCCAGAATTTTTGAACACCAAGTTCTGGAAATTCTTGTGGAATATTCCAATTCCTCCAAAACTCAAATTCTTTCTCTGGAGATTGGTGCGTGGATTTTTACCAGTTAAAGGAACCCTCCTTTATAAGAAAATTATTCCATCAAGTATATGTCCTGTTTGCTGCGAGGTAAATGAAGACTTCAAGCACTGCTTCTTCGACTGTAGAATCACTAGAGAACTGTGGACATTATCTGACCTTGACCATATAAGAGATATGATGAGGGCAAGTTCTATGGATATCGCGTGGAGAAACCTCTTTTTCACGCCCCATATCTCCAAGAATGATGTAGCTTTCATTGCTTCTTATTTTGGAGAATATGGAAAGGCCGATGCAAGGCCACTTATGGACACGTTTTATACAGGTCACATGTTCTATACAGGCAACTATTAGCGCAGGTGGAGGAATGGAGAATGGCAGAGGCACAAAAGGTTCAGAGATCCGAAGAAGTCCGAAGGTCAATGCCCCACTCTTCCACAGGCCAAGGTCCTCATTCAAGGAGAACATATGTTTCCTTCCCTAGTGAAGGTATCCTAGTGCGTTTTGACGGGGCAACAAAAATCCCTCAAGGATGTGCAACTGGCTTCGTCGGCTTTTCAGGTGATGGAATTATCACTTTTGCAGTTGGTAAATTCTATCAGGGCATCTCAGATGCCTATATATCAGAATTACTTGCTATTCGGCAACTTCTTGACTGTTGTTTTTTGTGGGGACTCTCAATTGGTCATCAAGGATGCGACATCAAAGAAGGCTTCACATTCAAGAGCGGGAGCTATTTTAGAGGAAGTTCACTCTCTCCTTGCCTCCTTCCTATCTGTCTCGTGTCTTTTTGCTCCTCGGAGCTTCAACAGAGCTGCCCACCTCATGGCAAAACAGGCTCTTTTATCGGGAGTCCGGTTACATATGGACTACCGTTCTTTTTTAGTGTCTCTCTTGTAACTGTGTTGACCGGCCATGCCCTAGGGGCTTATCTTGGATAAAAAAAAAATGAATAGTTGTAATTCCTTTTTCTTTCCTTATTGTGATTTGGCATGCAAGATCATGACTTTTTTTTCTCGTATGTGTTTATTTCTCTCGTAATATCTATGGCAAAAAATTGTCGAGTGAGCTTGTTTGTCAAAAGTTAGTTTTAATGTTATATCATGGAGATCCTTCTTGATGGTCAATAGCTTATTTGGATGCTTCTTGGCTAAGACTAAGAAAGAAGTGAGACCGGGAGATCCTTCTCACTTGGTTACTATATGAATGGATGTGTTGACACAAGTGTTGGATAGAGAAGCACGAGAGAAAATACTCCCCTATCATTTTCAGTGCAAGTCATTAAGGTTGAATCATCTATGCTTTGCTGATGACCTAATGGTTTTCACTGAGATTTCATCTTATGGACTAGAAAGTGTCATCAAGGTTTGGATAGGTTTTATCCGTTGTCTGGCTTGAAATGCAACCCGCTGAAAAGTGAGGTGTTTTTTTTGGAGTAACCACATTAGACAGGCAAATCGAACTATCTCACTTTGGATTTAAGGAGGTCAAGTTATCTATTTGTTATCTGGGACTTCATTTACCATAAGATAAGCTCTCTACTAATGATCTTTGGCATAGTGTGTTGGTTAACAACCTTACAAGCAGACTAAGATCTTGGCAGCCAAGGAAACTTTCATACGTTGGTATAATCTAGTTGATTGCATTAGTGCTTTATGCTAGTATTTAACATTGGATGATAGTTTTCATATTGTCAAAGAAAGTTCTCACACATGCCTAGAAAAATCTGCTCATATTTTATGCGTTATGGGGAAGGAATTGGAAAAGGTAAAGTATAGTGGGATTTAGTCGCAATGCTAAAAGATGAGAGTGAAATTGGGTTAAATGATTTATACACTTGGAATGTTGCATGTGAAACAAGGTTATATTGGATTTTGTTGATGAGAGTTGGCTCATTTTGGGTAGCACGGATAAGGCGGTATAGGTTAAAAGGTAAGAATATTTGGGATTTGAAATGTACTCAACTAGGATCATGGATACACAGGAAATTATTGAAACTGATGTGGTCGAACCTCATGCCGATCATGTCAATTGTTTGCACGGCCTAAATAACTATCACATTCCGAGCCAAGTATAACTCAAAATGGTATTTCTAATATAGTGGCGACCAAGGTCGTATTCCACGAGCTTTGATACCCTAGCCTACTTCTCATGTTGTTGTTATCTAGTCAATCTATTTAGTTGGATTTTTGGAGGTCAATTGAAAATACTGGTGGAGAAAGTAAGGATAAAAAGCAGGCACTTCGAGGTAACTCTCTCTCTCACTAAATCTAGGTTCGTCATGCAAATGGCTAACTAGTGTTTGCAGGCTAAGGTGTGAAACTTGCTAAAGTGAAGGTTTCAATGATTACTCCGTCTCCTCTTGGATCCTAGTACACTCCCATAGACCCATTGTCACCTCAATCAAAGCTCACGTACTAAGTAATAAGCAATAGTTCCTCTCAATAGGTTCAACCTATCATGCACACTAAAGCAAAGGATCAATGACACTTGCATCATCTCTAGCATTGTTTCAAGAAGACATTCCTCTAGCAGGGGTTCAGTCGCCTCATCCATGAAAAGAAACACTACGATCATTCATCTAGCCCTAATTACCTAGTTTTGTAGACTCAGTTCTAGGCTAACAGAGATGAGTTGAGAGACACAAGCCTCAACATAAATGAAGCATAAATCACTGAAACAACCAAATTCATTCGCAATCCTACATTCAAAACATAAATCTAGGATTTGGGGGGTTTTAACCCTCAGAGGACTACTCCATAAAGGAGGGAAGAAGATACATGCAGAGAAAAGGGAAGAAGACTTGAATTGGGGAGAGCTCCCTTCCTCATTAACTCCTCCTTCTTCTCTTCTTCTCCTGCCTTCGACATCTCTCTCTACTTTCTCTCTGTCAAACCAAAAAATTCACAATTTATTTCAGCTCCCTTAGTGAGAGGGAGGAACCACCCCATTTATAGATTTCAAGGATTCGGGCAAGTTCACGAGCGAAGGGGCAAAGTTCGCAGGCGTGAACTTGGGGGTTGAGGTTGTGATCTTCGGCTTGCCGTTTTGCGCTTCGATGGCCGAGGAGTTTGCGGCATGACTTCACGATCATGATTCGTGAGTCACGACCGAGATCTTTCTCATGGGCTCTGATGCAAAAAGTCGCAAGTTGACTATCAAAACTTTATGTTTCTTAATTGTTAGCTGCTCCAAGAGTTCGCGCCTGAAGCCTCCATGTTCGTGCCCATGATCTTCGATGCAGAGGTTGTGATCTTGTAGCTCTAGTTCACGCCCTCTCTCCATGACCATGATCTTCTTGCCTTTGACCATCATCTCTCAGTTTTCGCCCATAATTCTACACGTGTGCACACTTTTAGTACCTAATTCATTCATATCGTCTAATACACCCTAAAATATCGATACTTTCTCATAGGAATGAATCAAAGGCATATTCGACAATATATTAGCAACGACGAACATAAAATGACTCTATACCAACCTAAATATGGGTTCCAAATTACCCTAAATGTGGGTTCCTAAGACTGTCCACAACAAGAAGGGAAAAAGAGGATAAAAGGGGGAAAAAAGGAGAAGATGGCTCACAATAAGGGTGAGTATTATGGAAAAAAAGGAAAGAAGGGAAAGAAGGGGAGAGTTTATCCTGCGCTAGAGGTTAAAAGAAGGAGGGGAAGTGGGTCAAGGTGAGTGGGAGGAGGAAGGGAAGGGGGACCATGTGGGTGATTTTTTTTTTTTGTTTTTTGTTTTTAAAAATTGTTTTATGGTTTTCTTATTGGATTTTTATGAGTTATTGGATTTTAGTGATAAAATTTTTTATGTCCAAATTGAAAAAAAATTATATCGAAATGTTCGTCTTGATTAATTAATACTACCTATATAAAAATAATAAATAAATTATCAAAATAAAGTAACCATATCAACTCTAGATTGATTTTGAAAAAAAAACTCCTCCTCAATACCTTTTTTTCCCTACCACCTATTGTGGCCATTATCCTTCTCTCATCCTTTTTTCCCACTTTTCCCATCTTTTTTTTTTCTTTTTTCCTTTCCACCATTGTGGATAGTCTAATTACACCAATTTTTATCATGAGGTCTGGGTTTCAATACAAACTAGAGGTGACTTGGGAAAGGACTTCTCTGCTAAAGTTCTATGTCGAGATGATTTGGAAGCCTGTTAGACCTCAAGGTAAGGTTAATTGATACAGGAAGGTACAAGGAGAGTTTGCAGTACTAACGATATAAACCGGTTTGAGCGAAGTGCCGAAGTCACTAAAGTGCCACGTAGCCTAGCTGACTTTCATCGACGGCCAGCTACCGAGTAGCGATAACCACTTAAATTAGGGAGCGGGACAAGAGAAACAAACAAACGAGGGAAACTTTTGCACAGACAATGAGCGATGTGTTGGTGGCGATGCCCGCCAACGGCGGCGGGCGCGTCTGCGGGAAGGGTTCAGAGCTCAACCGCCGGTCCCATGCTTCACTATCCAGATGCTCTTCTTCCTTTCGATTCCCCAGCCTAATGCCGCGGCGGAACATTGGGAGGAAGTTCGGCCACCAGTCAAGCGGCGGAGGCTGGGGCGGCTTGGCCGTGCGAGCTTCGGGGAATCCAGGGGAGTATTATCCTTCTCCCCCAGTTCCTCCGCTGCAATTCGAATCCCCGGTGGGCCAGTTCCTGGGGCAGATTTTGCAGTCGCATCCGCATTTGTTGCCCGCGGCAATCGACCAGCAACTCGAGAATCTTCAGACCGATAGAGAGGCTCAGGACGGAGATGCTCCTTCTGCTCAGGATCCACTCTACAAGTCAGTAGTAGTTTTCTCTTCTTGCCGTTTCTTGTTTCGTTTTGTTCTTTGGGATTGGTTTGTCTGTGTTGAAGTGATGAAAATAGTGACGTGGTTGTGCTGAATGCTATATAGCATTGATGTTACGCTTAGCAGAGTGGATTGGCTGAAACCCTTGTGCTTGTTTAGGATGGAGTTGAAAGTCTTTTGGTTGAACTAGAATGTGAAATGGTGCTTAGGAGAAAAGTGGAACTTCCGAATGGTGAAATTTCGATGGAAATCGATTGTTGCATATGGTTCATGTGTAGGATTCTGAGTGCAGTTCGTCGACTTCTTGAATCCAGCAATCTTATGGTCATATTTTCATTTGTTACACATCTTAGGTTAGGATTGGTGACTGGAAACCAGAACTGGTTAAAGGCTTCTGGAAACCCTTCATCTAATCTGCAATGTTTATTTATCTAAATATTAGAATTGCATTCTGCATTCTGTACCGGTTGAGTAAGCTGACTGACCAGATGTTGATTGCCTGATAAGCCATAAAAGTCGGTTGGATGTTGAAGAGCAGAGATAGGTCTTACATATACTGCTTGCAGCTCTCCTTCTGCCAGTTGCCTGTCTTCCCCTAAAACTGCCCTTAAAGTTAGATGCGTTCTTTTTCTTTCTAACTAACTTAGGAGTTTGTATGAGTCATGTGGCACCTCCCTCCTTGGTAATACCTTCAAAGTAATTGTAATACCTGTTTTTCCTACCAGTTTGTGCTTCATTATCTTTAAAAATATACAATTTGCAACATATTTGGGAACTCCAATGTGCAATAATGCTGTTTTATGGAAGGGCAAGGGGTCTGGGTTTTCTGGTCTTTGTTGTTGTAGACTGTTTAAATTACTGAAAGGAAATTAAGCTTGGCTTATTGTGCTTCCGCGCTCAATGTCCTTGCTGAGGAAAGCAATGACCACGAAATGCCCACTCCCTAACCAAATGTCTTGTGATAAGTTTCATTCTTTTTTGGTAGTTAATGTTAACAAGAGAGTGCAGTTGCTCACCCTTATTAATATTATCGCTCTACTTGAGATTTAAACTGTTGTTGGTAAGCTTATTTATGCATCGTTTGAACATTTAGGAGAATTGCCGAGGTTCGTGAAACTGAAAGGCGGAAGGCACTAGAAGAGATCATATACTCTCTGATTGTTCAAAAGTTTCTCGACAACGGCATCACGATGATACCGAAAATAACATCCACCTCCGATCCTGCCGGACGGGTAGACTTCTGGCCTAACCAAGAGCAGAAACTGGAGTCTGTTCACTCTGCTGAAGCCTTCGAGATGATACTAAGCCACCTGTCTCTCGTATTAGGAGATCGATCAGTGGGACCCCTTGATACCATCATCCAGATCAGCAAAATCAAACTAGGAAAGCTCTATGCAGCTTCAATAATGTACGGATACTTCCTGAGACGAGTTGACCAGAGGTTCCAGCTTGAGAGAACAATGAACACCCTTCCCAAAGGCTACGACGAGAATCGAGCTAGATACGAGGAACTCAAATCCTCGACAAAGGGGCTGTGGGACCCAGATTCCCTAATAACTATGATGCCAGATGATGGCGGTGATAATGAAGATGATGATGATGGAAGGTCGTACAGACTGAGGTCATATGTGATGTACTTGGATGCAGAGACCCTCCAGAGATACGCGACCATGAGATCTAAAGAGGCGGTTTCGTTGATCGAGAAGCAGACTCAAGCGCTGTTTGGTAGGCCGGACATAAGGATCTCGGAGGATGGTTCACTAGACGCGAGCAATGATGAAGTGGTCTCGGTGACCTTCTCCGGGTTGACAATGCTGGTCTTGGAAGCAGTAGCATTCGGGTCTTTCTTATGGGATGCTGAGAGCTATGTCGAATCCAAGTACCAGTTCCTGAATGGCTGAAAGTTCCCTTCTTTTTCTTCATATCTGGACTTGTTATGGTAGCTGTGTTGTAGGCTGTATAAATCAGGAATTTTGTTTCACATTGTAAACTGAGAGATGTTGTATTCTTGTTTGGGGATGAAAGAACTGATAACAGCTCTGTAGGTTGTACAAGCAGGGTCAAAGAAAAAAGGACAATATATCATTGCTTCCAGTTGTTTGCATTGCCAGTGACTTGTGTTATCTATCATTCTATCTAAGCTCCATTGTAGTTCTGATGTGGCAATTACGTCATGATCGACAATTTCAATTACCATAGGACAATGGCCGCTAGCTTCCATTCCATGGCCTTGAAGGACAATGGCCGCTGGCTTCCATTCCATGGCCTTGAAAGCATGGTCCATGAAACTATATCGTACCGGCGGTTCTACCACAAAATACCAGTATCGGAGGCTAAACCGGTAGGCGGTATTTAACAGTATTAACGGTTGAACTACGGTTAAACCACGGTTTTGCCATAAAATATCCTATCGCTGACTTTTCCGTTACGGTGTCCGATACGGTTTCATGGACCATGCTTGAAAGAAGAAAAATTCATTGATAGGGTATTTTATGATAAAATCGTGGTTTAACTATGGTTCAACTGTATTATATTGAACTACGGTAAAACTACGGTTTTGCCATAAAATACTATACCACTGACTTTTCCGTTACGGTGTCCGGTACGGTTTCATGGACCATGCTTGAAAGAAAAATTCATTGGTAGGGTATTTTATGATAAAATCATGGTTTAACTATGGTTCAACTGTATTATACCGCTAAATACTGCCTACCGGTTTTGCTTCGGCTAGAAAGTTTTTCACGGCGAACTGCCGTTACGGTATTTTAATAGTTGAGAAAAATGCTTTTCTTCCAATTGGGCCTCACGAGGAGTTCGACCCATTATCACAAACTAGCTTATTACCCGGCCCGTTGGCCGGATTACTGTATGTTACCCACTTGTGGAATGAGAGAGAAAGCAAGCGAGAGTGAAGGGATTGGGATTCCACTTGATTAGGACTGACCCACTAATCCAATTCTTCCCGACCCGCCCCAACCTACAGGGTCAGAAAGAGTCAATAAGAAAATACGAACGGGGAGGATTAGTCATATATCTTGACTCTTCAGAAGTGGGTCAAACAGGATCAAGGTTGGGTGAGGGCAATTTTTAGCGCTAAGCAGAGTTCTAGGTTGAATACCTTTATTTAGGCCTAGAAATTGGTGCTGATGCAGACTGCAGTTTTTATTATACCATCATCAATCATCATTGAATTAGTCCTGGGCATCCCTCCCCGTTGTCGGTCTGAATTCTAATGATGGCTTCATTCCTTGCACCAGCCATATCTGCGAGTTGCCATCTCGAGCATGATTTGCCTATGTACAAATAATACAATTAGAGTATGAAAATGAATTCAATGAAAAGGAAAAGAGAATTATATCACATGCCAATAAATACACACATAATAGTTGAAGCTAAGTGAAAGTCATTACTCGCACATCAATTCTCAAAAATTACAGACTAAACATTGGCTAGAATGGCACTGAAACTACCAAGAATCATGGACGAAACAACTTGTCAAATTAAATAATCCTTATACTGAAACTACCTTCTAACTTGAAATAAGACATGATCACAGTTCATAGCTCTCTTCTCACTATGAATTGGTTGCAGCTCGTCCTTATCACTGCCTCTCAAGCTCAATTCAAACAGAATAGAGACCGTTATGTAAGATAACCATATTCTTACTGATCATAATTCCTTTCTTCACTCCATTTTTGTCGGAGAAAAGAGTTATCCCCCTCTCCTGCATTTCCCTTTCCCCCTCTCTTCTCCCTCTTCTTCACAAACCGATCCCTAAACCAGCAACAACAACACAAAAATAGCCTTAGCCTCAGACAGGACTGCAGAAGCAAAATTTTCTAAAATCAAACTAAATTTTTTGAAGCAGACTCAACCACGAAAAAAGAGTAAAGCAACAATGCAGTAGAACCCTAAATTTAACTACAATCAAGCACATATCAACAAGATTTTCGATTTGTCTGAGAGTTAACTACACGGAGAGAACAATTGATGCATACTTGAAATGCTCCAAGCAAGTTGAAGGCAAACCATAACTTTAGAATTTGGTCATTATAATAACCTTCAAGTATTGATGCTTCTTAGAACTATCATGTCCAACCCCCACTTACACAACTACGTAGCCATAGTAATTAGTTGTATAATGAGAAATATTACAAAGAAAACTACATAAACAATCAATGTAAGTAAATATTAAAACTAACAACTGATAAAACTTAAAATCTCTCTATTGGTATAAATGTATCTATTAGTAACTACTATGCAATCGAGTATATATGATTTTTAGGCACTGAATAAGAAAAGTATAGATGGCTCACAAATGAAGACGTAGCAACTGAAGGTAGCACACAAAAACCAAAAATAGAAAAAGAGATAAGAAAAAGGCGAGAAAAAGTCAAACAAAGAAAAAGCCCACATAGGAATACCTCGCTAGCTTTAGGGACTCTCTGCCACAACAAACAACCTTCTTAAAAATCTAACACCCTGAGACATCAAACAAACCTCCCACGACACTAATGTATGGCATTCCTATTGTCCAATAGGTTTGCCCAATTTAGACTTCTAAATAAATGGACTTTTCACCATTAAACCAAAACTCACAATCATTAACAGTTAATGCAAAGACATACATTTCTGAGGCCAATCACAACATTTAAGCATAATTTTTAGTTGAAAAGAACAACTAAGTATTTAGCTAAATGATATAGTAGAATGGACACAATCTGCTACCTACTAATGATATAAACGTGTACCAGTACCATCGTTGTATCCTGACTTGCCATTTGCAACGGGCACTTTGAAAGACAGCTGCATTTTAGAGAATAAACACCCATAAGGGCGTTACGAAACCAAGCTTAATCCAAAATCTTCATATTCCACTTCGAAGACTCCATTTTCAAAAATAAGAGAGTTTAACATGTCAAATCACTCATTTGAAAAATCTCAAACAACTATTAATCAATGCAATATAAAGGCACGTTCCAAATTATGTACTTGTAGGAATAATCCCAAATAATTATCAATTAATGCCCCAACTACCTAATGTGCAGAATAGCCCTGGAGCTGTGTTGTTGTTTGCGTTGGTCTACCTTCAAACATAACATAGTTGCATCACGAACCAAAGCAATTAAGCAAAAATCTTCATATTCCAAGTAGAATGACTCAATTTTTTTTTTGACATTTAGAATGACTCAATTCAATTTGGCCAACGCTTTATACATATTGTTTACCCCTGGACCTGTTGCACTTGCGCCTTCAGATCTTCGTGAACACAAAATATAGCGGTTATGAAGAAGTTTAAAATGTAGCGGTTATCCCGACTAAAACATTAAAAGAACCAGTCTCATATAGTTTGCACAAAGATATAATTTCATTCTGAAAAATAATATTAATTTAAGACCCATATTTTTTTTTTAAGAAGTCGATATTGCTTCTACATGTTTAATATTGCAATTCGATATGCAATATTCGAACCAGTGATATTTGGGCTGCAATTTTAGGGTTATTGTATATTTATAAAATAAATATAAATTTAAATTAAGTATTAAACTACAACTAAAATAATCAAAGTATTAAAACACCAAATAAGTACTTACGGGAGATTCAGTGGCCAATTAATCGTTAAAAAAGTCATATGATTTTCATAATTTAGGTTCGTGTATGTTTGAATTTAAATAGATACAACAAATATACTTAGTGTGATTGGTTATGATCCTTGTTTGCCTTTAAATAGACCAATGTTCAAATCCCAGTGCATGCCCTTTTTATGAATAAATAAATAAGAAAATAAGCAATCCATCCGCGGGACAAAGAAAGAGCGGGTGAAGAGGAAAATCAAAGAAGAAAACTTCCCTTTGCTCCAATCCCTGTGCTCAACCACCGCGGAAAGCTTCCGTGCCCATATTTCCAAATTAGCGGTGTATTTCTCCGGCCGGCTGTCTCCTGCACCATTAATTTGAAGCCACCGACGGGAATCAGCGGTATTTCCGACCGCAGTCCGGCTATATTCTGATAAGTTTCGAAACTCACTGAATTCTATAGATCTGTTGTCGTAGAACGATAATGGCCGCCGCTCCTGCCACCTCAGAACTTATGTGTGAAACATCCATGAAGCAGGAGTTCTGTTTACATTGCAAGCTGAGAGCTTTCGTATTCTTGTTTGGGGAAGAACGAACTTTTGTGGATCACAGCTTATATATCATAAATTTTGTTGTCGGTTGAAATTTTGTTTAGTTAATTAGAATGCCAAGGGCGGAGCTGGACGCCTCTGATCAGTGTCTTGTTTGCCTTCTTACCTAACATTATTGACGGGTCTAATTCAATCATATACATATAGACAACACAAAAGATGATGAGATTGCTGAATACCTTATTCATCTTGGATCGAGTTGCATGATTATATCGCATCAACTTGAGCATTGTTTACTGTTTTTTCCACTTTGCCAAGTCGTACATCTTCATTATTCTCCACCACCATGTTCACATTTTGAGTCAACGTCTTTTAGATAATACAATAATATACGTGGTTTGAATAATACAACCCTTGTTCTTCCTTTCCTCTACAGCAAATTATATGTATCCCCTTTCTTGCATCTTCTTCCTTTCTTTGCCTTTGAACCCTTTTCTCTGTTCTAAATATGGCATTTGCAGTTGCAGAGACAATCCTCAAGAAGTTGGCCCCACTAGTTGTTGAACAAGCAGGCCTTCTCTGGGGACTCAAGAGCGAGGTTTTGAAACTGAAGAGCACGGTTACTTCTATTCACGCCGTGTTATTGGATGCGGAGGAGCAATCCGGTGTTAATCATCAAGTTCAAGTTTGGCTCGATGAACTGAAGCAAGTCCTTTACGATGCTGATGACTTGTTGGATGATTTCAATACCGAGACTCTATTGAAGCAGCAACGCATGGATCTTCATGGCAATCTTTGTAAGAACGAGGTATGCATCTTCTTTTCCAGTTATAACCCATTGCTCAACGGTCTCTTGATGGCTTATCGAATTAAGGCCATAAGGATCAAGCTGGATGAGACTGATGAGAATCGAAAGAGGTTCAACTTTCAAATGCGACTGGAGGAGCCTGCTGCTGCTACGAGTAAGCTTGGCAGGCAGACTGACTCCTTTGTCCCCAATGTGTTTGTTGGGAGAGAAGAAGATAGTGAGAAGATAATAAGTTTGTTGTTATCGTCTAGTAATGAGCAGAAGGTTGAAGTCATCCCTATTCTTGGAATAGGGGGTTTGGGAAAAACGGCGTTGGCACAATGCGTTTATAATGTTAAGGGTGTGACTTCTCATTTTCAACTGAAAATTTGGGTATGTGTTTCGGATGATTTCAATGAGACAACGCTGGTAAAAAATATTTTGGAGTCTTTAACCGGAGGCAAAGTGGAAGATCTTCAGCTGCAAACTTTGAAGAGTAATTTGAAGAAACAAATGGACAACAAGAGGTTCTTGTTGGTGTTAGATGATGTGTGGGATAATGGTGATTACGAAAGCAATTGGGACAGGTTGATGAGTTTCTTGTGCAATGTTGGCACAGTAGGGAGTAAAATTATCATCACTACTCGAATTGGAAGTGTTGCAAGTTTGATGGCGACAAAAGGTCTCAAACCACATGAGTTAAAAGGTTTATCCAAACAAGATTCATGGTCGTTGTTTGAACAAATAACATTTAAGGGGGAAGTACTTGAAGGTGGTGAAAGGTTTAAGCGGATGGGAGAAGAGATTGTGGGTAGATGTGTGGGGGTTCCTTTGGCCATAAGGGCAATGGCTGGCGTCCTGGCGTCAAAGAGAGATTTAGTTGATTGGGAGGCTTTAAGAGACAAGCAAGCACGGTTAGATGGGGTTGGTAGCGATAAAAGGATTTCGGCAACTCTTAGGTTGAGTTACGACAACCTTCCTTCTTATTTGAAACCATGTTTTGCTTATTGTAGTTTGTTCCCAAAGGATTATGAGATTACCGTGAGAACTTTGGTACAACTCTGGATGGGGCAAGGGTATATCGATTGTAGCCAATCACCATCGTCAAATTTGTATGACACTGGAGTCGAATATTTCAAGAGCATGTTATCTAAGTCCTTTTTCCAAGAGACATCCGTAGATAACTTGGGGGATCTGGTTGTGTGTAAAATGCACGATTTGATTCACGATCTAGCTTTGGAAGTTGCAGGGAAGGAGAACTTCACTTTGAAGGCTTCAACTTCAATGGTTTATGATGATGTCAACTTTGATAGGCTTCTCCACTTGTCATTCGATTTTGAGGAAATACAAAGAGTGTCATTGCAAGTTCCAGATTCGTTACTTAAACAGACAAAGCTGAGAACTTTTCTTCCTACAAATTTGCATTGGCAGGGTATGAGTACACAAGGAGGAACCCAATATGAGTCAATCTTCTCAAATATGACTAGTTTGAGAGTTCTAAGTTTTTGTAATGCTGGGATGAAAATTGTCCCTCCCTCCATCCATTACCTGAAACGTCTCAGGTTTCTAGATCTTTCTTATAACAATGGAATGGAGATGTTACCTAATGAGATCACAAGACTGGTAAACTTGCAGGTGCTCATCTTAGATTTTTGTGAAGAGCTTCGGGAATTACCAAACGACATTGTGAAATTGTCATATCTTGAGTGTCTTAGCCTTATTGGCTGTGACGCTTTGAGACACTTACCATCTGGGATCAAGAAACTCACTCGCCTGAAAGAATTGTCCTCGTTCATTTTAGCACTCTCAGAATCAGGAGCTGCCGCTGCCACTGCGAAAATTAGTGAGTTGAAGGATCTCAATCTAAGCGGGAGTTTGGCAATTACGAATCTGCAATCGGTGGAGAAAGATGAAGCGGAGGCAGCAAGTTTGAAAAGGAAGCAAAATCTTTGAGCCTTGGAATTGACGTGGTACAGTGGTCAAAATGCTAATGCTGCTGGGAATCTGAGGACACTAGAGGCGTTGGAACCACATGAAAATTTGAAGGAGCTGATGTTAATAGATTACGGCGGGGGGAAACTACCCACATGGTTTTCTAATTCTCTCAAGAATGTGGTGATAATCCGTCTATTCGGTTGTGATGGACTGCGATATCTTCCATCACTGGGTCCACTGGTTTTCCTTGAAGAATTGATGTTTTATCGTCTAGGCAACTTACAGTACATACAGCACGAGGAGGCCGCACCAGCACCATCATCCTCTACCCAATATCTTCCCCGCCTCAAGTCTCTCACCATAGGGAGTTGCAGCAACCTAATGAGCTGGTGGTCGACCAAAAAGATAAAGATGCCCCTATTCCCTTGTCTTTGCTCTCTTCAAATTTCTTTCAGCAACAAGCTGGTATCCATTCCTCGGCTCTCGGTGCACGTCGAAAAGGTTGAGTTTTGGAGTGTAAAGAGTGAGCTGTTGGGTGGGTTTGCTACGTCACTTCCTCCACCCCATTCCCCAACACAATCCCAATTCAAATCACTTCAAATTGGTACCGTGGAAGATCAACGAGTTTTGGTGCCAGAGTTACTGCTACAGCTTGTTTCGCTTGAATACCTACGTATAGAACAATGCTCAAACTTAACGACTCTGTCTCCGCCAACTAATATTCCTAGTCAACAACATCTCATTTCCCTTCAGAGTGTTCCTAGCAGCATGGTTCCACTGTATGTACTTCCAGCCTTGCTTCGCTTTAAAATCAAGTCCCTCCCAATGTTGGAGTGCCTACCAGAGTGGCTTCAGCATTCCTCTAAGTTGCGGCTTCTGAAGATAACTGAATGTGAGGGTCTCAAGTGTTTACCAGAGTGGCTCTTCAAGCTGACGGCATTGGAGAGTTTATATGTGAAATCCTGTGCTGGTTTATCATCGAGATTGGAAAGCAGGATGGCTGAGGACTGGCCTAAAGTTGCTCACATTCCAAATATCAAAATCAATGGTAAAATGGTTCAACGGAATGGTCATTATTTGGAAGCAGAAGAAGTAGCAGAAGAAGATCAATACAAAGAACAAGAAGCGGAGGGAGAAGATGAAGATGAAGAACTACCCACTGGCACCCAGTTTTCAAGGTATATCCTTGAGTTTCTTCTGCTCAACGCTATACATGTAGGCCGGATTGGCACACACACAGACACACACACAATTATCTTTTTGTTTACATAATTCAGACATGTTCTTTCCCCACTGTTGAGGGAATTTCTTCCGTATATGTTGTGAACATGTGCCTAGTATAAAAGCGCTCTCCTAGATTAGTGACTAATTTTGATGTTGTGTTGCAGGATGTTGTCAAATTGCATAGCAAGGCTGACTTGCAACCTTTTCCACAGATGCTTTCTCTGCTAACTACCTTCTGCATGCATATTTCCCTAGATGGTTAACTATTAGGTGAGTTTTTGAAGATTAAATATCTCGTGCCTAGACTGAGTAACACTAGCTTCTTGCCATTTAAACTTTATCATTTACGGATTGAGCTTGAGGAGGATTCGTGTTCTTAGATGCAGTTGAATTAATTATTAGAAACTGGGTGCTGCTGCACTCCATTTTCCCTGGCCGTGGAAAGGCCTTTTTTTCCTTCCAGCTTAGTTAGCTATGCTGCTGGGGGTGACTAGTTAATTTCTCCCTTACTGCAGTAATGAAAGGTGCAAGAGACTACAATTTTCTTCTGTGTTTGCAAGCTGCAATGCGAAGGGTGTGTGTGCCTATGGACAGTGGCATGGTGGTGACTTGTCTAGCCTGCTCAAGTATCTGCCTATTAATTATATCTTGAACTTGATAGTTCTAGTATCATTATTCCAATAACATTATATTCTGCTGTTGATTGTTATTTCTAGATTTCAGTTTTGATGATAAAGCATTGCTGAGCAAGGTGAAGCAATAGTCAGTGACTGTCTCTGTGTTGATATAGGTGATTGCCATTGAGTGCCATCTAGTGCGCCACTATCTCTTGTCCGATGTGCTCTGTGACTTGCTCTTAATAAGAAACGTTCTGAATGTGGAGTGGTGTTGCTCATCTCGTTCTTGTATCATTGATTTGTGGTTATGGTGGAGCTTTAATTTCTTCCTCTTTATCTTTGGGTCTATATCGGTTTTTTTCCCCGTTGAATCGGTTTCCACTTTCATATTAAAGCCAAACAGATACAACGAAAGTGGGCAAAGCCCACGCGAGAACAGGAGAACATCCCTCTCCCATTCTCAAAAAAGCAAACAACCCTGAACAGGTCTATATCGTTTAAGTAATTAAGTGTAGGATTCTGAACATATATTATCATAAGTTTAAAGAAAGCATCAATCTCGTGGTGACTTTTGTCTGAGCAGACCTAAGGTTAGGATCGGATGACCGGAAACCAGAACTGGCTAATGGCTTCAGAAAAACCTTCAGTTAATCTGCAAAATTGAAAGTCCTGCTGCATTATACACTGATTGAGTAATCTGCAAAGCCGGGTGTTGAATTCCAGATAAGATATAAAGTGAGTTAGATCTTGATCAAGTGCATAGCTAGGTCTTCCGATATAACTACTCAGACAGATAACTGTTTATTCTTCTGCATAATCTCCCTAATTACCTGACACTAGAAACTCACTCCCTAACCAAATGTTTTGTGATAAGTTTCATACTCGTTGCTTCATGTCCTCTCATGTAATTAGTCTTTGTGTGTGCACCATTTGGAACTACCAATTATAGTTATATCTCCACACACAAGATGCACACTCTGGTTCACCCTTATAATGATTCTACTTGAGTTTTGAACTATTTTTGGTGATGCCTCCTTGAACATTTAGGGGACCCTTCAGCTGGACATAAGGATCGGAGAATGGTTTGCTAGACGCAATCAAGCTGTTTCGGTGACCTACTCTGGGTTGACAATGCTGGTTTTGGAAGCTGTAGCCGTCAGGTCCTTCCTATGGAATGCCGAGCGAGTACCAGTTCTTGAATGACTGAAAGGTATATTTCCCCCCTCTCTTTGAACTTTTTGTTATGGTAGCTGTGTAAGAAGTAAAAGAGAAAGGGTCCTTAGTATGTTTGCATTAGTTCTCGCCTACAGAACATCCAGATCCAGTAACAATTGTTGCTCTCCGGATTCCAGATCAAGCTGTCCTTCTGCTTCCCCTGAAGCCTTCATTTTGGAAACGAAGGCAGCTGTAGCTAGCTCTGATTTAATTTGTACGAGATATTAGCTTTATCATTCTTGCATTTTACATTGGCTTTGGAGGAATCCTTCATGGACAACTGTTCAGTCAAGTCAAGTCAATGGCTAGGTAGGTCATTGTTTAGTTGTAAAAATGGGCAGTTGAGCAACGGGAACTGGGCTGGTCAGTACTATGTTGTCTCCTGAGTCTTTGCATAAAATAATGTCACGATCCACCGCCTTAATTAGCGGATCCAATTCAGTACTTTCGACACACAAAACTGAACAAGTTGATCAATCTGGTGAATATCTTATTCGTTTAAGATCAAGCTGAATTGAACTGTCACATGGCATTGCATCAACTTGAGCATTGTTTTGGGCAAGTCAATGCATGGGCATTAGCACGTTAACTGGCCAACTATTGCATCTCTATTTTTTGTCTGCCACCATATGTTCACATTCTGAGCCAACTTCTTAGACATATCTCCCTGATCATTCCGAGTAATTTACGATATATATACATGTGATCTGACCATACAGCTTCCTTGCGCTTCCTTTAATTTCCTCCATAGCAAATTACCCAATCTCCTTTGCCTCTGAACCCTTTTCCCTCTTCCAAAAATGGCATTCGCAGTTGCTGAGACAGTCCTCAAGAAGTTGGGACCTCTAGCTGTTGAACAAGCAGGCCTCCTCTGGGGTCTCAGCAGCGAGGTCTTGAAACTGAAGAGTACGGTTACTTCCATCCGAGCCGTGCTGTTGGATGCAGAGGAGCAATCTGGTCTAAACAATCAAATCCAAGTTTGGCTGCAAGAACTCAAACAAGTCCTTTATGATGCTGACGACTTGTTGGACGATTTCAACACTGAGGCGCTGTTGAGGCAGCAGCATGACAAAGTCGACATAAACGAGAAGGTAACATCTCTTCTTATTTTTGTGTCTCTCTATCAAGCCCGCTGCACACTTAATCACAGACTATATAGTATTCTTCTAGATAGCCACACTCACGCATAACCATTTAAGATTTGAGAAGGATAGCTTAAAACTTTAGATATGTTTTGGACAGTGTATAAGTCCCCTACCACAGGACTTGACTTATTGGTCGGGGTTATTCATTTCCAAGATGGATGATCTTGGTTGTGATTGTGGATCGTGCCCAGGGTTGACACTTGACCCTTTATAAAATATTTGTTAGCTCCATAACGGGTATATGGTAGGGTGCATAGCTAGTTATCGATTTGTGTATAGATAGATTTGATTCTTTGGTTTTTAGTGGGGTTAGATCGCGAGATAAAAAAGATTTTATTTTTTTTTCCATTTTTTTTTATCACCATATATCTTCTTTGTTTTAATATGAATTTTGAAATATTTTGCATATACAGAACGAGTTTATTATGATCTACAAAATCATATTAATTTTTATTTACATTTCGAGTAATTTTTTTTCCTAATAAGTGGTAAAAAGTTTCCTACCACTTTTTTCACAAATACAACTATTATGTACGATATATTCATATACCATTATCGTATAATCTTATGTACGGTTACTAAGTATAACATATGACCACAATTATATAGATTGATAATATATGTCCCAATTCTTTTTGTTCCAAAACATATCAAAGTAAATGTCGTTTTGAAAAACACGATTAATCTAATTTTATGGGCAGTTTTTTTTTTATTAATTTTGACTCCAAACAAAGGAGTTATAACCCATTAAATATAATTGAAGAAAAAGTTATGCATTGGTTGTAGCCAAATTGGTTACTAATTAGGGGTAGGAGTGGACAACGATGAGGTTCACACCAGATCAAATCGTACTAAATTGATATTTGGACCGAATCGAATCAGATCAATATATTACAATTCGGTTTTGGTCCTATGAATTATTTTAAGTATTCGAAAGAAATAGATCGAAATTGAATTTGGAACAGACTGGATCTAACCAAATGAACCAAGTATACTTTTTGTCAGATTCCGGTCCTCATTTTTCCTTTGCTTTTGGTTCGGTCCTAAGTCAATTTGATATGGTCCTAGATTGGACCACACAGAACCAAACCGACATCTTGACCGGATCACACCAAACCGAATATAATGTTGTCCGGTCTTTGATCCACATGAATTTCATAAATACTGAAAATGATAAATTGAATTGATATTTGAACCCGATTGAATGTAATAATAATCGTTTTCTTGATCCTAAACTTTCTCTTATTATTGAATCGCTGCCCTCATGGTTTGGTTTATTTCGATCTGGAGCGAGCCGTTGCACACCACTTTTACTGACTAACCCTATCCGCACTCCTTACACAATGCTTTGAGAATTCTTAACCTATAAGCTATAGCGCTTCGTATCAATGGATTAAATTGATTTTCAAGAACCTTCATTATATGGCCATGAAACCGTATCAGATATCGTACCGGAAAAGTCAGCGATATGATATTTTATGATAAAATCGTAGTTTAACCGTTAAATCGTTAAATACTGCCTACCGATTTAGCCTCCAATACTAGTATTTCGTAGTTGAACCGTCGGTATGATACGATTTCATGGACCATACCCTTCAACCGATAGGTATTTGATTAATGACAATTTTCTAGTTATTGGCTTCATCTAGGTATTATAATTATATAATCTTAACATTGTTAAAGGGATTTTATATTTGAGCCCCTTACACGTAAGCCTTAAATGATTTTTGTGCATCCATGTAAGCGTACATACAAGCAGTTGTCTAAGTTTTCTCTTCTAAAAAGTGCATCCTTTTCTTGTCAAAAAAAAAAAAAAAAATGTGCATCCTTTTTGTTTTTTAGGAATTTTACAATTTTACAATCCTATATAAAATTGGTATTATAGATTTTTGCCTTATTGGTACAATTTGAAGTTGTACATTTAATATTATGATACAATTTCAAATTGTACTTAGTCTTTTGTACAAATTATTTTATGGTACAATTTGAACTTGTACTTTTATGTGAGGGTACAACTTTAAGTTGTACCATAACATAAGGGTACCAATTCCTTTATGGTACAACCTGAACTCATATATTTAACGTTATCGTACAACTTTAAGTTGTACATTAAAGCAACAATGTTTTATAGCATAGTAGAAGTGCTCATGTTTTTTAGTCTTTTCACAATTTTTCTTAAAAAATAAAAACTCAAATCAGGCCAAGAATCTTTATAAATCGGGATTATTATTTTTTTTTAAAGTATGACGTTGTCTTTAACCTTACTTTTTTTACAAAATAATGGTTATAATTGAAAAAAATTAGAAAATTATTTTTTTATGAATAAGGAGATTATATTTCATAAAAAATACGATCTGTACAACTCAATACAAAGAACAAACCAAAACACAGACACTTGCTATCAACTAACACTCTGTTTATAACTGCTACTACCACTACTAATAAGATTGCATATTTTGGAACCAAAAAGGTCTAGTTTTAACACTAATTTCAAGCTGACTATTACCATCCATCATGTATTTCAACGTCATCGAAATTGTCAAGGCTGGGATATCTTGTATCTTCTTTCCATAGAGTCTTCTGCATCGCTCTCTCCATCCTTCACTCAAACCTGATGCATGATTCTTCAGTCTCAGCACAGCCTCCTGAAAAAATACTTTACTTGATATAACATGATCTTTTTTTTCTCGTTGAATCAATCCAACAAGATTCGTTTCGATTTTTGTTTATGAATTAATTTTATAGAACTTCTTATATTAAAAAATATGTTACTTGTCGAACATTTACTTATTATTTTTAAAAATATTTCTCGAAAAAAATTGATTTCTTAAAAGCTAAAGCAGGGCCAAACCAACCCCATATATGTTTGGACAAATATAGCTTTTAGGGAGAAAGTTTACATTTGAGATGGTCTTAGAGTTCTAGGCACTTAACATTTGTCAATTCACTTTTGGAGGATATTTTAGAAATTGGAATCAGTGTGGTAAAGGGGGTCCATACCACTATTTTATTTATTTTTTTATTTATACATAAAGGGCCATACTATTTTCATTTCTTTACCTTTACTTTTCTTCTATGCCTCTCAAAGAAAAACTATATTAACTCATGTCGTGTCCATGCAAAAGAAAAGTAAAAACTCTCACGATCCTTGTTATCCCCAAGTCAAATTGCCAATTAGATCATTGGAGTTTTATGCCAAATTGAATGATAACACATATGGAATTTACTTATGTGTGACATCAAATTATAGATTAATTTCAAATCAATCCAACAGGTACACCTCTTCTTCTCCGCTTCCAACCATTTGCTCAATGGTCTCTTGATGGCTCATCGAATTAAGGCCATCAGAAGCAAGCTAGATGAGATTGATGAGAACCGAAACAAGTTCAACCTTCAAACGCGACTTGAGGAGGATTCTGCTGCTGCTATGAGCAAGAAGAGGAGCCAGACAGATTCCTTCGTCCCTAATGTATTTGTTGGGAGAAAAGAAGACAGTGAGAAGATAATAAGCTTGTTGTTGTCGACCAACGATGAGCAGAAAGTTGAAGTGATACCTATTCTTGGAATGGGAGGTCTGGGGAAAACTGCGTTGGCTCAATATATTTACAATGATAAGATCGTGAGCTCTTATTTTCAACTGACAAGTTGGATATGTGTTTCAGACAATTTTAATGAAACAGTGCTGGTCAAAAAGATTCTAGAGTCTCTGTCTGAAGAAAAAGTGGCGGATCTTCAGTTGCAGAGTTTGAAGAGTAAACTCAAGACAAAAATGGAGAACAAAAAGTTTTTGGTTGTCTTGGATGATGTATGGGACAATGGTGATTACATGACCAATTGGGAGAGGTTGATGAGTTTTTTCTGCAATGTTGGGGCAGTAGGAAGTAAAATTATGGTAACTACTCGAATTGGAAGCGTTGCGAATTTCATGGCGACGAAAGGGATCGAAAGACACGAGATAAAAGGTTTATCCAAGCAAGAGTCATGGTCTTTGTTTGAACGAATAGCATTTAAGGGGAAAGCAGTTGAAGGAGATGAAAGGTTTGAGCGAGCAGGAAAAGAGATCGTTGGAAGATGTGTGGGAGTTCCTTTGGCTATAAGGGCGATGGCCGGTGTCTTGTCGTCCAAGAGAAATGTGGTTGATTGGGAGGCTTTAAAAGACAAGCAAGCACGACTGGATTCGATGGACAGTGATAAAAGGATTTTGGCAACTCTTAGGCTGAGTTACGACCATCTTCCTTCCTATTTGAAACCCTGTTTTGCTTACTGCAGCTTGTTTCCAAAAGATTACGAGATTGAGGTGAAAACGCTGGTACAACTGTGGATGAGCCAAGGCTATATTAATTGTGTTCAATCATCATCATCATCATCATCATCATCAGATCTATTTGAAGTTGGAGTCGGATATTTTAAGAGCATGCTGTCAAGGTCCTTTTTTCAAGAGCCGCATGAAGATCATTCCGGGAATGTGAGGTGGTGTAAAGTCCATGATTTGATGCACGATCTAGCTTTGGAAGTTGCAGGGAAGGAGAGTGTCACTTTAAGGGCCTCAAACCCAGTGGTTGACGATGGCATCAACTTTGATGGGCTTCGACACATATCATTCGATTTTGAGGGAAGAAGATCCAGAAAGCCATGGCAAGTTCCACATCTGTTGCCTAGAGCAACAAAACTGCGAACGCTCCTTCCTGCAAATATGAATTCGTGGGGTATGAATGCCAACGGAGGAGAGGAGTACGAGACAATCTTCTCCAATATGCCCAGCTTAAGAGCTTTAAGCCTTCGCGGTGCTCTAATGAAGAGCGTCCCACCCTCCATTCATAAGCTGAAACGTCTCAGGTATCTTGATCTTTCCCGTAACGCAATGCAGATGCTACCCGAAGGGATCACAAAACTGGTGAACCTGCAAGTGCTCGTATTAGATTTCTGTGAAGAGCTTCGGCAACTACCAAGAGACATTGTGAACTTATCCAATCTCGAGTTTCTTAGCCTTATCGAGTGTGTCAGGTTGACAGGCTTACCACCTGGGATTGGGCAACTCACTCGACTGAAAGAACTGTCCAGTTTTGAAGTTACAAATGCATCCCACTCTTCCGGAGCAGCCACTTCCAGAGTCAGCGAGTTGAAGCACCTCAACGGCCTGGGCGGGAAGTTGAAAATTTCAAATCTTGAACTGGTGAAAGATGAAGCTGAAGCGCAAGCAGCGAGTTTGAACACGAAGCAACATCTGCGAACCTTGGAATTGTGCTGGAACATAATTCGACCGGCGGATGATGATGCTGCTGAGGACGGGAGGACATTGGAGGCGTTGGAGCCGAATGAGAATTTGAAGGAGCTGAAGTTGTGGGGTTATGCCGGGAGTAGTCTATCCACCTGGTTTTTCAATTCTCTCAAGAATGTGGTGATTATCAGTCTGACTTATTGTGATGAACTTCGGTATCTTCCGTCCCTGGATCCACTGGTTTCTCTTGAAGAATTGACGTTGTATAAACTGTACAGCTTGGAGTACATACAGATTGAGGAGCCGACGCCACCGTCGGCATCAGCACCAGCACCATCTTCTTCTAAGAATGGTGTGCAACTTCTCCCCAGCCTCAAGTCTCTCACCATTTGGGAATGCGCCAACCTAATCAGCTGGGCGTCGTCCTCAAAGATAGAGATGCCGCTGTTCCCTCGTCTCTCTGTTCTAGACATCAGCAAGTGCCCAAAACTGGAATCGGTTCCTCGGTTCTCAGTGCACGTGGAAAAAGTTAGGCTAAACGGCATGGAGAGTGAACTGTTGGGTGAGTTTGCTGCCTCCTCCATTCCTCCACCCCATTCCCCAACACACTCCCGATTTACAGAACTAACAATTCATCGCATCTATGGTCTGCGAGTTCTGCCACAAGAGCTACTGCCACAGCTTGTTTCGCTTGAATCCCTGGACATAGAGAGTTGCCCGAACCTGTCGACTCTATCTTCACCGGCAGCTACGCCGCTACAGTTTGCCCTTCCGGTCCTCCGTCGCTTCAGTATCTCCAAGCTTTCGGGCTTGGACTGTCTACCGGAGTGGCTTCAGCATTCCTCTAAGTTGCAGGAGCTGGTGATATGGTCCTGTGGCGGTCTCAAGAGTTTACCTGAGTGGTTCCCGAAGCTCGCCGCGTTAGAGACTTTGATAGTAAACGAGTCCGAGCTTCTATCACCGAGGCTGGAAAGCAGCACGGCCGAGGACTGGCACAAAGTCGCTCACGTTTCGAAAATTGTTGTCAGTTACAAAATGGTTCAACGAAATGGCAAGTACTTGGTAGCAGAAGCAGGGGACCAACACCAAGAACTAGAAGCAGAGGCAGAAGATGATGAACAACTACCCACATCCACCCAGTCCTCAAGGTACATTCTTTTGTCGGTAGGATTGGCCTTTGTGAATAGAACAGCCTCCATTGGACACCTATTGTGGTACAATATTGAGCTGATAATAGCTTATAGCATACCGGTGTCATTTTCTCTACATTGTTTAGACATTATGAACATTTCTTCGGTATAGAAGTGCTCCTAACATAACATTGACTACTAATGTTGATGTTTGCATTGCAGGATGTTGTCAAATTCCATAATAGCAAGGCTGACTTGCAACCTTTTCCAGAGATGCTTTCTCTGCTAGCTCGCTTATGGCATTCCTCCACCTTTCCCTGAGACGCTCTTAAGAATTCTGATCGAAGTGGACATGCCGCATTCATTCATCACCTGCATTTTTTTTTTTATAAGGTTTGCATTTCTCCTGCATTCATCTTGGTCCTAGCTAGCTTGCTAGCCATCAACTTTTGTTTATGTTCTTTTGAAAGTAGAAACCCCTTTTGTCTGGGTGTCTTCATGCATGCAAAACAGAGCAGCTCTTTGTGAGAATGGAGTGCAACAAGCCTATCTTACTATCTTCCAAAGATTGAATCGTTTTTTGTTATCCCGTGACACACCCTCTCACGCCTAATCAATAGCTTGCCATTTTCAACTCAAATAGTTAAGTACTGAACTGGAAAGATGGATGGATGGATGGATGGATGGATGGATGTGTGTTCTTAGTTGCAGTTGAATTAATTATTCCGTATTTTTGTACTCATTCATATAGGTGCAAAACAGAACCCGACCCGATTAACCCACCCGATTAACCTGACCCACAACCCGACCGCTACTCGAATTGACTAAAAATCAACAACCCGCAACCTGCCTGACTCGCAACCCGACTGACCCGTAACCCGATTAACCCACAACCGGATTAAACCCGAACCTGATTAACCCGAACCCGATTGATATGAACCCGACTCAACCCGTAACCCGACCGACTCAACCCGAACTTCACCTAATCCACTTGAATGATTATTATATTATACAATGCATAGTTTTTTAAAATAAAGTTTTTCATTCTAAACTTAGTTAAAATTTATTTTTCATTTCGTATAAGGGATTTAAAAAAATATGAAACATTAACGTCACTTGAACACTAAGTTCTTTAACTAAATTAAAAAAGTAAATATGAAATATAAAATCAACACAATGTCAATATTAATAATGAATAATTAATAATTGAGATCATGGACAATGAGAGAGAGGTTTGGATGAGAACTTTGGAATGAAAAATTTATGGGCGGATGAATATGAGCCAACAATTATACTAAACTTGATAAGTAATTTTTGATGATTTTTTGTTTATGGTATAAAGTATATGGTTAGGGATTTAGGGCTGCAAATGAGCCGAGCCAAGTCAAATTTTTTAATAGCTCAACTCGAACTCGAATCCAAAATGACAAGCTCGAACTCAGCTCGAATTTGAGACAAGCTGGTAACAGCCAAGCTCGAGCTCAGCTCGACCTCAATATAACCCAGCTTTTCCACAGATGCTTTCTCTGCTAACTACCTTCTGCATGCATATTTCCCTAGATGGTTAACTATTAGGTGAGTTTTTGAAGATTAAATATCTGGTGCCTAGACTGAGTACCACTAGCTTCTTGCCATTAAAGCTTTATCATTTACGGATGAACTTAAGGTGGATTCGTGTTCTTAGATGCAGTTGAATTGGTTATAAGAAGACAACAGGAGGTACTGGGTGCTGCTGCACTCCATTTTCCCTGGCCGTGAAAAGGCCTTTTTTCCTTCCAGCTTAGATAGCTATGCTGCTGTCCAAGAAGAAGTCTGCAGCTTTTCTGTAAGAACCAACTTCTCCCTTGTTGGGGGTGACTAGTTAATTTCTCCCTTACTGCAGTAATGAAAGGTGCAAGAGACCACAATTTACTTCTGTGTTTGCAAGCTGCAATGCGGAGGGTGTGTGTGCCTATTGACAGTGGCATGCTGGTGACTTGTCTAGCCTGGTCAAGTATCTGCCTATTAAATATATCTTGAACTTGATAGTTCTAGTATCATTATTCCAATAACATTGTATTCTGCTGTTGGTTGTTATTTCAAGAGTTGCGTTTGGATGTTAAAGCATTGCCATTGTGATAGAAACCTATTTCTAGGGTTCTATCGATTGGATTGAGAAATTGGGAATTGATAGGAATTAGGGATTTAGAAGAGAATTTGAGGAAGAAGATAGAGGATTGGCCTAGGCCTTTAGAGGGATTGAGAACGAGAACTGAGAGGATAGGGAGATTAGGGTTTGGAAGGCTTTTCTTAATATTCTTCTTATTGATTGAATAGACGAATAACAACGTGCATATATAGGAAAAGAACCAGAAAACCCTAACAAATAACCTAATACGATTAAAAGACTAATTACCCTAATATAATAATAAATATAGAAACCGAACTAAAGTTGGTTTCTATCATCCCCTCCCCCTTGAGACCAACCTTGCCCTCAAGGTTGACAAATAAAATAATGCTACTAATCCTATCGATATATGGAGCCCAAAGGAGTATGATAGTTAGGCCCGTCTTTGTCTCTATAACACGAGCGGCCGATGAACCCGCTCCCGTCATCGTGGCTGAATCGTCGTGAAGCTGTCTTGATTGACGGAGGGTGGCGATCGTCGGAGTGCCTTGGCGGAGGCCAGTACCCGTCATCATCAAACTCCCGTTCATCTTCATATGAATCGTTCCAGCTCTGTTCCACGCGATACACCTGTCCTGGCTTTAAAAATGCCGTCGCGCGGCCATGGTAGACACGATAATTAGCCTGTTTGGTTCGCCCTGTTGAATAGTGATCCGACTCATGTCGGTCCATTGGGTCGAACCATTGTTGGTTCGAGTTTGGCTCACCTCGCTGGACTGGTCTGGCCGACTTTGGTTGTGCAGATTCGGTCAAGGGGATTGAGCCACCACCGATTGAACCATATGGCTTCTCAAGTGGCCCATTCAATTTGCATGGCAAATCAACCGAACTCGGCCCAGGATTGTGCGCCTTGTAGTTCTGTACCAACTTCAAACGCCCTACATCACGCTGCCCAGTGTTGAAGTCGGCTGAGAAACCCTGACCTGTGAACTTCCTTTGCCGCGCAGTGTAGGAGTCGGTGCTTCCTTGATCATCGGAGTTGCCGCCGACGTCGGGGATGGTGTGATTTCTCAAGAGGTGGCCGACTAAGGGGAAACCGACACCAAGTGGTTGTCCGCCAAGCTGCGTAGTAGTCAAGTTTGCTGGCGGAGTGGCGGAGTCATCCGCGAAGGCATTCTTTAGCGTCTCTTTGTCCGGTGGTGGTGGGGGAATCTCGATCAGCTTAGCTGATGGGGTGATCGGCACTTCCTTTGCTGTGGTAGTCAAAGCGGGAAGCCGTTCGAGTGCTTCAACCCGCTGTTCAAGGGCTTGATGCTTGGCAGCGGTGGATTGTGCAAGATCAGCAATCAACACGCGAAGTTCTGCAAATTGTTGACTGATGGCTTTAGTGAGGGTGTCCTCAATTGACGCCATTGCGGCTGGAAGGGCCTCAAAGGTATTGGTGGCCATTAGGCGACGAACGGTCGTTGCGGTGGACTTCGAAAGCTTGCTGCGGAGATGAGGTCGCCTTGTGGAAGGCCTTTGTTTATGATAAACAATTCCCTACCCAGAACCCTCTGCTAGCGCACAAAAATAAGGAATAATAATTCCTTTTCCTTGTGTACAGTTATCCCTTTGTGGAGCGTGGGATTGTTGTGTTCTAGGTTTGGGAGTTGGACCAGTGAGTGGTGGATGGAGGGTAGTGCGGGTGGATTGTGATGTAGCGGAAAGGTGAATAACGGGGCTCTGATACCAGATGATAGAAACCTATTTCTAGGGTTCTATCGATTGGATTGAGAAATTGGGAATTGATAGGAATTAGGGATTTAGAAGAGAATTTGAGGAAGAAGATAGAGGATTGGCCTAGGCCTTTAGAGGGATTGAGAACGAGAACTGAGAGGATAGGGAGATTAGGGTTTGGAAGGCTTTTCTTAATATTCTTCTTATTGATTGAATAGACGAATAACAACGTGCATATATAGGAAAAGAACCAGAAAACCCTAACAAATAACCTAATACGATTAAAAGACTAATTACCCTAATATAATAATAAATATAGAAACCGAACTAAAGTTGGTTTCTATCACATTGAGCGCCATAGTCAGTGATGTCTCTATGTTGATATACATGATTGCCATTGAGCGCCATCTAGTGCGCCACTATCTCTTGTCCGATGTGCTCTGTGACTTGCTCTTAATAAGAAAAGTTCTGAATGTGGAGTGGTGTTGCTCATCTCGTTCTTGTATTGTTGGTGCTATGGCGGAGCTTTCATTTCTTCCTCTTTATCTTTGGGTCTATACCGTTTATTATCATAAGATTAAAGAAAGCATCAATCTCGTGGCGACTTTTCGTCTGAGCAGACCTAGGGTTAGGATTGGGTGACTGGAAACCAGAACTGGCTAATGGCTTCACAAAAGCCTCCAGTTAATCCGCAAGATTGAATGTCCCTGTTGCATTCTACACTGATTGAGTAATCTGAAAAGCTGGGTGTTGAATTCCAGATAAGATATAAAGTGAGCTAGATCTTGATCAAGTGCATAGCTAGGTCTTCTGATATTACTACTCAGATAGATAACTGTTGCGATTTTGTGTGCGCACCATTTGGAACTACCATTTTACAGATACTAGGATCAATACCCGCGGCTACGCCGCAGGGACAGTATTTGCCGCAAGGAAGAAGTGCTAATATTAGTTGCATTCCATATCCTGGGAAAGGAAAATGGCTATTCTTGTATACACAATTGACATAAGCACAGTAGTACACCATACTGACTCAGTACCATTGAGAAGCAAAGTAAAGAGAATGCATTTCAAAGAAGACGTGAACACATAGTTCATAATCTTGCATGGTGCATATAGATAAGCATACAACAGTTACCTAACTACGGCAAAATATTTTTCAGCACCCTTACAACATATAAAACAGGAAGAAAAATATCCTACAAATAAGTGGTTGGACATCACAGAAGGCATGTAGAGTGACCTTCTAGGCTTCTACCTCTGCAAATTTGAGGCTTCAAACCAAATATATCCCCCCTCATCCAGCATTTATGTCTGCAGTTTTCAGGTAGGTGCTTTGTGCATCTGTGTTGTCCTGCAGAAACAAATTTGAGGCCGCTACTAATGAGATAGAACTATGAGAAGCTCCGAGTTGGGGATGAAGTGCAACCAACATAACTGCAGCAACAGATAGCAGTCAACACCAACAAAATTTCAATAGAACAACAACATAAATACAGCAGCAGGGAAAGAAAGTGCAGAAGCCGACACAGAATTACGGTAGCAGGAAAAAGAAAGTGCAGCATCAAAAGTAAAATTACAGCAGGAGCTGGAAGAAAGTGCCGTAGCACTGAAAGAAGAAGCTTATTAGTGAGATTCATAGATGAATGGTGGTCCCCTAGCTTGCAGAAATGGATTCTGAGCAAAGTCATCTACTACTAACAGGCAACAAATCTATCTAAAGAATACAAAATCCAAAACCCTCAATGGTTATTCATATATGCCCTTCAGGTAAAGGAATCTTAAAGCAGATTTGTGAGTTATCTGTTGTTTCCAGAAGGTGGTTTACCTGCATAATATTCATGGTTTCCCATTTTACATGTTAGGTTGTGTGGAAGTGTACAAAGTTCCACTGATTATGATTCATAGGCAACTGAAGATCTAAGACAAAGGGAAAGAGAGGGTCCTGTCAACGAAATACACACGAAGATCTAAGACAACCAAACTTTATTTAAGCGAGAGAAAATAGTATATAAAATTAAAAAGTTCCGCATTTCAATTTACAATTTGTTTTGCCCCTGTGATTTGTTTTGGCCAATGCAAATGTGCAAGTAAAGGAGTTCAATCCATAACCTGTTCAAGAAGTCCTACTTATCTTGGAGGCGGTTCAAGAGGTACAAAGAAGACCCATACTATTCTGCTTGCAGCAGTTTCAATGAGCCAAATGATCTCCGAATCTCGATACATGTAACGACTATGCTTTGGACCTTAATGTTCATCTTCAGAAGCACACATTTCTGTAGTTTCAAAAAGGTGACCAGTTTCCTTGATTAAAATCTTACGCTCTTGCTCAAATCAGGAAAAGTCGTTTGAGTCCCTAGGATCGTATTAAAATTACATAAGCAAAAATACTGAGCTCTTGTGATGACACCAACAAAACCCCCATCACACACCAAACCAACGTGACCAATACACGAAGGAAGTTACTTGGAACTTTTTGTATATTCAGAAATGGGACGGAGCAAATCACACAATAGAAATATGTAACAACGAAAAGAATGTGCAAACCCAATCTAAGACCCATAATGTTTCAGTTGATTAAAGAACTTGTCTACCCTTGATGGGTCATCACATTTAACCCAAAGAGTGTACACCGTGGACCATAGCAGGATAGGAGAAAGCCTCATAGTAACCCGCATAAATGGATCAGATGAAACTCGTGAAAACAGCAAAAAAATTATACCTGAACAAAAACAATACAGAACATAGTCCATTAAAGTCGCGACTGATTTCGCGTGAGACCACAGATTCAGAACTCCAAAACTATGCTTCTTTCCTTCTTCTTCTTCTACTCTTCTGATAGAGACCCGCACGGGTAGGGGGGTCGGGTTGGGTTGGCCGACTGGGCCGGGTTGGTTTTGTTTGTCTTATTACTTCTGTGTTAGTTCTGAAACTCATAAATAGGTTTCTGCATATTCATTTACGGTTAAGCAATAACAATATCAAAATCCCTAAATCCCTCTTTTCTCTGTTCTTCCCCAATTCTTCTTCTAATCCCTAATTCTTTCTCAATCCCTAATTCTACTTCACAACCCCAAACCCTACTCATCTCTATCATCTTCATTTAATCCATTCTAGAAAAACAGAAACAACAACAGAAGCAGTGATGGGAGAAGGAACTACCAGAAATTTTAAGCTGAAGCAAGGAGCCAAAAAAATGGTGTTGACCGCTTGCAGATCTTTCTCCTTCTTTACCAAGTGTTCTGCTTCACCACTTCCTCCTTCCAGCATTTGTTCTACCTCTCTCATTGTAAGTCGCTCAGTCCTGATCTGTCTTGTTCTGCAGCATTCTCCAAGACGTCTCCTACCCTGAGTACAATATTTCAGAACATAAAGTTTCTTGCTAGTGAGTGAATTTAACTTATGGTGGTGGCATATGGTATCTATCTTTTTGTGAAAATAACTCCTAAGGGACTGTATAACGCAATCCCAATAGAAATCTGCGAAATGCTTCCAATTGCATAATCGAGGACCGTGTTAAGTGTGCCAACCAGCCCAAACCACCAAGGGAGCCACCAGTCCGGACAATCACCGCTCTGAGTGGGCGAACCTGGTTCGGAGTTTGGACAATAGTAAGAGCCAGCAATCACGGAAGTGTGAATTGTCAAGTGACCTCCGTTGTAGTGTCATTTGACACTCCTGGAGGCAGGGCAACGACAGTTCTTGACTTAAAAAAATGCAGCAGGAAATAGTACCTGTTAGTTTCAGTTCATTCAGCTCTTACCCTTACCAAGTTGCCATCCCTGCTGGCAATGATAATCGACCATTTCATTCGGACTGGATTATCTTGTTATTCAGAGGGTGAGATTAAAGATCCCTTCTAAGTATGAGGATGAATATCACCTAAACTCCATTAGTATGGAAACCTGCAAAATTTTGAAAAAAAGATATCAGATTCAACAAAAATAGAAGAACATCAGTACCTATTCATAGTGATAGAAGTGGTGTTTAGTATCAAAGCTTGTGCTTAACATGGATGCTGTGCAACATGGATGAAGAACACTCAATAAATTAGCCAAGTTTGCAGAAGTAGAAACACCATTTCATAGACATAGTTTTGAACCACGGACTACCATTCCTGTAAGCCTATGTTACAGAAAGCTATGAGGAGCTATCTTCGTGAATCTAGCTCTATCAACCGAAACCCCTTGCTCCGTGCAGCCATGTACCTTCCATCAGGCAGGTTTGTAGAGCTGAAAGACAGGGATAGACATGTATCTTCCACCGGCTATTTGGTTCCATGGACAATAGGCTAAATTCACCTCTGAAGTCAGGGGTTGACTTTCTTAAAACCAATAAGCCTGAACCCAGAAGCAGGACAAAGATAAACATTGCCCATCAACCCAATATCAGGAAACCTACAAACACAGTCAAGGCGAATAAGGTGATAGTCACAAAACTTAGAAATAACATTTAGAGTTGCATGGTACAAAAGAACGAAAAACAAACAACCTAAAGATGCAAAGACAATTTGAACTTGCTGGGTAAGGAATCTCTAAGAGGGAAATAAGCACTGGGAATACTGGTGGATTTGCCATGACCGATAATAGACTGAAAGGCTAGGCTGAGATGGAAAAGAGAAGAAAAACTAACCAGAAATAACCCTCTGTATCACATGAAGCTTCACCTCTACAACCAGTGGTGTTGGCCTGCAAAAAAAAAAAAACAAAGCAAATGATACATATTTTGGACTCGTTGGCCGGTGAATCCGAAACAAAGATCGAGTAACAGAAGAAGTTGAATGCCAAAACCAACAAAAAAATCTTTCAAACACGATTAAGAAGTAGTTCCTGGCCATTGAAACCGGGACAATCCACACTAACCTCTGTAAGCGGACATGAAGATTTGGGAATGATCAATGGAGAAGGAAGCAACAGTTGGCAATGCTCTGATTTCCCTCCTCCCAATCGACTGCCGCTCCTCTCTCGAAATCCAGATTTGGAAGGTTTGTGATGAAAATCAGACTCTATGGCAGAAAAGGGATGAGAAGAAAAGGGGAAGTCTGACGAAATCAAAGCCGGGGAAGAAATCGACAGGATTGAATTGGATGAGGTCACTCTTCCATGAATCCAAGGGAGTAAGAAGAGGGACGCACAATTGATGGGCTGTGGCGTGTCGAGCAGAAGCGGAGTGGACAGAAAGGTGACCCGTGCTAGCGGATTTCGTGGTAAGGTAGGTGAGTGCAGCAGAGATAGAGAGCAAGTGCAGTACAAATCATAGTCGTTGGCGTGTCTGGAAAAGGTTTCGGTGTGTCTCCGAGCCAAAAAAAGCGGCATGGACTTCCGGAAAGGTGAGGAAATCAGTGAAAGGATGACCGATGATAGGGGCCTGGACCAGCTACAGAGCTCGTACGACCGGTAAGGGGAAGCATGGACGCTTCGCTGGAGCAGTAGAGGCAAAGCCGGGTAGCGTTCCCAGCAGAAAGAGGAGCTCGCTGAGATGAGAACCGGAAACAAAAGGAGGGTAAGTATAAAAGACAGAAAACGACAAAATAATGTGTACCCACCTTTTATGGTGTACCCACCTTTTATGGTTTAATTAAAGAATAATAATAGCCTCTTGATTTAAGGCTTCGCTGATTGGGAAGAGAGCTGGTTGTGAGGAGGAGAATGAGGACTCCCATTGCACTAAAAGACAGAAAATGAAACAGTAGCACAACACTTGGGCCAATAAAGTGTACTCAGCTTTCATATATAAAAGAATATCTCCACACACAAGATGCACACTCTGGTTCACCCTTATTATTATTCTACTTGAGTTTCGAGTGTTGGTGAGCTAAAATATGCCTCCTTGAACATTTAGGGGACCCTTCAGCTGGACATAAGGATCTCGGAGGATGGTTTGCTAGACGTAGGCAACGATGAAGCGGTCTCGGTGACCTGCTCTGGGTTGACAGTTCTGGTTTTCGAAGCTGTAGCCCTCAGGTCTTTCCTATGGAATGCCGAGAGAGTACCGGTTCTTGAATGGCTGAAAGGTATGTTTTTTCCCTATCTTTGAACTTTTTGTTATGGTAGCTGTGTAAGAAGTAAAAGAGAAAGGGCCATTTGTATGTTTGCATTAGTAGTCCCCTACAGAACATCCAGTAACAATTGTTGCTCCGGATTCCAGAATCAAGCTACCGTTTTGGAAATAAAGGCAGCTGAAGCTAGCTCTGATGTTGTATGAGATATTAGCTTAATCATTCTAGCATTTTGCATTAGCTTTGAAGGAATCCCTGATGCCTGATGGACAGCTGATCAGGCAAGTCAATGGCTTGGTACGTCATTGTTTAGTTGTAAAAAAATATCTAGTTGAGCAACGGGAACTAGGTTGGTCAGTACTATGTTGTCTCCTGAGTCCTTGCATAAAATAATGCCATGATCCACCGCCTTAATTAGCGGATCCAAAATCAGTACTTTCGACAAACAAAGCTGAACAAGTTGATCAATCTGGTGAATATCTTATTCATTTAGGATGAAGCTGAATTGAACTGTCACATGGCATTGCATCAACTTGAGCATTATTTTGGGCAAGTCAATGCATGGGCATTAGCTAGTGCATCTTCAATTTTCCGCCACCATATGTTCACATTCCGACTCAACTCTTATAACGATATATATACATGTGATCTGAATCATACAACTCCTTTGTGCTTCATTGAATTTCCTCCTCAGCAAATTATCCCATCTCCCGTTCTTGCATCCCGTTCCTTTGCTTTGCCTGTGAATACTTTTCCCCTCTTCCAAATATGGCATTTGTTGTTGCTGAGGCAATCCTCAAGAAGTTGGGTCCCCTGGCTGTTGAACAAGTAGGCCTCCTCTGGGGCCTCGGCCGCGAGGTCTTGAAACTGAAGAGTACGGTTACTTCCATCCAGGCCGTGCTGTTGGATGCCGAAGAGCAATCCGGTCTGAATAATCAAGTTCAAGTTTGGCTCCAAGAACTGAAGCAGGTCCTCTATGATGCTGACGACTTGTTGGACGATTTCAACACCGAGGCTCTGCTGAGGCAACAACAGATGGATGGTAGTGGCAATGCCAATTTGAACGACAAGGTACACCACTTCCTGTTTTCATTTTTCGATTTACCGAATATATATTAGTTCTTCATTATGTACATGAATCATATCTATATAAATTTAGGTATATAAATTAAAATCAACCATAGATACCATACGAAGATATATTCTTCATATACACTGTAGGCTGTAGCAAAATAGAGAATTGAAAGACGAAGAACAAGAGAAAGTAGGCTAAAGGTTCTGTGCTGCAAATTCATCTATCACTCTCTCAAGAAGTTTCTTCTTTTCTTGCCTCTTAATTTTTGTTCTGGCGGGAAGGTTGATACCCGGTATATGTGATACCACCGAACACATTAATGAATTTCTCGATAATTTTTTTATAATGATATCGAGCTGATTGATTTTAATTTGATATTATCGAAAAACGATTTATTTTTGAGATTTTGAATTAAGATTGATTTTTGAATGTTTTTCGGGAATTGGAGGTTTGAATATAGACTTCGTTTGCATCATATATATAGGTGATGGATTTGCCATCTAAGGTATCTAAGGTATGGTTTGCTTGTAGGATTTGGATGATGTATTTGGCACTTAAAACCCAAACATTATGTATTTGTAAAAAAAAAAAAAACATTGTTTGTTGAGGCATTCAAATCCGTGGGTCCACGAATTTGGCCTTTTTTTTAGCTCCAAATCCGTGGACCTCACGTAATTGCAAATACCACATTTCAATTGGTATTTGGTCATGGAAGGCAATGATTTGCGAGGCATATGGTACATAAACCTTTAAATTCATGATCAAAATCAACTAAACAAACAATGTTATCTTTCAAATACAAAATGCAACAAATCCATCATAAATCCAAAGGTATTCAAAACTCAAAACCTTCATTTTCAAAATCCAACAAACAAACGAGTCTCAATCATTATGGATTTGTTCCTAAATCTATTGATTGCTCGACTTTTTTAGGAGAATCAAAATTCGTGGGGTCCTTGAATTTTGCGGGTTTAAAATCGGTGGGCCTCATGGACTTACAAATCTCATAGTTGGAGGTGAGACTTGGGTGGGGAACAAAATTCATGATGTCCATTTACTCTTATACTCCTATCTATTTTCTATATTCCTAGTCTACCCTCATGTCTTCTTCTCGACTTTATTTTTCAATTCCAAGAAAAAAACAGTCTTGTGATTTCCGCCTCCGACCACTACCATACATGCTGTATAATTTCATCGACGATAATTAAAGTTGTGTCGAACTATGATCCATTCGTATATATGTAATCTAACAAGTCCTCAATAGCAGGTAAAGAGGAATTGATTTTTTGTACGCATGAATTTGGATTTATTTAACGAAAAAGTTGAATTGTAACAGAAAAATATTACATTGGTAATTTGTGTTCCATACTCATAAATCTAATCAAGTAAAATCCATGTTCAAATCCAATAAGAAAATAATAGACTTTTTCAAATTCATAATACCAATAAATCCGTTATAAATCTTGGGGTTTCCAAAATTCAAGTTCCGCCAAAAATCCTCATTTTTCAAATTTATGGAGAAAACTACCACCATAATACCAATAAATACATAATAAATCTAGGATTTTCCAAAACCCAATATTTGTCAAAACCCTCATTTTTCAAATCCATGAAGCTAGCGAACCTATATTCAAATCAGTAGGAATATAAAATATTTAAGCACTAATACCATTACAAGCTAAAAACACTTTTCATCTCCACACGTGTGGAATCTCTCTGTTATTCAATCTTCTTCAGACAAAAATCTTTCGACCTTTTCAATGCGTCGCCACCCGTTATTCAATCTTCTTCAGACAAAAATCCTCCTGTTTCTACTTTCTACTAATGTGCGTGACCATTTTGGGTTATTGTGACCGTTGCATACCACAATGTGCTTGACTATGCATATTGAGCGAAACTTGTTGAGGTTTAGCTCAGTATGTGCACGGCCGCGCATGCCAATTTTTTTTTTTTTTCCATAGATATACCCCAAAGGGGAACAGCAGATACGAAGTATATAACAATATACATGACCTTTGCAGGTCAAATCACAAATGAAAAATGAAAAGACCTTTGCAGGTCTGACAAAATAGGGCTTTCCTGCCACGATATGGGCTGCCCTATGATACCTGAACGGCATGGGCAATATCATAATTTCTTCCCCTTAAAAGAATCAAAATCATGAATTAACCATGCTGAAAATTGAAGCAGAGCAGCTAATCCTTATAAATCTTCACTTGATTAAAGCTGACCTTCAAAGGCCCTGCATACGAAAAAAACAAGAGGCCCGGCCAAAAAGTGGAAAACCCACTATTCCCCTGTAGAATTTGATGATGCAGAATTGAAAATAACACGGGACAACGAGTTTTACGTGGTATCCTCGATCGATTGATTGATCGAGACTAATCCACGGTGAGCTCGGAACGAGCTCACGACTGATGTTTTATTATACGACTACATCTTGACGGCTTGCTTACGACATGACCGTAGCTAAGCTTTTATAGATATAGACTTAGGGTTAAAACCCTAATGACAACCAAGTTTCCTTCTTTTACTTGAACAAGGAAACTAGGGACTTGTAGGACAAGGAATTAATTACTTTTTGACTAAGTAATTAATATCCTCAACACTCCCCCTCAAGCGAAGACATGAATGACAAGAATGTCGAGCTTGAAAAAGGAAATGTGACGAACAAGCATGACAAGCTTGAACAACATAACTCGAGATGAATAACATCTCGAACAAGGTTGATTTGGAGACGACTGACTCTCTCCCTTGAACAACCTGATGAAGATGGTTGACTGCATCTTCTTGAACGTCGTGACAAGACGGTTGATTGCGTCTCTTGAACGACCTGACGGAGACGGTTGACTGCGTCTCTTGAATGACTTGACGGAGACGATTGACTACGTCTATCCGTATGATATGGTAGAGATGGTTGACTGCATCTCCTGAACGACTTGACTCCCTATTCTCCCCCTCAAGCTGACGCATGAACGATGTGAATGCCCAGCTTGAAAGTTAGAATGGTGATGGCTCAACATTGATCGATGCTGAATGCTGAGGGGACGATCGTGACTGGGATCGTGACTGCCTCGCTTTATGAGTAGACCTTCCTTTTTTTTGTGACGAAAACTATATCTCCCCAACAATAGCTATTGAAGAGATGACCACTGCCGATCATGACTGCCTTCAGTGCCATGACTATGATGCTGGTGAAGATAACAAGATGGACAACAAGATGGTTTTTGATGATAAAAGCTGGCCGAGAACATGACAAGCTGTGAGGATACTTTTCAAAACCCCTCTCAACGGATGATGATGACTTTGAACCCATGTTGTAATTACTGAAAACTGAATCCAAACCTTCTGTTGACTCATAATTTCGTTGACTCAGTGAACTCCCACCAACCAAACTCCAAACTTGAATGAACCAACCAAACCCTCTTCTCCTGTAAATTACTTGAGGCCCATTGCCTTGAGGTTTCGAAGTGTTGCAAACTCCCTTACTACTACAGATGTGACAAACTGAGCAGCAGGCAGCAGGCAACAACAACACAGATCGGCGGCAAAGGTCAACCAAAATTGACTCTGGAGGGTCGACGACAAGGCTGGCGACGACGGCGAGGAGCGATGACAAACGACGAAGGACCGACGATGGTAATTAACGATGGGAGATAGAGGCAGAAACGACATCTGGTTACTGGCTGGCGATGATGATTCAACGACGTCGGCGCGGACAACGATTATGATAAGATGAACGGTGGCGAGTTGTGGCCACTGAAGACGGCCTTTACTCGGAGTCTGCCGATGATGCCGGCCAGCGGTGACAAGGGCGACGATGGTGAAGTCGGATGATGGGTGCGACGCTCGATTCCCCATATAGGTCAGCAGCGCTCTATGATGAATGTGATGACAATTCGATAACAGGAACACAGTAGATGACGACGGCTGAGGACTGGATATCTCGTTCTTGACGGCGGGATGGACTTCGCCTATGACTGCGGCGGAAGAATTGACGGGGACGCCAGCTTTGCCGGATTTTGACGGACTCGGCGGCGGATCTGAGACACGAGCAACGCTGATGCGAGGCTGAGATGACCGAACACAAGCCTCGATTGACAGAGACTGGAAACAACCGACTTCCGCGGCTTCTGTTCTTGCTTACCGGCTGACAATTGCAAGGCGATCTGAATTGCCATGGACGGCAGCCAGGGGACAGAAAACTCGTGGACGGATGCAATTGACTCTTGCTGACTGTCGGATGAATGAAGGAACAGAGGCGAACGTCGGACTGCTGACGTTGATGCCGCTAGCAACTTCTTTTCCATTATTGCTAGAGTTGGAGTCTTCAAACCCCATGACTGATTGACGAACACGAAGAGACAAAAGGTAGAGACTTGCGGAAGCACAAAACCCTAACACAGGATCGAGTTTTGCTCTGATACCATGTAAAGTTTGATGATGCGGAATTGAAAATAACACGGGACAACGAGTTTTACGTGGTATCCTCGATCGATTGATTGATCGAGACTAATCCACGGTGAGCTCGGAACGAGCTCACGACTGATGTTTTATTATACGACTACATCTTGACGGCTTGCTTACGACATGACCGTATCTAAGCTTTTATAGATATAGACTTAGGGTTAAAACCCTAATGACAACCAAGTTTCCTTCTTTTACTTGAACAAGAAAACTAGGGACTTGTAGGACAAGGAATTAATTACTTTTTGACTAAGTAATTAATATCCTCAACATCCCCTGCACAAATAAAAAAAACAGCCATGTTGAGCAAGCCTGCCCAAAAATTAGAAGAAATATTTGCACAGGCCCATGGCCCAGGTGGTACTGCAGCCATCCCCACTTAATGAGGACAAAATAAAACCACGTATCCATCTTCACTGTTGCCACGTCAAAAGCCCTTTCCTTGATGATTATCCATCTCACCGCTTGACCGCCACCGCCTGATCATCGGGGAGAGACAGGACGGAGGCTGCCGAAGTTCCGACGAGGCCGCACCATCATAGAAGGCGTGGCGGCGGCTCCAACGGCGGCGAACCATCTGAGGGGAGCGGGTATATCGATGTGCTGGAACTTGGAACCTAAAGCCAGACCTACACTGGTATCTGATTTGAACACAAACAATTGCCTGTACTGTACATGGTTCCGGTTTATATGCTAATTTCAGTAGTCTGGCCTCCGGCTGCTGACCAGGTCGACGACGAAACTGTCTTCTCCATTCTCACACATCTCCAAGAACTTGTTGTATTTCGCAGGATTATACGCCGCGGCTAAACGAGCATAAGCTACGGCTTCAGCTTTGCTGCCTCGCTCGTATAATGCACTGGCCGCGCATGCATCTTGATTTCCTAGTATTATATAGGTATATAAGTTTTAGAACGCTTTCTTTACGGTAATTTATTAATTTTTTACAATGTTTTGGTAATTGCCCCGAGAATACCTTGAATGTTGTTAGGGTAATAACACTAGTTCATCGATAATAAGAAGTTAGTATTATATAGACTTTACTTAAGTAGGTTGACTATTTTTTGTTAGTGTAAAATTTTAAAAATGAGTATATTCGTCAATTTGATTATCACTATTAAACTATAAATTAATGGAAGAAAAACGTACTAAAAAGAATATTAATTATATTTTTTGTTGTTTGGATCCCGTTTCCGGTTGCTAGTATGGCGGTATCCATAAAATTTTTTGCTTTAAAAAATATTAAAATAATGTAATCTTGTCGAGTATAACAAAAATATAATTTTTACGCAATTGCTTTTGAAATCCAAGTTAAAAAAATGAGATATGATCTATTTAGAATTTGTTAAAGATTGAAAAATTCTCTTCACTAGTGATTGAGAATTCGAGCCAGTTGTCCAAAAATTGATAAGTTCTCTTCTCGCCCTTATAATATGGACCACTAGATCCAACTTATCTTTTGCTTTTCAAATCAAAGGATATGAATGAGTTATGGAGTACTATATAACTATCCATCTTCCATAATAAAAATAAAATAAAAACTCTAATGATATATGGTAGTTGCTATACCCTTCAACCAAATGATCAATTAGATTACTATAATTCCCAAGTGTTATGCCTAATTGAATGATACATTATTTTTATTTATATAGACTAACTACAAATGACTCATCCTATTCGCATAGGTGCAACTCCTCTTTTCAAGTTCCAACCATTTGTTCAATGGTCTCTTGATGGCTCATAGGATTAAGGCCATAAGGACCAAACTAGATGAGATTGACGAGAATCGAAAGATGTTCAACCTTCAAACTCGTCTCGAGGAGCCTTTTGCTTTGAACAAGAGCAGACAAACCGACTCTTTCGTCCCTAGTGCATTTGTTGGTAGAGACAAAGATAGTGCGAAGATAATAAGTTTGTTATTATCGACCAATGGCCAGCAGAAAGTTGAAGTTATTCCAATTCTTGGAATAGGGGGCCTTGGAAAAACAGCATTGTCGCAACAAATTTACAATGATGAGAGAGTGAGCTCTTATTTCCAATTGAAAAGTTGGATCTGTGTTCCAGATAATTTTGACGAAACACTAGTAGTCAAAAGGATTTTGGAGTCTTTGACCGAAGACAAAGTTGGAGATCTTCAATTGCAAACTTTGAAGACTAAACTGAAGAACAAGATGGATAACAAGAAGTTCTTGTTTGTGTTGGATGATGTATGGGACAATGGTGACTATGAGAGCAACTGGGACAGTTTAATGAGCTTCTTGTGGAATGTCGGCGCAGTGGGGAGTAAAATTATCATAACTACACGTATTAGAAGTGTCGCGAATTTGATGGCGACTAAAGGGGTTGAACCACATGAATTACAAGGTTTAAGCAAGCAGGATTCATGGACACTGTTTAAACATATAGCATTCAAAGGAGAAGCAATGGAAGGTGGTGAAAGGTTTGTGCGAGCAGGAGAAGCTATTGTGGGGAGATGTGTGGGAGTTCCTTTGGCCATAAGGGCGATGGCCGGCATCCTGTCGTCGAAGAGAAATGTGGTTGATTGGGAGGCTTTGAGAGACAAGCAAGCACGCCTGGACAGGGTTGACACTGACAAAAGGATCTTGGCAACTCTTAGGTTGAGTTACGACAACCTCCCTTCCCACTTGAAACCCTGTTTTGCTTACTGCAGCTTGTTCCCAAAAGATTGTGTGATTGATGTGAAAATGCTGGTACAACTTTGGATGGGGCAAGGGTATATCAATCGTGGTCAATTGCCATCGTCGCATCTGTACGAGGTTGGAGTCGAATATTTCAAGGGTATGTTGTCCAAATCATTTTTCCAGGAGTCGCACGAAGATCAGCGAGGGAACGTGAAGAATTGTAAAATGCATGATTTAATGCATGATCTAGCTCTGGAAGTTGCAGGGGAGGAGAACATCACTTTGAAGGCCTCAAATCCGATGGTTGATGATGATGATGTCAACTTAGACAGACTTCGACACATGTCGGTCGACTTTGGAGGGGTACGCCGGAAGTCATGGCCAGTTCCTGATTCGTTGCCCCAAGCAACAAAGCTAAGAACTTTTCTTCCTGCAAATTTGGACTGGGAAGGTATGAATGTGCGAGAAGGGAAGGGATATGAGATGTTCTTCTCAAACATGACCAGCCTCAGAGCCTTGAGTCTCTATGGTGGTCAGATGAAGGTCATCCCACCCTCCATCCATAAGTTGAAACGTCTGAGATATCTAAATCTTTCTCGTAATGGAATGGAGACGTTACCCGACGAAATCATGAAGCTGGTGAACTTGCAGGTGCTCATATTGGATCTCTGTTACGAGCTCCAGGAACTCCCACAAGACATGGCAAAGTTGTCCAACCTCGAGTTTCTCAGCCTTCTTGGATGCTGGAGGTTGAGAGGGCTACCATTAGGGATTGGGAAACTCACTCGCCTGAAAGAACTGTCCACATTTGTACTGGGAACCGAGGCCAAGATTAGCGAACTGAAGGATCTCGACAATCTGGGCGGGGCACTGAGTATAAAGAATCTTGGGTTGGTGAAGGGGAGAGCTGAAGCGAAGACGGCAAGTTTGAATAGGAAGCCAAATCTTGAAGCCTTGGAATTGGAGTGGAACATGCTTGACAGAGATAATGCTGCTGGGGAAGAAATGACATTGGAGGCTTTGGAGCCACATGAGAATTTGAAGAAACTGAAGTTGCAGCATTACAGTGGGAGTAGTCTACCCAGCTGGGTTTCTAACTCTCTCAAGAATGTGGTCATAATCAGTCTATCTCGTTGTGGAGGACTGCGGTATCTCCCTTCGCTGGCGCCACTGGTTTCACTTGAAGAGTTGGAGTTGTACAGCCTTGAAGGTTTAGAGTACATACAGATGGAGGAGGCGACGTCACCATCATCATCATCATCTGCTTCAAACAATAATCCGCAACTTCTCCCCCGCCTCAGGTCTCTCGCCATTAGGCATTGCAACAACCTCATAAGCTGGTGGTCGACCTCCAAGATTGAGGTGCCACTATTCCCTTGTCTTTCCGTTCTAGACGTTCATGACTGTCCCAAGCTGGCATGGACTCCTCGTTTTTCAGTTCATATGGAAAAAGTTAAGCTAAGCGATGTGAGGAGTGACTTGTTGGGCGAGTTTGCAGCCTCACTTCCTCCACCCCGTTCTCCAACACACTCCCGGTTCAAAGAACTAACAATTGATGGGATGGAAGGTCTGCAAGTTTTGCCGCAAGAGCTACATCCACAACTTGTCTCGCTCGAGTCGCTGTGTATACAGAGTTGCTTAGACTTGACGACTCTGTCTCCACCAGCTAGCAGTGAACAACATCTCGCTTTTTCCCTGTATCATTGCCTTCCAGCCCTGCGTTGCCTGCAAATGTGGGGACTCCTGGGTTTGGATTGTTTACCACAGTGGCTGCAGCATTCCTCTCATTTGCGGGAGCTGCGGATATCATACTGTCATGGTCTTGGGTGTTTACCGGACTGGCTTCCGAAGCTCACGATGATCGAGACTTTGCAAATAAAAGACTGTGAGCTTCTATTACCCAGGTTGGAAAGCAGAACGGCTCAGGACTGGCACAAAGTTGAGCACATTCTGAATATTACAATCAATGATAAAATGGTTCAACGGAATGGTAACTACTTGGAACTAGCGGGAAATGACCAACACCAGGAACAAGAAGCAGAGAGAGAAGAAGAAGAAGAAGATGATCATGAAGTACTACCCGCCACAAGTGCCCAATCTTCGAGGTACGTTCTTCTGCTTAACTACGGGAAGGCGGCGTTTTTGTAAAGCTACATTATTGACTAATTTTGATGTTACATTGTAGGATGTTGTGGAATTTGATAATAGCAAGGCTGACTTGCAACCTTTTCAAGAGATGCTTTCTCTGCTAGCTTCCTTTTTGGCATTGCTCCACCTTTCAATGCAATGCGCGCGACGAATTCTGGTGGAAGAGGATAGCCTCATTCATTTGTTTAAGGTTTGCATTGTTCCTTGCATTGAGTGAGGGTGGAAGGAGTGGAGATCGTCGCCGTCGCAGTCGAGGTCGAGGAAGTCGTCGACGGAAGAGAGCACGGCGGAGCTTTCGTTGGACGCCATAGAAGCACCAGTAGTAGTAGTGAGTGGGAAAAATCACGGACCAGGAGTTGGAAGAAAAGGGAATATTGGAATTGGAGGAAAGGAGAAGCAAGTGGAGAAAACAGAGCTTAAAGAAGAGATTTGATGGTTGGTTCTTCCGTGAATGATTGATTCTGTTTGGGTTGGGTGGGAGACTTTGGAGTAGCGGATAATTAATTGGTCTCAGAAGAAATTAGGGTTTTTTATTTATTTTAAATGAAAGTGATAATGAGGTGGAAATGAGATGACAATTTTAAAAAAATTAATTTTATTAGTTTTAAATTGTCACGTTAAATGTAATATTTAACGGACAACTTTTAGCGCAGACCACCATACAAAAGTTGACGGAATTAGACGGAAAGTGACCAAACGTGAACGATCCACCTCATTCTCCACCCCTGCTACAATGCAGAATCAAAATCAATATACAAGGAAAAGGGTCAAACAAATATTCACATGTGATGACATCAAAACAAGTTTCACATGATGGTGTGGTGGAACAACTTTTGCCATTGATTTTTACTTCCAAGTAAAGCAAAGTCGTCATTCCTCTATCTCTCACTCTCTAACTCTCTCTTTCTCATAGATAGCTATGTGGCAACTTGTTTCCCAATATCAAAACGCATTACTGAAAAGGAAGGTAGCAACCCGCCCTCATGAATACTACTACTAAACCATCAGCTTCAGTCCTTCTGTTTCTTCTTCTGGTTCTGGTGCTAACATCTTCCATGGCGATGGCGGTCTCACGGAGGAATTAGTGGCGGCCCCGCCACAGCTCTGGCGATTCTGGAGGAGCAGAGTGGAAGAGGGTGAATCATGGAAGCAGCCACGAGCTCACATTGCTAATCCAACTCTTCGTGACCAACCTAAAAAGCATTTTATCACCTTCCTAAGTTGGTTCTGTAACTCTTCATCTCATATAGGCCTGCTGTTTCTGGGATTAGTATTAGCCTTCTCATATGTGTAATTACCATGATGTTTTCTCATCTCATGTACTTATTGTTGACATCGGCGTTCTAATGTGTTACAAACTAAAAAAACAAGAGCTGAATTTCCAAGGAGTCATTTGAATAAAATGTCATTTGATAGCTTGATAATCATATGATAGCATGCACTGAAACAAGTGCATGTCAATTGCAGAAATACCTCAATATTGTAACTGTCTGATCACCCAAAATGCTGGCAACAATTGTCAGCACAACAGAGAGCTGAACTTTTGTGACAGATTTTACAATCAGCAAAAGGTTCAATTTTTACACTATTTACTGTAATAAATATACAATGGCGAGCAGAGATCGACGGTTAATCTGTAGGGCAACCGCCAAGTCCGGGTTTCTAGATTCCAGAAGCATTACATTCTTCCAGCAGCTTGAGTAGATTATGTTCAGGGGCACTGACCGATGGTAGAATCAACCGATTTGACGAGCGCATGGGAGGGGGTCGACGAGAGCCTGCAGATTCCGGTTCAGGGGTACCACCACCATCTTCTCTCATGACTGGCAAGTCGTTTCGTCTTCTCACGGTTGCAGATACCCTCTCTTTCCATATTCGCCCATCCTGAAGATCATTTTCGTCAAACTACTTGGTTAGAAAATCTCCAAAACTCTGAACTTGAAAAGCATCAATGGAAGGATACATGATTCTACATGTCATATATAATGTTAGCATAGTCTTATGTTCATGGTATGATGTCTTAGTGCAATATCTTTGTGTATGAGATATCTAGGAGCCATTGAAGATTTCTCTACTGAACAATTCTGTAACATCCCTCTAATGGGTTAGGTCTAACATAGCTTTACTCAAAAGGGAGTTATTTATACAGTTCCCGATTCATTAACAACAACAAGCAGCTTCACCAGTGCGTTAGTCCCACCTAGGTAGAACTTGGACACTAAAATATTAACTTCTGAGCAGAGAAGCTTTTCCAATCATCAAGATGTCTTATTCAATCCCATTTCGAACACCAAGTAAAAAAGACACAAGAAAAGAATCTACAGCCCATATTCATTCCCATGACATCAAGCAAAGCAAGAACCTTTTCGCCCTTTCTTGCAAATCGACAAACATGGTTTGAAGTAGTGGGGAAGCTATGAACGTCTCTTGCAATAGAATACAGAAGGGAAAAAAGATACATAAAGAAGCACTTCAAGCTTACATTAAGAATTGAAGGTTCAGGTACTGGACACTGAATAGGCTGATCATTGTCGAGAGGCTCAATCGGGTGTTCGACTGGCTTAAACTCAACCGTCACCTGAATCCCATGGGGAGCAGCAGCGGAAGCCACAGCCTCCGAGCCGGCCAGTTCTGTACTAGGGGGCAAAGCTTCCCTATCATCCTGCTACAGATACAACAAACCATACACATACTCGTGAGACAATAATTCAATTGGTGTTCTCAACGAAAACATATTGCAAAGAAGAACAACAAATCATTTCCACTTCTGAAACAAAGAGGTGCTACCCTTAATTGAAACAAATTAGTATTCTTGTGCTAATACCATGCAGATCTTTAGTAAATGATCTTAAAAGGAAAAGGCTTCTCCTTTCAGCTTTGACTCATTGGCTTAGCTTCTTGCACTTCTCCATTCTGTCCCCAGCTTATGTGTTTCTTCTTAAATATGTGCGAAAGTTTAACTCAAGTTCTCCACAAATTCATTTGTTTAACAGAATAACAGTGATCGTGCCGGACGAATGGTATCTAATGGAAGCTACCCAACTGCCCAATTATAGCGACAAGGAAGAAACAGGGGGAAAGAACAAGACAAAAGGAACATCGCCAAATTGATTCAACCATCAAGGCATCAAATCATCATCGAAAGTCTTAATTAACACTTAGCTCATTCCACAAAACACAAGATATACAAGGAAGTGGGAACTGGGAACTGGGAAAGCAAAAAACAATCACGAGTAGAAGTCAATCCAATCCATTGCAGCAGCATAGCAAACAGTTCAGTCTCTAACTAGTCAACTGCTATAAAAGGAAAAAAAACCCAGATGAAAAATCTCTGCCACAAATCGAAGGAGCCTAGCAGTTACTACCCACGAACAAGAACAAGCTAAAGTTTGCAGCTTTGCAATGGAAACAAGAGCAGAAGAAGACTCGAGCAAAAGGGGTTGTCTTACAAGGGCGCTTTGAGTTCGTCTGTGAGAAGCTCGTCCGACGGAGAGTCTGGAAAAAATTCCCACCATATCGTCGGCGCAAAAATATACTGAATTCTCTGTTTTAGGCTTCGCTTTGATCTGCTGCTCTCTATGAATATAGATCCCTCCTCTACTCTCTCTCGGTTTCTTTCTATTTAGCAAAGAAACTGTTAATAGCGAAAACAGATCAAACAAGAAAACGGAAACAGCCCCGATTCGTCCTTCTTGTTTCTCTCCCTCTCTATTTTATTGTTGACTCTCCAGCTTCAATTTCTTTTTGTTTTGTGAGGTAAGCGCAAGACTATCCAGCTAATATAATTTTTAGAAACTGAAAAAAATAAAATAAGAGAGGGTCTCTGTCAGTCTTCGTGGCGACGAAAGGTACCGGCTGAGGTTGCTTGGCGCCGGAGCTTTGTTGGTGGCGCATTTGTGGTTTTGGATTCCCCTGTTTTCCACTACTAACAATATTATACACTCGTTGTGTAAAACAAAACAATATTATATAGTCCAATCAAGAATATCTCCCAAATATATAGATATAAAATGTTGTTTCCTACCTCTAAAAAATGTTGTAAGGGGAGTGTGATTAAAAGAAAAGACAAATTAAAGTCTTCATAATTGAGATTAAAACCTAAAAAAAGTCAAATCTTTCAGCCAACTAAAGTCAATGCTAATACCATGAAGAATTCATACCTACCTCTTGTTTCAATGGGTTTTACAAATGTATCTCTAAGATCTAGAATTAGAGAAGCTTTTAATAAGGGTAGATTGATTAACTGCCTTCCCTCATCAACAATAATCGGTAAGCTTTTAATAAGGGTAGATTGATTAATAACCAGTCTTCAAGAAGACGCGATTAATCTCTTGCCTAAGCGCGATTAATAGCTGGGCAGGAGGAAATCGCCACATCTAGCTCTAGGCGATTGATTTAGGCGTGCTAAACGATTAATCTCAATGGAAAACGCCTAATTGGTGCCTAGGCACTCGGAGGCGCTTTTTCAATCTGGTGGGCGACGCCCAAAACAACTAATGAAGGGGGAAAGTGTAGCTTTTTTTGTGAAAATCCCAAATCCTATTCTATTTCACATTTCCATTCGACCAGCAACTCCCCTTCATTGACCAGCAGCGAGATCCCTCCTCATGGTTGGCGGCTTGGGATGTTTGGGATTGTGGAAAAGGGTTGTATGTGTATATGAATGAATAATGATATGGCAACCTGGATTTTTTGGAATATGGCTTATCTTTCATACTTTTTTTCAACGTTTAATCCCGCCTAGGCAACGACTAATCGGCCTGGGCGGTGTCTCCTCGCCTAGATAGTGCCTAGCGTCTTCTTGAACATTGTTAATAACAACATCCTTTTAGCACATGAGATGGTCAAATTTTTCCCCTATGTGTGTGCTAAAGGTGGACAAACTTGAACTTGTACGTTGTAAAGTTGTATGATAATATAAGAATACAAATTCATTTATGATACAGCATGAACTTATACATTTAACGTTATGGTATAATTTCAAATTGTACATTAAAGTGCCAATACTTTATAGCATAATAATAGTACAATTTCAAGTTTCTACATTAAAGCACAGCATTGTAAAAACGCTCTGTGAATTCCTCAATTCCCCTGGCTAGTCCTAATGGATAGGATCCACGCCTTAGATAAGATTAAAAAATGGTGCCATGGTAGTATCAACACCTCTTGTCTTCCAAAAACTGGATCCACACGTTAGTCATCCAAAATCTAGAGCTAACCTGTTTCCAATGTGTCTTTCTAGTTTCTACCACAGGTGCTTCCCTTGTAATTTCTCTTCATCCAATTGGGGCTGGCAGGAGAGTCTTAATGGAAGATGTTCGTTCAAGAACTGTAAGCAGGAGAGCTTAATACTGAACTCATGCACTTCACCGGGGAAAAAACAGGGGGCTCATTCCTTTTGGTTCTCTCCCTACCAAAATCACATGATACATAATACAACAGTAAACAGAGAACCAGGGAAAGAGAAAGACCGCCTCTTTGCACCAGACTAAGCTGAGATCCTCTGAAAGGGACAAACGTCAGTCTCCGGCGAGCACCCCCAAAAAGGAATCTGGAAACTTTTCGATCTTTCCACCATAGCCGCCAAAATTGTGGAGAGACAAGCAAGAAAGCTTGTTATTTAAGCCCCAGCCGGAATAATCTTCTGCTGTAGAACAGAAAGCTCAAAAACCTTTGCATGGTCCAATTCAAGTAACCATGGATCCTAAGTAAGCAAACACTCTTCTCTTGAATTTTTGAGCCAGTTCCATAACTTCGGACTCCATCGGTTGCCACGTTGGTCTGCTGCAGTAGTACCCTGGGATTGGCGTATGTTCTTTTGAAGACAACCTGCTTGCAACCTCAATCGTCAAGCTCGCCATGTCTCTGCTACCTGTTAACACCCGCAGCACTATTGCCGAGGAACCTGGGTTGGACACGAGTCTATTAAGTAGTATCAGTGCCTCCCTAATTAGCATCGTCCTGTGGAAACCAAATGGCGTTTGTCAAGCAATGAAACAAGGACAAGGAAAGGAGAAAACTATGATGAATACTTATATAGGTACCTTGCCCGAAGTTCTTCTACAGGTTCCACTGAAACTGCTGATCCTTCGAAGTTGGTTTCGGATGCCAATTCTTGCAAGATCAGCATAAGAAAATTCCCGCCTCCAACTAGTCGGCGACCAACAAGAATTTCATAACCAGACTTCTCAGAAGCAGCCACGAATGCCAGTGTAGAAATAGCCCTTTTGCAAAGTTCTATGTCCTGGAGAGGAGGAAAAAACAACTAGCTGTAGTCCGGCCTAACTTTACGTTGCAATAATAAAAGAATCCACAATTAAAAGCAGAGAAGGGGAGTGACAAAGTGATAGACATTTTAATTATTTCGGTTTATGTCGGTTTGAATTATTTAGTTCGGGATTATTTTGGGTATTGGGAATATTGTGGGGGATTAATAATTTGGGGGAGTTAGTAGGTAATTGTGTTTTGGGTATTTAGGCTATTGTTTACGTAGAGAATGGTAAGCAAGAATTAAACCTAAAACTATTTTCCTCTCTCTCCTCTCTTCCTCTCTGGCGGCCGAGCCTTCTTCCCCTCTCATAGCTGCCGCACGGCAGCAGCCTCCCCTCCCTTCTTCTCATCCCAAATTCTCCCCAAATCTCACTCTCTCAATCTCCCTCAGTCCCGGATCAATCCCTAGTTGATCCCCGATCCCCAATTGTCCGATAGAGCTTGACCTAGAGCTCTATCATTTGGTATCAGAGCCCGGTTCTTGGGTTCGATCACAAACAGCGAAAGAAGGGTGCAATGGTGTCCACAAAATCGATGACAGCGGCGGAGAAGGCTGCCAAGGCGGCGGCGCCGGAGCAGGCCTCCACCGCGGTCTCGACCGGGCTGCCGGTAGCTGGCGGCGGCAACCAGGGGGCCACCGATCCGCGGGACGGTGAGCTGGTGGACGAAACTGAAAGGTTGGAGCTGATCCAGTCTACTTTGGATCGCCTGGTAGCCGAGTTCGAGAAGGAGCGCAAGGAATGGCGGGCGCTCCGGCAGGAGCAAGGCGAACAGCGGCGGGAACAGGAGGAGGAGTCACGGCGAGTTTGGAAGCGGTTTGATGAGGTGCAGAGGGTCGTGGAGGCGCTGGCCGCCGCGCAAGCCACTGGGCCGAAGGGTGGCGGCGGCGGCGATGGGAGCGACAGCCGGAGCGGGCTGGGAGGCTCGACGGCGGATGGAGGCGCGGTGGCGAACACCGTAGCGGCGGCGGGTGGCGCGACAGCGGGGGCGATGGTGGTGGCGGAGGCGCCGCCCCCAACGGCGGCTGTCGAGGTGGTTGACGCGGCGGAGATGGTGCCCAGTGCCGGGGAGCGAGTGGGCCAGGGTCAGCCAAGGCGCAGCGGTGGGCCTGGGCTTCTACCGACACCAACGGCCCAGGAGTTGGCGGCCCGCAAGGGTAAGGTCAAGATGCCAGGGTACGACAATGGGCCTCCGCCGACTGGGCAGGGGCCGCCTAGGCCAATGGGCCGGAGCGACACAGTGGGCCAGTACCACGAGCCTAGAGGACTGGGGTGGCTGACCATGGATCGCGAGCGGATCGAGGAGGAGCTCAACTTGGTGGGCCAGAACGCACCATGGGCCGACCCGGAGGGTGGCGGGGACTATTTGGGCCCGGACGTGACAGGGGCCCAGATCGTGCAGGTTAGGCCGGGCCAGGAGGGCCGATTCGGGCCAGGCCATGAGGGCCGGTTCGGGCCGGGCCAGGAGGGCAGGTTTGGGCCGGGCCAGGAGGGCCGGTTTGGCCCGGGTGGACCGGGGCTGGGTCGAGGAGGCGGCTCGGCTGGTCAGACCGACCCAGGGCTGACCGGGTCGGGTCGAGGTGGGTCGGGTCGGGGCAGACCCGAACCGGGTCGAACCGACAGTGGACCAAACCGGTTCGAACCGGGGCTGGTTAGATCGGCCAGCATGGACCCGAACATGTGGCGCGGATCGCACGGTGCAGGGAATTGGGCAGGACCGGTAGGGCGAGGGCCCGCAGGCAGCTTTGGGCGAGGAAGGGAGACTCCGTTCTACCCAGACCAGCCAGTGGGTGCTCCCGGTTATGACAGGTATGGTTCGTATCATCCTGCTTATGATGGAGCTGATGAGATGGTCTTTCGAGCCAAACCCCCGACCATTGAGTTTCCAAAATTCAATGGTCAGGAGGATGCAGGGCTGTGGTTGTATGCAGCAGAGAGGTGGTTCAGAAACCACCCCATTCCAGAGGAGAGGAAGGCGCATCTGGCGTCCTTCTACTTAGAGGGAGAAGCGCTGCAGTGGTGGGAATGGATGGAGAGGTCCTATGGGGCGGTGGGAACTCTGATCACTTGGCCGCTGTTCCAGGAGGAGCTGCGTTATCAGTTTGGGAAATCGGAGGGGTGGGCCCCAGAGCAGTTGGCTAAGCTGAAGCAGACTGGCTCTGTTGCGGACTACCGTGCAGAGTTCTTCAAATTGGGCAATCAATGCCATGGGGTCCCGGAGGAGACACTGGTGGGGTTGTGCATGGCCGGCCTGAAGCCGGAGATTGCTGCTGCTGTCCGGATCTTTGAGCCGGATTCCGTGAAATCTGCTTTTCGTCTTGCAGGGTACAAGGAAGAGGAGCTGGCGAGTTGGAGGAGCACCATGGGCCGCAATCCGCGGGCAGGGGGCGCCGGGAGCAGTAGCGGACTCAGCGGTGGAGGAGGAGGAGCGACTGGGACCGCGGTTGGAGCTGGAGGACCCACGGCGGCACAGGCGCCAGTAGCTGTCGTGAAGGGTGGGGCACGACCTCCGCCCAAGGGGTTTGTGCGACTGTCCCCTGCCGAGATCGAGCAGAAGCGGCGGGAAGGGAAGTGTTTCAACTGCGACGAAAGGTTCACGATTGGCCACAAGTGTG